CATCAAACCGCCGTATTCACCTTGACTTCAAGCTGATATTCGTGTATGAGCTCAAATAAAGCAGCTTCCTCTGAGTTCCCTTCATCCATCAAGTATGGTTGCACTTCCAGAGCTGACTCATCATCACTCTCGTCACTGTCATCGCCAGATATATTTAAAACTGCTAGGGTATGTCCATAGACTAGATTAAACCAAGAAATACTGCACAACAATACCTCATGTATAAATTGTTGAAATTGAAGTTTTTCCTGGTCACTAAACTAGCACTAGTCGCCTCATCGTCACTGTCATCCAAATCATCTATCTCATCATCAGATACCCGCATTATAAATGTACTCGGTCTGCCCTTCGCCATCTTCCTATAGGAAAATCCTCCAAATATTAGCGGCAACGAGCAAACATCTTCAAACTATCCTTCTCAACGTAGATGAAACCGGATTTCTTGAATAGGACAAACGATATCCCGAAAGAAGCTGAAATTGCAAAGGCAGCAAGAAAGATACGAACCGTGACTGGTTCTTGGTAAAAGGCACAGGCCCACCCGAAGAAGCATTAAGCTTCTTTTCCAATGCATCGAGCTCCGATAAAAGACTGTCGAGGTTCCAATCCGGATCGGGATCGGCGGCAACTCCATGGACTTTCGGTGGGCACCGAAGCTCCAATTTAATCGCCCCCCTGTACCCCACACGTACACACGGTATAGCACTCGAACTAAATAACAGAGCATATGAGATAAACACGCCATACTGAATTCAGCTCACAACGGACAGGCGACGCGATCGCGCTAGCGTGCATCGGACATTTACCAATCAGCCGCAAAACACGCCGCTCGCCGAGCAAAAGAGATCGACTTTAACCGAACTTACATTGGCCGGAACTCCAAGACACCCCTCCGGAGGATGCGAAACGCTCCGAATTGCGGCGATCGCGATCGAGGACTCGTCAAATTCGTGCTCAAATGTCGAGCGCTGCAGCCGCCGGAAGGCCGAAACGGCCGGTGGCTAGCGTTCTATTTTCTGGAATAGGGAAGTGCAGAGTGTAAGAAAAGCACATCGCTAGGGTTCCAAATTTCGCGTCTTTAATAGCTTCTTCTATCGCCGTCGCCCGCTTCTGCCTTCCGGTGAGTGGTGGCGGAGCACCGGCGATTCACTCCGGCGAGAAGGTGGATACGTCGAGCTCTTTCTTCCGTCGACAAGACGGCGGCGGCGGCGGCGGCTTCCCACCGGAACTGGCGACGCTACGCGTAGAGCATGTGGAAGAGAGGGAAAATAACGGGAAAAAATTTATGGAGAAATCATAACGGATATGGAGAATGTATACTAGGGATGATTTTGAATAGGAGAAATACCAAAAAACTATCATAAAATATAGCCATTGTTACTACCAATATTCCAAACTTTATGTTAAAAAAAACGGCCTAATTCCAAAAAAACACCAATTTTACTTTGAGTAACAATTCTGACCCGAACTTTTTTTCGTCTCATAAAAATCAACAACTTTCACTTAAATCCCAGCCTAATTCCCTAAAAAAACCTCAACTTTAGGTCAAGTCTCAAATCTGCTCCGAACTTTTTTTTGTCTTGAAAAAAACCCCAAACTTTAGGTCAAGTCCCAAATCTATCCCGAACTTTTTTTTATCTATGAAAAAACTCCAAACTTTAAGTCCAGTCCTAAATCTGTCCCAAATTTTGTTTTGTGTAAAAAAATAACCAAAATTCAATTTATTTTCAAAAATATACCCACATGATCTAGTTTCAAATTGACATGGAACTTCCACGTTAATAACAAATCAACATCAATAAAGTAATGTGGCTTCTTTTTAGATAAAGAAAGTTTCGGGGCAAATTTGGACTGAACCTAAAAATTAGATTTTTTTTAAATTAAAAAAAGTTTTTTGGGGTGAATATGTTATCGTCCCTAACTTTCATATCCTAGAACGGTTTTATTTTGGAGGATTTCAACAATTTTTGTTGGGTTTAATTTGTTATCGAAGTGGAAATGCGACGTCGGTCTGTACCTATCACCCCATTGCTTTGCTGATATGGATTGTTATCGACGTAGAAGTGCCACGTTAAGTTGGAACTGGATCACGTAGGTATATTTTTTTAAAAAATTGAAATTAGCTGATTTTTTTTTTACAGAAAATAAAATTCGGGGTAGATTTGGGACTAAACTTAAAGTTTAAAGTTTTTTACTGAGACAAAAAAAAATTCACGACAGATTTAGGACTAGACCTAAAGTTTGGGGTTTTTTCTGAGACAAAGAAAAGTTCAAGGCAAATTTGGGATTTGACCTAAAATTGTAGGTTTTTTAGGAAATTCACCCCCTAAATCCGAAATTTAGCCCAAAAATTTGAAAATTTTTACTTCACATGGCCAAATTTGGAACACGAGTAGAAATTTGTGCCTTTTATTAAAACAAAAAGGGTTAATGCCACAACAAACCCCAAACCGGTACACGTGTGATAATTTTACCCCGAACTTTTTTTTTTACCACCAAAAACCCCAAACTGATACACCTGTGACAATTTTACCCCGAACATACCACAAAAAATCCCAAACTAGTACACTTGTGATAATCACTTAAGGTAAAATTGTCACACGCGTACCAGTTTGGAGTTTTTTGTGGTATTAACCCAAACAAAAAATAAGTTCGGACTAGAATATCACTTAAGGTAAAATTTGAGCTGTTTTTTGGAATTACTCCAAAAAACCTCCAAACTTATACTAGTAACACTAAAATATTTTCCATTTCCATCAAACGCGACGTGCCGACTTGTGTAGATAACGACTGGCAAATGAAGCTGATGTAAATCCAAAAAATTATGTCAAAAAAAAAACCGAAGACTTAACTTGATGTGTCATCAATAGCTCAATTTTTTTTGGTATCACCAAAATTTCTCAAACTTGTTCTAGTCTTGCGGCAAATCAAGCGCAATTAGGGTTCTTCGAGTCCTGTCTCTCTCTCTCTCCTTGCCAAATATGTTCTTTAGGGACAAAATTTTCCCAAATCAAGGCTTCACTGAAAGTTAGGTGAGTGTCGGTCCTCTAAAGCACAAAAACACCTCATAATCAAAATTCATCACTACTCCTGAGTTCATCTTTCTCTTCATTGAGGAAGTTCTATGAGTTTTCTGACGGATGGTACATATGGGTCATTGGTATATATTTTGGAGTATTGGTGACAAGAAAAAAAGGTTCGAGGTATTGGTAACATGCTAGGCATTGGTCGAGTTTCCAGATCCATGAAGGTTAACTTGTTTGCTGCTGTCCACAAAAACCACCATGTCGAATTTTTAACGCCCTCTTGAACAAATGTGTGACAATTGGTGTTTTTGGATTACCGGTATGAGTTTGGGGGTTTTCTGGATATGTTAAAAAGAGATTGAGGTATTTGTATCACAGTGGACATATTTTAAATTTTTTTCCCTTTTAATTATCTATTTATATAAAGCATGCCCTTTTGTCGATTTTCTTTTCTTTTTCAAAAAATTACCCTTCCTTTCTTCTTTTATACTCACTCATTTCTTAAAAAACGGCAAAAGAACACTATAAGTGCCATAACTTGTGTACGGAGCTCACTTTAGTGCCAAAAGTTTTCACTGGCTCACTTAAGTGCCAAATCGGAGGAAAAACGATCACTTAAGTACCAAAAGTTTTTTTTGGATCACTTCAGTGCTAAAATTTTTGAAAAACGATCACTTAAGTGCTAATTTTTTTGAAAAACGATCACTTAAGTGCCAATCTCCGGCGAGCCACGTCAGCTTCAGAAATTAATAAAAAAAATACCACGTCGAATTTCCGGCGAAAAATTATGTTCGGCACCGGAGTTGGCACTTAAGTAGTTGTTTTTCAAAAATTTTAGCACTTAAGTGATCGTTTTTCAAAAATTTTAGCACTAAAGTGATCAAAAAAAAAACTTATGGCACCAAAGTGAGCACCGTACACAAGTTATGACACTTGTAATGTTCTTTTACCCTTAAAAAACCAACTTTTCTCTCTTCTCACTATTCAATTTCTTAAGCTACTCTTACTTTCTTAATTTCTTGTCCATCTATTATGCACACCTACTCATTCTCTTTGCATACATAATTATCTAACCATGCGAATGCACATATCGCGCGCCTTAACTCTAGTTTCGTGTCGATAGAAATGTGTAAGCGCATCATAGATTTGGAAAAAGTTTTAGCAAACAGACTCTTTACCGAAAAAGAAAATGGAAAAGGAAAAGGAAACAAAGCAAAAACAAAACCCTATGCTTGGAAGCAAATAAATATGGCTTGCATTGCCTTTGAAGTCAGCAAAAGTCCCAAAAAAAGGCTTAAATCATGGTCAATTCATGCACATCCATGCCTTGCCGTGTATCCAACGACAGCATTCTTCTTAATATAATTCATGGCTTAATCAAGCGCGTGGCAAAGTGACCCTCCCCCACAATTTTTCTGCCTCGGAGTCTTGGAGGTTTTGTTAGTACTTAGATGCTTTCATCTACGGTTTTGATGAGTTTTGTAGTTAGGTGAGATGTCGAATGTCAAACAAAGACACTTTCTTTGGTTGGGCAAGGCAAGCCACCCTAGTCGGGATTTTCGGACCCGTGTAATTTATCATAAATCAACTATTCTCCAAGTAGAGATTTGTCATCAAAATACAAATAAAAATCATATCAACATTTTCGATTATGAATAGTAACACTTTACAATGGGAAGTACATATTTTTTTTTAAAGAATTAATGACCCTAACTTCATTATGACACTCAATACCCAAAACCTTTTTGGTTCGCCAAAAGTTCCAAATTTGTGTCGGTAGGACAAATGTAGTCCCCATCATAGTTTTATCCAAGACGATCGTAAGATGTCCTTGCTCGACAACTTACGTAGACCTCCAGAGGCAATAAATGGATTCGACTACACTTGAGATTATCACTGAAAATCTTACAATTCAAATTGCGAGATTTTGTAACTCGATAAAAGAATTAATAGATTGGTGATCAAAATGAACATCTTATGATCCAAAAGGTAAAATATTGAAGTCGGGTGGTGATGACTAGGCTACTTGTCCATTTCGCAATCTCAAGTAAGCAAATGGCTCTCAACCTTCCTTCCCATATAAAAATCAATCATTGTAGTAGTCTCCTTCGTCTCCCCTCCACCCCGGTCACTCCACAAGAACATCACCATGGTGGGAGGAAGAAGAAGAAGAAACAACCTCCTCCTCCCTCTCCTCCTTCCACTACTGATTTCCCTCTCCTCCTCCTCCGCCGCGGCGGCCCTGCCGCTGTCCACCAGCTCGCGGTGGATCGTGGACGAGTCGGGGCAGCGCGTGAAGCTGGCGTGCGCCAACTGGGTGTCCCACCTGGACGCGGTGGTGGCGGAGGGGCTGAGCAAGCAGCCCCTCGGCGCCATCTCCGCCCGGATTGCGTCCCTCGGGTTCAACTGCGTCCGCCTGACGTGGCCGCTCTTCCTGGCCACCAACGGCTCTCTTGCCTCGCTCACGGTGCGGCAGTCGTTCCAGCGCCTCGGCCTCGCCGACGCCATCTCCGGGATACAGGCCAACAACCCGGACATCATCGATCTCTCGCGGATCGAAGCTTACCAGGTAAATGCCCCTCTCTGTTGCTCCCCCCCTCATAGCATTCGATCAAATGGATACAAAAGGAAGTGGGGGAAATCAGAAACCCAGACCAGAAGCACCTTCGTTTCCTGTCGTGTCGATCCATGCGTTCTGCGACGGAAACGAGGAACGTTGCGGAGAATCGAAGATCAAAAACGAAGGAACGGAGATCTGGGTGTTGACGAATGATTGCATTTTTTTCGTTTCCTTTACTGGGTCGTGATCAGTGTCATCGGTGGTTGAACATGGGGGAAAGTGGGCCAATGGCTATTTTTTCTCGCATCAATTAACAGTACAGTTACACAGTAATGGACCAAATAGGACGCAACCGAGGAGAAAACATCCACCTCTGTGTCGTGTTCTCGAAGGAGGTTCTTATCCAAAGTGAATCCGATTTGTCTGATGATAATCACAAGACAACTTGGGACCTGCTCGACGTTGACGAACTGAGCAGGTGGCGGATATTGATGTTTTGCAGGCGGTGGTTTCGAGCCTCGGCGACAACGACGTGATGGTGATCCTGGACAACCACATAAGCAAGCCGGGGTGGTGCTGCAGCTACAACGACGGGAATGGCTTCTTCGGGGACCAATACTTCGATCCCGACCTCTGGATCCACGGCCTCGCTCGGATGGCGACGCTCTTCAACGGGGTCGGGAATGTGGTCGGCATGAGCTTGAGGAACGAGCTCCGAGGTCCTAGGCAGAACTCCAAGGATTGGTACAAGTAAGAGCCTTAGACTTCCAAATCAATTTTAATTCGCGTTAGATCGGGTAACAAAATTCATCGTTACCTACACTTTTATGCGATATTCCCTACTGAGGAGTTGATATCCGTTTTGTAAATCTAATAGGTATGCTCTTTCGTAGGAATTTTACTTTAGTTTTTGCCAATTCTAACGGGCTCACCTAATTCATTTTTATTCAATCTTCACTACTCTATAAAATAAAAGGGATAATGACACAAACGGTCCTTAAACTTTAGCCCAATGTGCAATATAGTCTCTGAATTTTTAATTTGTTCAATGTGGCTCCTAAACTTTAGCGCAATTTGCAATGTGGTCCATAATTTTTATTTTATTTGTTCAATATGGTCCTTGGACTTTTGGTACATGTTCAATTTAGTCCCTGAACTATATGAAAATATTCAATGTTGTCTCTGATCTTGAATTAATAGAAGGACAATATTGAACATTTTTATATAATTCAAGGCTTACATTGAACATGTACCAAAAGTCTAAGGACCATATTGAATAAATAAAAAACTTTAAGGACCGTATTTTCCATTCGGCTAAAGTTCACGAACAAAATTGAGCAAATCAAAAGTCTAGGGAGCAACATTGTACATTAAGTCAAAATTCAAGGACCATTTATGTCATTATCCAAAATAAAAAGCACCCCTTCCCTATTTGTGACAGATATAAAATTATTTTTTTTCTTCCCTATCCATCCCTAATTACTTACTTCGTCAACATTGGATCCACAGACAAATAATTAAATTAATAATTCTTTTTTTATCTCTTACGTTGTTCAATTGTTAAAATTCAAATTCAACCGTCGCCGCCATCACTACCGTGCACGGCCTTTTGCAGGTACATGCAGAGAGGAGCGGAGGCCGTCCACGCATCGAACCCGGACGTGCTCGTCATCCTCTCGGGCCTCAGCTACGACAAGGACCTCTCCTTCCTCAACCTCGACGGCCCCATCAACCTCTCCTTCTCCGGCAAGCTCGTCTTCGAGCTCCACTGGTACGCCTTCTCCGACGGCTCCGCCTGGGCCTCCGGCAACCCCAACCGCGTCTGCGGCCAGGTCGTCGGCAACCTCATGAGGCTCTCCTTCTTCCTCCTCCAGAAGTGGCCTCTCCTCGTCAGCGAGTTCGGCGTTGACCAGAGGGGCACGAACGCGAATGACAACAGGTACCTGAACTGCTTCGCCGGGGTCGCTGCCGACCTGGACTTTGACTGGGCGTTGTGGACGCTGGTCGGGAGTTATTACCTGAGGGAAGGAGTGGTGGGGATGAACGAGTATTATGGGGCTTTGGATTCGAATTGGGGCGAGGTCAGGAACTCGAGCTTGTTGCAGAGGTTCCGAGCTCTTCAAGCTCCTCTCAAAGGTATTTGTCGTGGATAATAACTAGTTTTCTCTGTTTGTCTGTGCACAATTGCTGGGAAAATAGCTTAGAAGTCTGAATTTTAATAGATAGAAAAGCTAATGGGGCGGCATATGTTGAGATATAACAGTAAATCTTGTCGTTGTCAAACAGATCAAAAGCGATTAGAGATTGCAATCTACAACATCTCATGCATTGTCGATCCAATGTCTCACCCACAAGCATGGTTGCTTGTGTAAGAACATCTGATGAATCTATAATCTGTAGTCCTTCCTCGTCATTATGTTTCGTTCTGACTATGTGCACGGTCCGGGGGTCTAGGTTGATATCCATTTGGAGGATTGCTCGCATATGACATACAGGATTCACCTGGTTGTGGATTCAATCGAGTATTCGATGTCGCTCGCTGTGCATACGTATGCCATTGTACTAACTGACCCTGAATTTCATCGCGGATGAGAAAATTGTGTTGTGCGCAGGGCCAGGGCTATCGGAAACCACTCCACACAAGGTGATTTTCCATCCAGCGACGGGTCTCTGCGTCTTGAGGAAGTCTCTGCTTGAGCCTTTGAAGTTGGGTCCCTGCACAGAGTCAGAAGCCTGGAAATATACACCTCAAAAGATTTTGTCCCTGAAGGCGACATACTTCTGCATACAAGCAGTTGACGTGGGAAAGTCGGCAAAACTCAGTATAATATGCTCCGGCTCTAACTCGAAATGGGATATTGTTTCAGAGTCGAAGATGCATCTCTCATCTAATACCAGCAATGGTGCTAGTGTGTGCTTAGATGTGGACTCCAATAACATCATTGTCACAAGTTCCTGCAAGTGCTTCGGTAGAGATAACACATGCGATCCGTCTAGCCAATGGTTCAAGCTTGTTGAGAGTACGAGGAGTTTAAGCACCACGAGAACCTTCGATTTGCTCAATTCAATCTTGGACTTGCCTAGAAAAGGCCTAGGGAGTTTTCTGAGCTTTTGAAGGAATCATTACCCGCCGAATCAATAGTGAGCTCGAGTAGTCAACAGACTACTCCTTGGATTAAAGTGACCATGCGTGTAAGACTCGTAAGGCGGAAGAAAGAATTCGTTGATGTGGTATCTAGAGATGCCATGACCTTTAACCTGGGGACGTTGGAATTTATTCTTTTCTTGTGATCGTCTAGTGTTCAGTGCGAGGAATTAATAACAGAAGGAAACCCATTGTGTCTCTATGCTTTCTACTGGGCTTGTCTGGAAGGGAGGCTATGGCGACAAATGATCGAGGCCTGTTCCGGCTATGAAGAACGAAGCAAGATCTTACGACCAGGAATGGAGTCATCTTCTAGTTTAGTACAAGTAAAAGTCATGTAGGTTGCTAGAGCGACACATTACAATCCACCCCCATGAAATTAAACTGTGAGCTACATTTGAATTTCTGTCCAAAAAGAAAGTCAAAATCTGATTGCAGGAATGCAGATTCGAACAGCACCTGCATTCAAGATTGCGCATTCACGATTGCATGAATGAAAAATGATTGCTTTCACGCGTACAGGATGGACCGTGATCATTTGACATGCCATGCGCATCAGGCTGGGCTTCGTATGTCAGCCCTGACTTCCTAGACACTCGGACATCTCGTTTGTAGTTTTCTTTTCCCGCTGCCAGAAAGTACTTCGAGCATGCTCTTTCTGTAAACAGAATTGAAAGGATCCAAATAAAGCTTCAGCTCCACAAAAGGAATGATTCTCCATTTCTTTTCCGCTCCTCAAGGTCAATTAAGTAAAGATGCAGTTTCTACTTTGGCCAGAAAAACAAAGATACGGTTCAAGCGTTGTCTCCTTAGGTTAGCTACAAGAAACTGCAAAACAGGCCACTTTAAATGGAATAACTCTTTTGACCAAAAAAGAAATTGGAATAACTCAATAACATCATCTTTTTCTTTGTCTTCACTTCATAAAAGCCAGACCTATTGTGTCGTCTTGTAGTTCAAAGAGAAAAAATGTGATTGTTTTGGAAGTTGAATCTTGTTAAAACAAGCATAGCTTGATGTAAAGCACCGGAAACTTGTGCTAGACACTAAAAGAACAAGCATTTTGACAGGCAAGCTTCTGAATTTTGGATTAAAATACATAGCCTCCTCCGTCACAGTAGTTCAGTGGAATGTCTCGCTCTTCACCTATAATTTGAGTCTCTTACACCATGAGCCGGTTACGAAGTGATCAGTTCTTACCAACTTCCAGCTTGTCCTCGGAAGAAGATATGATGGTCAGGAAGCTGCTGCTCGCCCATGATCCAGATGGCCGACATCTTGACTCTGAGCTGCTACTTCAAGCAATAGAGGATGCCATGTGTTGTGCCACTTCGTTGGAAATAGCAGTGAGCTACATTGTTATCTGGTCATTACTTGTATTCAGTGAAAACATCATATGTCGAAACATTTATGTTTGCATGTTAGCAGATTCTTATTTAATAGAAGGGACAAAATTTGTAACTTCATGATGTAGAGTTGTAGACTTCTTTCTCCATGGACAGAAGACATATCAATTACTTGCAATAAAGCAGATATAACATTAATTTGTCTTGTGTTCTCATGAACTCCCAGAGTACTTCCTCCTTGTTATAGCTTTCTGTATCTGTTCTACAGTGTGATTTCAAGAGAGAAGATATCAGGCAAACTGGAGTTGTTGGCTCACAAGAACCACTTGGAGTCATCATCCACAAAATTTCATCTGAGGCTCTCTCTCTCTCTCTCTCTCTCTCTCTCTCTCTCTCTCTCTCTCTCTCTCTCTCTCTCTCTCTGTGCAAAATTCACAAGCATAGACGCTCATGTCAGGTGCTTTACTATGCTTGCAGATGCTTTGCGTGTGCGCCAGTCAAAAAAATATGTATGCAAGGACACTATATATATTCGATCTGCTGGGTTATTATGCCTGGGATGCAAAAGTGATATTGGTGCTGGCAGCTCTCGGCATGAGCTATGCTGAATTTTGCCTCATGATTCAACTCTCGCCCTGTAACCCATTGGCAGCATCAGTCGCAATGCTCAAGCAGCTACAACCCAACTCAAGGGCATTCAAGCCTCGACTTAAAGCTCTAAGCTCGTTGATTATGATGATGTTGGATATGGCGAAATACATCTTTAAGTTTATGCACCTTTCGATTTCACATCTAAACCCAGATAGAGAGGTGATCGAGACTATCAAGTCTACTATTTGTTTAACAGCATTTTGGATCGTCAGAAGCTCCTTGACAAGCTATTCTCACATGAACGACTTGATGACCATAAATCCAGGGAAAGTGCATGTTCTTTCCTCCAACAACCTCTACTGATCTAAGAATTTTAAAATCTAATTCAGAATTCTGCTATACACTTTATAAGATATTGAGTCCGTAAGTCTAGTTTATGGGATTATGCTCATTTATGAATGAGGACAGCTAGATTAGTATGGCAAGTAGCAGTTTAGGATAACATCCAAGTGTAGGATAGCTTTGCAAATATGATTTTTTTTTTTGTCAGAATTGCAAATATGATGAAGAGTACATTTTTTTATGCGCTAAAATGACGCGTGAAATCATATTTCAGGTGTATGAGCTCATCAGCAATTGCAATATGGGAGCTTTCCAGTTTGGCCTGCACATTGACCAACATACACAGTCGCCTTAAGAGGCCTGTGGATGGGTTGATTCAGCAACTAGGTAGTGTTTTTTAGACACACAAAGTTTGTTATATAGAACTATCTGACTACTTTTGGGCTTGAGATAATGCCACGGATGTTTCTCTGTGTATACAGGCGCTTTCACATATAATCCTTACTTATGTGAATAGTCTAAGCATATTAGAACAAAGGTTGTCTATGCAAGTTAGAACAATACCCTTAAGCCTCTCCCTAAACTTGCAGACGAAAAGGTGGAACAGAAGCTGGTCAGTCTCTTTCAGGTGACTCATAGAGACAATCAAGAGGCGCTTGCCACGTTATTTTTATTGATGGATAAATTTCCTCTGAAGGAAAAATATTCACAAGCAAAGGTATTGACCTTCTTGCTTTTGCAACTTAATAAAAATCCACACAAAATTGTCATTCTTTTTAAATTGAGTTAATATCACGAAAAACTCCAAATTGACACACCTGTGGGGTAAACTATTTTTTTTACCAAAAAAACCCAAAACTAATATATTTGTGATAATTTTACCCCGAACTATTTTTTTTACCACCAAAGACCTTACACCGGTACACTTGTGATAATTTTACCCCAAACTAATTTTTTGACCACTAAAAACCCCAAACTGGTACACCTGTGACAAATTTACCCTCCGTTAGTTTCCATTAAATTTTATTGTTAAATTGCTAAGTTTGATTACACGTGGTGGTTGACAGGTGTACCAGTTTGGGGTTTTACCCATCTGTTTGTCATAAGTTTACTAGTTTGTGATTTTTTGTGATATTAATCCAATTTAATGGACACTAACGGAGGGTAAATTTGTCACAAATGTACCAGTTTGGAGTTTTTAGTGGTCAAAAAATTAGTTTTGGGTAAAATTGTCATAGGTGTACCTATTTGGGGTTTTTGGTGGTCAAAAAATTAGTTTGTGGTAAAATTGTCACAATTGTACTAGTGTGGGGGTTTTGGTGGTCAAAAAAATAGTTTGGGGTAAATTTGTCACAGGTGTACCAGTTTGGAGTTTTTGATGGTCAAAAAATTAGTTCGGGGTAAAATTGTCACAAGTGTATCAGTTTAAGGATTTTCGTAGTATTAACCCTTTTAAATTTCCACATAACTTAATAAATTCTAGCATCCTCATTTGTTTTATTGGCAGGTTGGCATTTTAGAACTTACAGGTAAGCTGGTTATGTTTCTGATCTCGAAATCAGAGTTCCCATCACCAGAGGAATGGCTCTTGCTAGTTCACCAAGTAAATAATCTCGCTCAGAACAAGACTTCAGAAGGAAACTATGACATTGTGTGGGTACCCATTTCAAGTTCCTGTACATGGACAGATTCTGAAGATAGAAGCTTTGATTATTTATCTAACTGGATGCCGTGGTATTCGCTTCGGCGGCCACACTTGCTTAGCCCGGCAGTGGTGAATTTTATAAAGGAATCATGGAACTATAAAGAGGAGCCTATAATGGTAGTCATGGACACTGAAGGGGCAATAACAAATTTAAATGCTGTTGATATGTTGAGGATCTGGGGTGTCAAGGCATATCCATTTTCATCTTCTAGAGAAGAAGAGCTTTGGGAGGCAGAGAATTGGGGACTACAACTAATGCTTGATGGAATTGATCAGCTTTTGACCTTTTGGGTACGAGATAATCCTAACACTTACTTCATTATGTCTGATATCAATGCTTCTTGTAGAGTGCATTTTCCTTGTCTATATAGGCAGAGAACTGCTAATGAGATGACATTCGTTTCAGATCGAGCAAGGTAAAAATGTCTGCATTTATGGGAGCGACGACCAGGGATGGATCAAGGAATTTCATTCCAAGATGGAGATCGTAAGTGAAGCTGTGCAACTTGAGATTGTTTATGTGGGTCGGAGGAGCCACCATGTGCAAATGATGTACATACCGGCCAACATCCAACGACACCTCTCTCCGACGAAAATTCGATTCTTCTGGCTTCGGTTGGAGAGCATGAGAAAGTCCAAACTCAGACTAGGAAAGACAGTCAATACTGATCAAACATTACAAGAGGTCTCAGCACTGCTTGATTTTGATGAGAATGACGAGGGTTGGGCGATCTTTGGAAAAGGGTCATCTGCAGACACAATGAGACTTCAAGGAAACAGACTAATGGAGTGCCTGGATAAGTTTCCAGAATGGGGCCAGAATGTGGGGAAGTGGGGACTCTTGAATGCCATCAGAATGGCTCTTGAGCCGGCTGCTCTTGATGGTCCATGCAGCCACACAGATACCATTCCCTTTGAGGAAGGATCGGCGGAGAAGGTTCTGTTTTGTGTTAAGTGCAAGCGCCCGATGAAAATTTTCCTAGTGTATGAATGACAGAGTGCAAAACATACTGCTCTTATGTTTGAGGTGAAATGACCACATAGTTGAGATGTCACCAATCAATCATCTGCCTGAGGAGTTGCCTTGCAGTAGTAACTTGTTTTCTATATGACTTATGTTGTAATTATGGGTTAATGGATCAACCAAAGTGAGCAAAATGAGATACGTTTATTTAATTCATGTATCTCTTGAATTTGTGAATCTAGTGAATTCATGTATATATTGAATCGATGAATCTATTGTATTCATACATCTCGTAAATTCATGTACTTCTTGAATTCGTGAATTTATTTAATTCATGTATCTATTGAATTCATGAATCGATTTAATTCCTGTACCTCTTGATTACATGAACTTTAAAACTCTATAAATAGTTTTGAAAACTTCTTCATTCGGAGAAGTTGAAAATACCTTTCATCTTTTCACTTCAATTGTCTTTAAGTGTGCCAATTTCAAGAAATATTTGATAGAGTCCTATTTGCATAGTGTTAATTCAAACGAATTCGAGGTATTGTATATTGGGAGGCATAGTGCCTGAAACTACTTAGTACCGTTAACAAGAACTAATCGCCTTAAGAAGATTTTGTTAGAGTTACCTCACCTCCTATTTATTTTTGTTATCGCTTTCTCAAATTTATAATATTTCTTATTACAACAAATAGTATTGTGTATCTTCCTCTAATACGTACATTTACAATTATTTCGATTTTCTTTCGATGTTCCCCCGACCTCATTCACTCTCTATCTTTCCCTCCCTAATTAGTGAATCCTTTTGGGAAATTAAAAACTTGATTAAAATCCAAAAACATTTCTTATAAAATGGGCCAAATGCTCTTAAAAAGCCCCCACAATTTTAGCACAAATTTTTCCTTTCTCTCATAAAAAATTACCAATCTTCAATCGATACCCAAATCTGACCTCGTTAAGTTTCCTCCGGTGATGCCATTAAAAATTTGACATATCTTTCCAAAATGTTTTCGGTGACTCACAGTTGTCGTTGTTGTATTTATGGTGGGTTAATGGATCAACGAATGTAAGCAAAAATGAGATACGTCTCTTCAGTCAATGTATCTCTTGTATTCGTGTATCTGCTGAATTCATGTATCACTTGGGTTCGTGTATCTACTTAATTCACGTATCTGTATCTCTTGAATTCTTATATCCATTTAATTTTTAGTTCATGTGTTGTTTGTGTACATTAATTCTAAAACTCTATAAATAGAGTTAAAATTCTTCATTCCAAGATTGATCAAAAACACCTATATCCCCCCTTTTCAATTTTCTCTAAGTGTGCTGGTTTCAAGAAGTGTTCGATAGAGTCATATTTGCATAGTGCTAATTCAAAAGGGTTCGAGATGTTGTATCTTGGGAGGCATAGTTCGTGAAGCTACTTAACACCATTGATAGGAACTAATCACCTTAAGGAGATTCGGTTAGCCGTACCTAACCTCCTGTTTATTTTGTTACCGCTGTCTCGGATTTATTATTTTTCTGATTACAACAAACAGTGTTACGTATTCTTTTTCGCCAATACATAAATTCTTCTTCTCCTTGTTCATCTAATTTTTTCCAACAGTCGTCACTAGAACCACGGTCGAATTCTGAATAGTCTCAAATCAAGCAAGAGGAGGAAAAGTGAGCATTCTTGTTTGGACCGAAGAAACCGAGCATGTCCAAAAACTAAGAAAAATGAAACCTTGAACCGGCAATCCGTAGCATCCGAAAATAGGGGAAACTCTCAGATTTTGTGCACCCTTCTACGTCAACACATTCGTGAGTTGCCGAGTACACATATAATAACACGTCGCATCTTTAACAACATCATTGGACGAATTGATTGAGATTGTGTTTTTTAACGAGACAAAGAAAAAGTTTTGGCTAGAAATCGGGCCCAAGCTAAGTTAGTGCTTTTTTTACGAGACAAAAAAATATTGGGTCAGAATTGGGACCGGAGATAAAACTGATATTATTATATGAGAAAAAAAAAATAGAAAGGTTTGCACCAGAAGTAGGACCTGAGCTATAAAATTGGTGTTTCTAAGGAAACTAGGGCCTTATGAGTGAAAATGAGATTATTCATATCCAATGTTTTAGTGAAACTTCTTATGTGGGAGATGCTGACACGGCTTCCTTGTGTATGTTGTTGCTCTGTTCTTTTAGATCCCGAACAACACAGTAACCACCTGTTTTACAAAAGAACACTCAATTCGCAGGGAAGAAATCATTCAATGGCTTGACAATCGAGAAAAGAACTTGAAGAATACATATTTTAAAGAACTTTCCTCAATCGTCATCTCCAAAGATCACATAAGTATTAGAAATCCAATACAGAGCACTGAGCAATGACCCTTGATCACATAAGTATTAGACATCAAGCCTCCCTGCCTGTCATTAACCATGTGATTGAGTTCAAGGAACAAGCAGATTACTCAAGATGTGGACGGTCGATGTCTGAAAAATTAGCAAAGTTCAAGCATTGTAGTGTGCTGCGACGAATTCTAGATCAGCAATGTCACGACATACATACAGTTTTGTGCCCTCATGATGCGAGAGAAATAGAACATTTGACTTTTTGGGTGTTCTTGTTCATGGTTGTGTACTGGATTCGATGAACTCGTTGATTTTGCTTGGTGAAACATCCGTGAGAGTGCTCATCATCTTTGATTAATTTTGAATAGCAACGTGTACAAGCAAGACAATGTGGTTACTATCACAGACGGTTTGAGCACCTAATGCTGGTACCGATATTAAGCTAAACAAAGATTCACCAACATAAGTTCTTCGTTAAGTATCATATTGATCCTTCAGACAAAAGGGTGTTCAATGCCTTCTCAAAAATTACAATATAACAAGAAAACCAAGATGAGTAACTCTTCATTAAGGTTGGCTTTGATTTGGAAGTTTGAGGAGTAGGGTTTCCAGACATGTAGATGATGTTTGACACATTGGTCACCTAAGTGATGCAAAGGCATCCTTTCACAAGTACATTGAAGTTTCCGTCGTTCCGAGAGCTCAACCGACAGGACAGGATGGACTATGGATGTGTGAGTCGTTATGAAAAAGATTTGAATCACGTGAATACAACGGAAAAAAGCTGCTAAAGCTAAATTTCACAAATCTGGTATCATTTCTCTGCCTGTTCACTGTCAGTTTAAAGTTCAAAGGCAATTGTCCCTTTCAGGACCCACAATGGCCAAAGTTCTTATCCTAAACTTGAGCCAACACCAAGTATTTTCACCCCTTCAGAAGCAAGGTAGCCTAGGAAGCAACTTTTATTCCCCGCTGAATTGTACTATAAAAGTTCGAGAGTCATACCAGACAAGCACGACAAGCCAAAAACATAACTGCCATTGCCCTTTACTCTGCAAAGAAACCCGCCTCTTAACAGCCATGGCACTCGTATCGAAAATCCCACAGCGCCGCCGCACCGAGCGCCTCATGTTCTCGTCCTCTGACGACAATGCAATGTTGAAGCAAATTCAGGCCACTCATGTCCCAGATGGACGGGAGGTCGATGTCGGGGATCTCCTTCACGTCATCGAGGAGATTTTCCAGCGCGCCAAGCCCATCATCGACACCTCTGGGGTTGTTCTCTCTCTTTATGAGCCTCCAGCTGATATGATTTTCATGATTTATAGCTGATTTAAACTAATAACATATAAGCAGGCAGCGCGACCGCAACTCGATGTACTAGACAGCAGAGACCTCCGAGAGATGCTCGAACTATTGTCATACACCATACACAAAATCTCCTGTGAGGTCTGTCTATGTGTGCGCTTTGACTATCTCAAACTTCTTCCGCTTCGTGCTATTCTGAATCCAACTTTCATGATTGCCTCATTCTGGGCAGCCTAATGTGCCAAATTTGCTGATATATGAAACCAAAACTTTCTTTGCTCCACAGATGGCTTGCAAGTGTATGGGCGGTGGCGATGCTCATGCAACGACTGTCAACATATTCCACACTCTCACAAACTACACATGGGATGCGAAGGTGGTGATCGCATTGGCGGCTTTCTCCGTGAACTACGGTGAGTTTTGGATGCTAGCCCAGCTCCATCCTACCAATTCCCTAGCCAAAGCGGTGGCTATCCTCAAACAATTACCCGAGACACTAGAGCACGTGGACGCTTTAAAGCCAAAATTCGACGCGCTTACCAGCCTCATCACTGCTATGGTGACTTTGACCAAGTGCATCGTCGAGTTCAAGCAGCTCCCACCTCAATACATCAGCCCCGATGCACCAGAACTTCTGACCGCTACCACTCATATTCCTACGGCAGCTTACTGGATCATCCGAAGTGTTGTGGCCTGCGCTTCACAAATTACCAACCTCATTGGCATGGGCCACGAGTATGTTCTCCTACGCTTGTCGCAAGCCCACTCCTCATTTTCTCGTTTGCAAAAACAACTTTACAATTTGATGACAGAATATAAACATGAACCATTTTCAAGCGAGTGCTAGTCGCGACCGCATAAAAAACTTATCATAACATTCTTTACTCATCTTAGGTACATAGCATCCACAGCAGAAGCTTGGGAACTATCGAGTTTGGCCCATAAAATCAACAGCATCTACACTCATCTCACGAAGCAACTCGATCTTTGCTATCAGCTCATCAGTAAGCCCTGTGGATTTATCCTTACTTGCGATTAGACATTGTACAACACGCCAATCACACTCTTTCGTTTTTGTTCTGAAAATCACATTGATCCAATGCAGATGAGAAAAAGTACTTGGAAGCATTCGAGAAAATTGTGCACCTATTTGCAACTCCCCACATTGACAACATGAAAATTCTTCAAGCTTTAATCTATGCAAAAGATGATCAGTTTCCACTTTGGGACGGCTCTACTAAAAAAAAGGTCTGTTTCCCTTGATCTCTTCCTATTTGGTATGTCCACGATATTCTTATACTGGCTCACGATGATTTATCTACAACAAATCAGGTTAGCCTCGACGTGCTGAGAAGGAAAAATGTGCTGTTATTAATCTCCGACATCGACCTACCGCACGAAGAACTTTATGTCCTTGAGCAGATGTACCAAGAGGCCAAACAAGTCCCGACGAGGATGGAGAGCCAGTACGAGATAGTGTGGATCCCAGTCATAGGTAGGTCGACCCCATGGAATGAAGAGAAACTGAAGCAGTTCGAGACTCTGCAAGGAATGATGACCTGGTACTCGGTCTTCGACCCTACGATGATTGATCCCGCGGTCATCAAGTACATCAAGGAGGTGTGGAAGTTCAACAAGAAGGCAATGCTTGTGGTTCTTGACCCGCAGGGCCGGGTCGCCAACCCGAATGCGATCCACATGATGTGGATATGGGGGAGCGTGGCTTACCCATTCACCAGTGAAAGGGAGGAGGCTCTCTGGAAGGCAGAGAAGTGGCGGATCGAACTGCTTGCTGGTCCTATAGAGCCGCTGATATTCACCTGGGTAAGACCGCTCTTTCTACTGCTTTAATCTCTCTCGACCTCGCTCCAACTAAATAAAGATTACACATGCCCACGTGACACATTCACATTTTCGGGAAAAAAATCTAGCGAAAAGCATGACAATTGCAATGGCAGCATGGACTTCCGTCATTTTAGTCTGTCGAACATTAACCTTCACCTCGACCTCCAAATCATCCAATTTCCGTGCAAAGCAATGAATATGTACTTCTTTTCGATACAAGCACATGAAATGTGTCGCAGAAAGGAATGAGTCGAGCTACGATCTCACACAAATCTGAGAAACTGTGTGCTTCCTGCTGGCGCAGATAACGGAAGAGAAGTACATATGCCTCTACGGAGGAGAGGACATCGAGTGGATCCGCAGTTTCACAAAGACGGCGCGTGCGGTAGCGAAAGCAGCGCAGATCTCGCTCGAGATGCTGTACGTGGGGAAGAGCAACCCGAGGGAGAAGATCAGGAAGAACAATGCCACGATATTGGCCGAGAATCTAAGCCACATCCTGCCAGACCTCGCCCTGATCTGGTTCTTCTGGGTGAGGCTGGAGAGCATGTGGCACTCCAAGGTGCAGCAGGGCAAGAGCATCGACAATGACCCGATAATGCAGGAGATCATGAAGATGCTCAGCTTCGATGGGAGCGATCAGGGGTGGGCCGTGATCTGCCGCGGCGCCCATATGGCCAAGGCCAAGGGAGATATGATCCGGACAACCCTGACCGACTACGACTCCTGGAAGAACTCGGTAGCCCAGAAGGGGTTCCTGCCGGCGCTGAACAGCCGCCTCGAGGACCTGCAGACGCCGCACCACTGCAACCGCCTGATCCTGCCAAGCACCACCGGGACGATCCCCGAGCGGGTGGTGTGCGCCGAGTGCGGGCGTGTCATGGAGAAGTTCGTCATGTATCAATGCTGCATGGACTGAGGAAGATTAGCGTGACTAAGTCATATGAAGAATCAAGAATAAGGGAGTACATGCTTGTGTTACTCAATCCTAGGCATGAAGGACCCTGATGGTCCTCTTTGCCCCTGCAAAAGATTTTTTTGCTTTGGTTTGTGTGTTGTCATTGTTATCACTAAAGCGATCATCGTCGCAGCATCACCTACTTCTGTACCCGACCAGACCTATTTAATAAAATACTTTTCGTATTCAATCCAATTTATGAAAATCCGTGTCTACCTAGTTGACCCATTTTTAAGCTCTTCATGTGTATATGTTATTTGGGTAAAATCGTTATTTCGACTATAAGATACTAAAGAATTGGCTTTCAACATTGCATTGAAAATTATATTGAGTTAATACCACAAAAAACCTCAAAATGATACATTCGGGATAAATTTACCCCAAATCGGTACACCTGTGACAAATTTACCCTCCGTTAGTTTCCATTAAATTTTCAAGTCAAATTGCTAAATTAGATGACACGTGACAGTTCATGGTTAAGCCGGTTTAGGGTTTTACCCCTCAGTTTATCACGGGATTTACCAATTTGTAATTTTTTATGGTATTAATCCAATTTAACGGATGGTAAATTTATCACAAATATACCAGTTTGGGGTTTTTGGTAGTGAAAAAATTAGTTTTTGGTAAATTTGTCACAGGTGTACCAGTTTAGGGGTTTTCGTGGTATTAACCCAATTCTATTTTTGTTTTGATTCATAATGAAAAATAAGAGAAAGTTAGTATTTGGTAGTGATTTATGAAATTTCAGTGACAAATAACATGGACGAATTGAAATTAAAATAGTATGAAAGGTAAGATATCGAAGAAAATGATTTATGCAATAACAAAAATTAAGATTATAATATTACATAAATATAACAATGCCAAATATAACCAAGGAAAGATATACTCCAATAATTAATAGAAGAAACTTACAAGATTAATAAAAATAAAAAAAATAACAAGGAAAAATAGAAGCGGTCTTTATATTCTTAATAAAGGTGAAGTCGGGCTCATCTAACGGGCCCACCAAGACTTCTCTGAACCTGAAAGAGTCCGAAGAGTCAATTATTTTTCCATAGAAGATAAAGAGAAAGTTACATATCCGGGTTGAGTTTGGGTAAATTATGAACCATTTAACACCCGTATATTTTTGGGTTTTGTCATTATAAACTCATTTATTGAACAAAGCTAACTCGTATAATGACTCGATCAATCAAATATATACTAAGAAATGAGTCGATGATCCATTTTCATAGTTTTACTATGTATCTCCCTCCAAGTTCGGATCCGCGAGTTTTATCAAGATGAACTGCATCTTCCCTTCATAATACACCTTTCTTCATCTCTACTCTGCACCGTTTCGAGAAGTCGACAACCGTAGACGACAAATGTTGAAAGCCAAAATCACGTCTCGCATCTTATGCGTGCTCGTCTGTGGATTGGTCTTCAAGTTGAACATAGATTTTGTAAGCAGGTACGGAGATTTTATCCGACATTTATCGATGAAAATTACATTACGAGGTGCAACATATGTTGGTAACGTAATTTCTGCATATATAATTTTTGGGGTTGTAACCCAAAAAATACCCCAAAAAATCGAATAAGATATACTTTTCTTTCTAACTTGATTTTTAATTAATTGAATAAAACCGACTACTGGACCGGACTGGACTGGTTGGTTGGGTCCGGTTCCCACTTCCTAAAAGTGGAACCGATGTCTGGACGGTCTAGTTCCTGATTCCAAGGGAGAACCGAACCGAACTGAACCGAACCAACTACATATATTTTTTTATTTTTTCAAAAGAATTAATAAAATGTTAACTAAATTAACGTACAATGATTTTTCCTCTTCGTCACACTACAATAACTCTTCACTCATCGTCGCTTCTGTCAATATGTTGAGATTTATCACTCTTTTGTATGGTTGGAAAAAAAAATAAAAGGTGACCGGTTCCATTGGACCGGACCGGATCAAGAACCAACCACCTCTAATATCGATATACTTATAAATTTATAAATGTAAATCTTACTCATCTAATAAGAAAGCGGGAAAATACCACCAAAAACTTCAAACTATGCCACTTGTGACAAATTTACTCTAAACTTTTTTTTGTGACACAAAAAACCCCAAACTATACCGTTTGTGACAAATTTAACCTGAACTTGATCTGGCGATGGCGACTTCGCCCGACTCAGGTGAGGGCTGCCCTCGCCGGAGAAGAAAATAAAAAGAAGGAAAAAAAAACAGAAAAAGGAAAAAGACGAAAATGCCCATGGGCCAAAGTATTATGGGGTAAATGTGTCACAAGTGGCATAGTTTGGGGTTTTCCGTGTCACAAAAAAAGTTCAGGGTAAATTTGTCACAAGTGACATAGTTTGGGGTTTTTCACGTCACAAAAAAAAGTTGAGGGTAAATTTGTCACAAGTGGCATAGTTTGAGATTTTTGGTAGTATTTTCCCAAAGAAAGCAATTGGTCGCCCAACGGTGTCGTTTAGGTTGGCCCAAAACACGACGTCGTTTTGGCATTGTGATCACCCTTCGCCCGAGAGAAGACTGGACGTGAATCGCTCGCGCAGTGAAGAACTCTGCAGACGATCGAAGAAGGAAGGAAGAAGAAGATGGTGAAAGTGGCCACATTCTTCGCCATGTCTCTCGGCGCCTTCGTCTTCTGGCATTCCATGGACAAAGTCCATGTCTGGATCGCTCTCCACCAAGACGAGAAGGTCTCTCTCTCTCTCTCTCTCCCCCCGAATCTCTCGATCTCTGTTCGCGATTTGGGCCTATTTCGAGGCATTCGATTTCCTGTCTAATCTATCGGGAAAAAAACCCTAGACGATTAGAACGCCGTTTGCAGTTGATGATCCGTGCTCGTCGTCAGTCGGCGTTGTGATTTAAGGTTAGGGCATGAGGTTTGAGCTTGGCTTGTGTCGAATTCCGTGGGGGTTTCGGTTCAGAAGAACTCTCTCGATTTTTGATGCGTTCATTTGGAACTAGCTGTTTGAGGAGATTGCATTCCCCTGTTACTCCCAATTGTTATAATTTTGGGGGGTGGGGGGGAAAGAAAACCAGCTCTAGGATGGGATGTATAGCCATCTTATGCTTCAATGACTGGCTGTCTATGAAAAATGGTGCTTTTGTTCCTCTTGGCAAGGTGATTGATTGATTGTTAGTGAAACGTGTGTGTGCTTTGGCTGGTTCGAAGATAATTGATTCTTTGCCGTTTTCTTTTGCTTTGAGTTTGGGGAGTGAGTGTGTGTTTGCTCGGTGCAGAAAGAGAGGATGGAGAAGGAAGATGAGATAAGGAGGGTCCGGGAAGAACTTCTGCAGCAGCAGCAGCAGGCGAGAGAGAAAGATGCGCTCTCGTGATGACGACGGCTTCCGTTTGGTTCCTTGAAAAAGGTTTTCTGTTTGGTGACCCCGTGATGGATCTCTGCTTCTCTGAATTTCTGTGCTCTGATAAGAACTCTGGACTTAGATGCATGAATTTGATTATGCTCCTGTGTGGAGTTAGCATTGTACTCGTTTTCTGTCTCTGATGCATCTGCAATAAATTTAGTGTTCTTGAATGAGAGATGTTTTGGTACACACTTGTGGACTATTTCTTGATGATGGATGTTCATCTTTATTTTTGTCAAATCTTTATGGTACTGTCCAATGCTGGGTCAGTGTCTGCTCTTGATATATATAAAGGGCAAAAAAGCCCAGAAGGAAGCCGCGTCTTTTTCGCTGAGCTTTCGTCTTCGGAACCTTTCTAACTAATTATGATCCCTGGTTGTAAACCCGATAAACTTGTGTTCTTATTTACTTTGTTCTTTTTAAGCAACTTTACTTGAGAAAACTTACGGTGGTAGAGCAGTCTCAGGTCAAGAATAGCCATTGCAAATATCTCATTGCTTCCTATACTGACATTTAATATAACTATGATTCTATGAAGCTGTGGGGGTCATGGGATTGCATAAGGCTTAGTGATAGGCGCTTCTGGTTGCTATCATGAGTCATGTCCTTTGGACAGGCTGATGTTTAAGTGATAGCTGTTTTCTATTCAGGCTGATTTTTGTGTCATGGTAGTTTATTTGTCTATAATTTCCCTTTGCATTTGAATGTAGATATCCCATTCTCTTGGGGGTGAAAATCCACATGAAATGAAACTCTTAGTTTGCTCGTTTCATCCACATGAAAGAAAGATTAGCTGCTTCTTGTCGCATCTTTTAGATTGTCAGGCATGGTGATTTGTTGTTGGTACCACACCAACCGGTGAGTTTGTTTCTAGTTCAATTCAAATGGTTGGTTAATCAATCAATTTGATGCTTACCTCATTCTGAAGAGACGAATCTCTGTGTACCTTGAAAGATTGAACTCCTGTCTTGGGTGTACATGCATACCCCCTAGTATTTGGTGATTCTCATCTTCACCATCGTAACATATCCAATGCATGCAACCGTGTGTACACCGTCTAGTTGATTTTACGTAATCAAGCATTTGAGATGCACCTTCCCCTATGTATTTGCCTCTAGAATGCCCGTGCCTTTGCATGTTCGAAGTTTGGTGCGATGAGGCGCTGGGATAGAAGATCAGTAGCGAGCATCCTTTGATCTTTTCATCTGCAGAATAAGCTATGTTCGGGCTAAAACTCAAGGATGAGAGAATCAAGTCGTTTTTTGCAACACCGACACGACGATTTTGGACAAATGTGAGATAGTTGTTTGATAGTCGAGACTGATTGAAGAATAAATTGATAATTTCGCGTGGATTACAGTCATTTGCGGATTCAGAAGGGACATGGACATCCTACCACTGATCCCCGAGCGGAATGATGGTCTGGTGGATGATGTATGCTACCATGTTAGGACATTATAGCGTCTCGTGGCCATGTTCTGTCTCCATGTTTCTCATGAGCCATAAGCACAGGTCTCGTGTGTGTTTCTTTTGGATGGACGGATCGAGGCCTCAACGAGTCAACCCATCGAACCCCTTGATAGTAAACGTCCTTTTGTCCCTCGAACCGCAAGAAAGGATTGGTTTCCTGGAAGGGTCAATTCAACATGGAGATGGCAAGCTCCATGATAAGACTTAGGCGGCAGAGTAAAGTAGATCACCATACCAAGTCGATGGACTTGAAAAATGGCCTTCGGACGAGCTAGGGTTTTTCCTTTCTTGGTATCTTGTCTAGTGAAAAAATCAATAAATATTACAATTTTTTTTTAAATGATTGTTTGCATCAAATTGAAAAGACTAGTTAATGAAAAATATTTTTCGCCATCTCATTTTAACAAGTAATACAAACAATCATTTTTACGAAATTTATCCTCAGCATCGATTTCCCGTGAAACAACTGCACCTGAATAAATACGTTTCATCAGATGATTGATCTAATAAATTAGCTGGCTAGTTTAAATAACCCATGTTTGGAACTAGATGTTAACGAGGAGTGGGCAGTCAATATTTTCGTATATTTCCTCATATCGTAGAGACAAGTTTTTCAGTATCTGTCATGGAAGAGCTTGGCTCTTCATCCATCCATCCAATCGCCTTTTCTCTCCACAATGACAGTCAACTGCCGTAAAGCAGAAGATCTTCGTGACAAATGAGTTCAATTAAAGAAAAACTTATCCGCTGTGCTCAATCTACGTGACTTTTCAACCGATGAAAAAGGCTGCAGCTCTAATTGCAAAGCCGAAAGGCCGTGTCATTAAGAAATGAAAGGATGTAGGAGAGGGGCTTTCCTACACATACCTCCGTGATATAAACTAACCTGTGCCAAAACTAAAAGTGAACCCTATCCAGCTTCTCCTGGTCGAACAAAAAAGCTACCTCTTCAAATTCAAGCACATTCATCATCCACAATGATAAGAACAGAAGTGGAAGATAAAAGAGGAAAAGGCGAAGAAGAGGATAGGGAAAATGTGTATGCCTATATTCAAGACAAAACCAGGAGACATCTATCCTTCCGCAGTGCCAGGTGAAGCATCAGCATTTTGGCCGAATATGTCGGGGATTCCATCCCAGTTCTTCTGATCTCGAGCTTCCCAATACCCACCCATGTAGCGATAACATCCGTCGTCATCCTTACCAAACCATCGTGGTTGCCAACCTCCCTCCTGTAACTTTCTTGCCTACACCATAGGGAACATATGGAGAGTAAGCTAAGCAGGCCTTCAATTTTTCCAGTTGAATTCCTTGAATAAATTTTAAAAATTATCACATGCTGCACACATCAGGACAATGAGTGATATGCAATACATGATCTACCCACTTCTTAGGTAGATGGTAAAGGTTGCCTGGTTATATGCTTGTCACATAAATAGTCAACCGTGAGAGATAGTTGTGCATATACAATGCTGCGTAGTCAACCATGAGAAATAGTTATGCATATAAATAGTCAACTGTGATAGAGTTGGATATACAATGCTGCGTAGGTTGAAGTTGGACTCAAAACTTTTGTTTTGCTTGAAATTATCGATTACAGATTAAGCATTCCGTCTTAATGAATCAAGACTGTCAAGTCTCTAGCACTTAAACAAGATGGTGGTCATCTCAAGCGGTTTGAGCAACAAGAAAGGTCAAATTCTTCACCTATATACGTCTTAAGACATTTCCTTCAAGATTTAAGACTAGAAAGGCAAAATGGAGAAGAAAGTTGTGGATATGACCTGTCTCTGTATATGTTCGAGTCTTAATTTCTCAGCATTGGCTGACTCGTATTCCCCATTTTCTAAGTGTCTCTGATCAGGTCTCAACCTTGAATCAGTTGGGGGCAGTTTCTCTCGTAAGCCTGGCGTGAGCTCATTTAGGGAAATTGCAAACGGAGACAAATTGTATCTTGTCTTGGTGAGATACTTGTCTCTTTCCCATAATAAAACAGCTTCTGTCATTGGATCATACCCTTTAGGATTTGTCGTTGGATCCCCCATCACATAGTACAGCGCCTCATCCCACTTTCCAAACAACATGGCGACCTTCTCCCCAGTTTTATTATCTTGCACAAACCCATGAACCTGAATCACAACAGAATCATTTTAATTTTATCAGTGGTGGTTTCACACTGTAAAGAAAACTCAAATGCTATACTTGATTTTTACATATCCTTCATGCAATCAATAAGCAGCGTAAAAATAAAGTATGTTAATTTCCTTAAGATAGTTTATGCAGGAACACTTTTCCCAACTGCCGTGTCAAATGAGATTGAGAAGCGCGTTTTCAAGGGCGATTTAAAGGGAACCATGTCTTCTCAATAGTGAAAGCAAAAAGTATGGGTGCATATATGCTACATGAAAGCATACACAGTTCCTTTGAATACACTGCTTTGTTTTATACAACTCCAACACATAATACTGTTTCTTTGGTCTAACAGAGCACGGTAGCTCATACTTTAAGGCAGACAAAAGTAATGCCATAAATCATCATTTAGTGCAGCAATGTGGTAAATTGAAATTTCACGGTCAGGCCAATGGCAAAAGGTAAAATGACTTAAGCAGATCCATGTATACCTGGTGGGGATTTCGGTCTATGATGGACTGCTCCTTGAACTTGAGCTTGCAGGAATAGTTGCCACTGCCCCTAATGCGCATTGTTCCATAGTGGTCACAATAGATTTTACCGAGAATGATGTTGTAAATGGAAGTTGTGACCTTGCTCCAGTGATATGTCTCACCATCCTCAAACTGCAGGGTGAGGATACCCACAGGATCAAGCTGAATAGAACGCCCCCAAAACTTGCCCTTGAGATTGGAATCTGCCCAAAATTTCCAGCCTCTTCCTTCACAGTGACAAGCAACAATTGTTGGGTGGTGACTCACCTAAATTTGATTTTCTCATCAGATAACTAGGTTGTGAAATACTCCGAGCAAGGTGAATATCTATGTATAGTCGTTGTTTAAACAAAAGGGAAGTAGCGGCAAGCAGTCACTCCAATTATACATGTGAGATGATAGTTTTGTTTTCTTGGCCAAGGTAAGAAACGATCCATATGAGATGATACCTAAAGCAAGCTTTCGATTTGATCATAACTTCACAGAAGATGAAGCCATACCTTCTCAGAGAAAAAGCGGAGTCCTTTGTCTGGATAGTCAGCTTCGTAGGTCTCTCCAAGGAGAGGATTGAATGGTTTGCACTGCCTCCCTTCTGTTGATGCATAGCCTGACACAGCAAAAGCAGCTACATTTAGGATTCTCATCAAGTGATTACCCTGCATCAGATAAATCCAATTATAAGCAATAACCGTCAAATGAATCACTCTATAATATTCAACTGTTATATCTAATTTAAAATGTACATAGAATTACCACTCTTACTGCACAAACATATGTACACATTCATAACAGAGAGACATGAACAAATTTTGCATGCAGCATACTTGCGAAAAAGGGATTATCCACCATGCAACTATACTGGTCATGATTCAGCTGTATTTTTGGCTAAAATCTATCAATATCAAGAGAATGAGTGTCGTAAAGCACTTTCGATAAGAAAACACATTAAGAACCCTTGAAAGAGCCTGTTCATCAATACTTTTTTTTATAGGTAAGAGCCTGTCCATCAATATAACCGACTATCCTTGCAGCTCGAAATGAACCCCAAAATAAGGGTGGCAAAAGCAAAACCCCGAATGGGCAGTTAATCAGAACTGGAATACATAGGTAAGTGAATTTACTGGCGAAGATGATAGATAGCATGACATCAATTTTGTCAAAACTATGTACGTATGCAAAAAAAAAGCCAAATCTATTCAGCAGAAGCATTTTTCCCAAAATTATTCTTAGATTCTTCTCTCCTAGTTCAGAGAAGGAAAAGGTTGTTTAAGAGGCTCAGGAGATAAATCTCCTAAGTTCTGATTCTGCGGCCAAGCAAGCATTCTCTTCATGCAGGTTGACTTCACAGAACATCATTCAGGTCCTCACATGCAGCCAAGTTAAAGCAAGGGCTAAATCAGCTAATAGGCTATATCAAAGGCCAGTTTAAGTCCAAATGGCTCACGAAGAGATCTTTTGGAGTGACATATCCAAAAAATACTGACAACTTATGCAACCATGTGCATTGCAAACAAAGGATTGTCTTCTCATGCATTTTCCAATTAAATTTTTTGTCTAAGTAGGAGTACTAAATTAATTAGTCACTAGAAAAGTAAGGCGAGTTGATCCTATATTTAGTTCAGTTAAAAAATCGAATCCAATAGTTAGAGAAAATAGAATGAGCAGGTCATCTTTCAGAACGAAACCAAATCGAGGAGCTGACCTGCTTTCCCCATTCCAGTGCATGATCAACCAAGTAAGAGTATTCCAAATCTTCAAAGCACTTCTGCAACGAGGAGAGAGGTTCATTAAAATAAACAGGGAGACAAACCCCAGATAGATCCTTTCCGATATTGTCCTTGATAATTGACCATAGACCAACGGGCTTCTCCTTCTCCTTTGGTTCAGGTAAATCATCCCTCCTCTCAACATATGGATACTCAACTGCCCTAATCTCTTTGTCGATTCCATTCAAACGATCAGAAAAGAAACAATCTTTGTCAGCTGTACAAGAACTGCCCATGGTTTCTTTACTGCGGTAAGAAGCACTTCTTAAAGCTTCAGAAGACAAAAAATCTTTTGTGTCAAAAAAGATGTTATCTTCTTCATCTGTCTCGGCATCCACTCCATCCCGGCTTTCAATATCTGCATCAGATTCACTTCCAGATCCCTCTGACATGACTGAGTAGAAATCTGTAAGTTTTAAAAGCATTATCAGTAAATCGAGACAAAGGCCAGCTATATTGCTTCAGACTGAGATTAGGATTGTAAAGAATGATGACCTCAATCATATTTAAAATTCTTCTGACAACATGAATAATATTCCCATCTATCTAATTATCTATCAAGGACATACAGCAACAGTTGAACAATTCCATTATGGACAGTTTCATACCCCACTGAAACACAGTTGGCCCATAGCTAGAGGTACATAAGTACAATGGATATCAAGTGTAGAACACTAACCACTAAATCTTCTATTTCCTTGTCCACAAAATGAATCGCGCTCCTTTGTTTCATCCACTACAGTTGTCTCTAGCTCCATCTTCTCAGCCTTCAGAAACAGGATAGAGTGAAGTGAGTACGATACTCATTGCAGCAAGTTTTACATCACGAGATGCATATAGAGTATACACAGTTGAATTTATACTGTCAACACATAGTAAATTTTTTTTTAATAAAGATGATAAAGAGTTTATCATGGCCAAGAAATTATGCCGTGATTTTCCACAGGAAATCAAGCATAAAAGATCGCAGCTTTTAAGAACCGCAGAAGGAATAAACATGGCAAATGTGATCTCCTACTTATAAGGCATCCACTGAGATTCTTGAATCTTGCTTCAGTGGGTCCATCACTCAACCTACTATTTAAATACCACTGCCTTGTAAGCATGTATATTGTCATCAAAGCATCTTAAATTACATTATGCCAGTCATTTCATTTAACACCAAATGACCTAAAAAGATATCTGAAGTCCTACTTCCGAGTTCAAAACGTCTCATGACCAAAGAAGATGCTTATGGAAGCAACATCATGCAGACTGTGGCAACGATGGCAGAATGTCTGACACATGTTTCATAACCATCATACCTTGCCCATCCCATCAAGTATCCACATGTTAGAAATAGCAAAAATGCATGTACTTTACATGGTTCAGTCATCGTGACTTTGTCTACCACCATGGGATGGCAAGATATTTATCAGACCAACCAAGGAGATAACAAGAGCAACTCTCATTCTCAATCAAAAGCCAGATAACAAGAGCAACTCTCATTCTCAATCAAAAGCCAAGTACACCCTATCTTGCAGTGTGTAACACTCACTCTAATGGCTAGGCCAAAACACTTCGAGGAAAATAAACCCCCACAGAAAACAGGTTGCCTAATTCTCGAGCTATCACCAGTGACCTCTCGAACAACCTCCAAATGGAAAATCGGATCTTCTCGTCAAACCGGGTAAGAAATCAGGGTTGCAGGTCACTCAACAGATGGCCAAAACTCAAGAGTCAAGACACCATTCATGATCACAGGCATCATTCACATGACAAGTGACAACAATAACACCAGCAAGACGGAAGAAACTGAAGCTGTTGATGTAGGCTTACTAATACATTCTTCTCTGTAGCAGATCAGCGTACGACAAATTTAAGAAATAAATTCAGTACCTCCAGGCGTCTCAGCGTGTCTAACAATATCAAATGTTTCCGGTGGAGAGTATTTAGCTGGCTTTGGAGCTCAGAGAGTTCAGATAGCATGATTGACTCGCAGTCTTCAATGACCACCTCTGCTAACCCTTCCTGCAATAGTCGAGATCGAAGCTTCTCAGTTGAGACAATGACTTCATCAGAAGGTGCAAAATCGCTGCTCGTTAGAACTCTAGGAAAAAGGTCTTTTGCTGCTCCAAGTGCCTCAATCCATGTAGCTCTGTCGTCTCTAGTTGCACAGCACAAGTGAAGAGTTTTCGTCCCCGTGAATATAGAGAGTCTTTTGTCATCTGACCGACTAGCACGAATAGATGAAACCTGTGGAATAGGAGTTAAAAACCAACTAATAAAAAGGAAATCGATAAATAAGACTTAAAGGAAACATCTCAAACATAAATAGTGCAAGCCCACATGAATGTCACTGGGGGGAAAAGTGTGGAATGTGTTCATGGGGATGCCCGGACCAGAAAATTATCAAGCGGGACCAATAATCTTCTAAGAGCAAAAAAGTGTTCCAGTTTATGACAAAACAATAGCGACAACAAACTGGATTTGAGTATGAAGAAAGTGAAACTAATTCAAGATCCTCATTGATTTTCAGTTCATTCCAATAACATGATCAGGTAGCAATAAGCGAGGCCCTTTCATTACTAGTGTCCTCTGAGAGACTCAAGGCTCCTCTGTCAGTCCTATCACAGGCTCTGGTAACAGGTAAATCCTGAGTGAGTTATGACGCATTCAAGGGATTTCTGCGCACACAGTCATCTTCATGTGGTGACTTGCCAGATTTGTCAACGATTAAACCTACAAAGCTCTTTTCTTTGTGTCTATTTCTTGTTGACATAAGATAATGCGTTAGCAACATATTCTAGTTAAAACAACCAGTATTTGCTGATTATTAGATCTTTAACCCGAATGCTTATTTCGGGTAAATCAACACCTGTATTACAAACAGTTCCTGGAAAAGGTCCGTCATAAAGGCTGCAGTACAAAAAGGCATGAAGAGAAACGAAATTGTGAACACTCAGGCGACCCAGAACAGAAACATGCCCTCTTTCCAGCCAGCATAAACTTTTCCAAATAAAAAAAGGGAAGAGATATTTTTCCCCATAGAAGAAAAAAAGGGCAGGAAGATGACGAGCGAAGAGACGCCCCCACTAAGAACGTCACCTTGAAGCTCAATTTCCTCTATTTCCTAAACATATTTCAACAACTGGCGGCTCCTGTCATAGCGCATCGGACCCAAAAAAAACCAACATCCACGCGTACATACACGACAAAGAAAAGACAAAAGGAACGCACACACATACCTTCAAATGCACTTCGCCGAACGGCTTGCACTTCCTCAAACCCAAAGACCCAACACCGACCCTCCCGTTACTGCTCGTCCAACTGGCCTTCCTCATGTACTTCCACGACTCCTCTCCGATCACCCGGACGCCCTTGTCTCTGGTCGGACTCATCACAATCTTATCCGGCCCGTGAACCTTGTAATAGGACAACACTCCGTCCTCGAGCACGAACCACCTCGACCTCCACCCCTTCCCGTAGTTCACCCACTTGTACAGCACCCCAACCACGCTGCCACCACTCACTCCGCCACTCCCGCCGAACGCCTTCGAATCCCTCGTAGCTTCGGAGCCGTTATCATCCGCACCGGCGGCTCCCGCCAACCTATCGAAATCGGCGCCGACGGACGAGACCTGCGCCGAGAAGCCCGGCTTCGAGCTCGGATTAACCGGCTTCACGACCGAATCGGCGCCGACCTGGCACTGGCCGGGGCTGGACCGGTCGCGATCGATCGAGACCGGAGCAATGCAGCAGAGCGGGTTCATCCTCGGAACCGCCGCCGCCGCCGCCGCCGCCTACGAAGCCCAGCCCCACGAGGCGGCCGCCGCCTCCTCACCGGGACGGATCGGCGAAGGATCCGATCGCCGGGCGCGGGCGACGCGGGTGGGGCTGGGGTAGGGGCAATGCAGGACCCGATCGGAGCTCGAAAGGGCGGGTGGAGGCCGGGAGCGTCGAAAATGACATAAGATCAAGAAGGAAATACAAAGAGAGAGAGAGAGAGAGATATATGGGGGTTGCTGTGGAGAGAGGAAGAGACGGTGAATTGAGATGGCCGGGAGGGAGCTATAAAGAGCCGACGCTCTGCTCGCAGATCTAATTAATACACAGAGAGAGGAGAGAGAGAGAGAGAGTTGTGCGGTAGAGTACAGAAGAGAGAGAGAGAGAGAGAGAGAGAGTGAAGAGGAAGAAGGAGGAGGAGGAGGAGGAGAGGTTAAAGAAGGCTCTGCGACAGTGAGGGAAGCATTAAAGGTGCGTTCATGGCGTCTTCTGTGGGGTTTTTGATTTGGCCCTTTTCTCTTTTCTCTGACGTTAGAGTAAATTGGATAAAAAGACAGGACAAGTTTTCGCATTAAAGAAAAAAAAGTACGAGATAATGACGAAAATAATTCCCGAACTTCGATACGGTGTACAATAAAATTTATGAACTTTGAGGCTTCGTTCGTTTGGCGGAAAACATTTTCCTTTTGAAAAATATTTTTTCGGAAATTATTTTCCTGAAAAATATTTTTCCGGAATATAACTTTCTGGTGTTCGGCGACGAATATGAAAAAGTTTCGAAAAATATTTTTCGCCGGCGGCGGCGTCCGGCGGCCGGCGACCGGCGACCGGCGGCCGCCGGCGACCTTAGTGAAGAAGAAGAAGAAGAAGTTCCGGAAAATGATTTCCGCTTTTGAAGAAGAGGAAGTCATTTTCTTGTAGGCTTAAGTTATTTTGTGAGGAGGGGAAGGAAAATATTTTCCCACGGAAAATGTTTTCCGCCCCCCGAACACCGGAAAATATTTTCCGGGAGAATATTTTCCGCCAAACGAACGGAGCCTAAATTTGTTCAATATTATCTCCCGAAGTTTAACCCAGTGTACTACATTAAACATCTTTATATAGTTCGAGAACTATATTGAACATAAGTCAAAAGTTTAGGGACGCATTAAACAAATTAAAAATTTAGGGATAACGTTACACTTTGAGTTAAAATTCGAGGATGATATTAAATAAATTAAAATTTTATGGATTATATTATATATTGCGATAAAATTTCGAGATTATTTGCGTCATTTTTCTATAAAGCTGAGTTTTTTTTGTTTGTCCACTATCCTACTTAAAATTTGATGATATTGTACACTCTTTTTCATTTTTTACATGTATATAAATAAATTCTTCCGCCACATTTGTATTTAAATAAAAAAATTGAACTATGTAAATTGCAAAATCCAATTAAATAAAAAGTAAATATAAAAGTTAGTGCAAACGCGTGTCGATAAAAATCATTTTTCAAACATTGTGATGGACTCCGCATGCCTAACATGATCATTTTAGGGTTAATTCCAAAAAAAAAGCACCAACTTTAGGTCGAGAGATAATTCTGGCCCGAACTTTTTTTTGTTCCATAAAAAAGCATCAACTTTAAGTCGAGGGACAATTATGGCCCGAAAATTTTTTTGTCCCGTAAAAAAGCACCAACTTTAGGTCGAGGGACAATTCTGGCCCGAACTTTTTTTTGGTCCATAAAAAAGCATCAACTTTAGGTCGAGGGACAATTCTGGTCCGAACTTTTTTTTGTTCCATAAAAAAGCATCAACTTTAGGTCAAGGGACAATTATGGCCCGAAATTTTTATTGTCCCGTAAAAAAGCACCAACTTTAGGTCGAGGAACAATTCTGGTCCGAACTTTTTTTTGTCTCGTAAAAAAACACCAACTTTCACTTAAATCCCAAATTTGGCCCTTATTGACTTAAAACCATTGATTTTCCAACTTGACTATTTCACCTTAGCACTAAATCCACGTGACTTGCTGACTAAATTTAAAGCATTATTCATTGTCTTATTCTCTAAACCACAGTTTGAAGAATAACGGTGAAACTATTAATCTCCTTCATTTCACCGACAAGTCAAAAATATCTCCAAATTGAATCTTTCTGGCCAAACTTCGTCGTTTTGTCGTAATCTGAAGCTGTAGACCACCGCCTGTCGACAGACGCCATGGAAGAGATTCGCCAAGCTCACCACCATAACTTTTTTTCTCGAACAATGGTAACTTCAGACAGAAAATCAATGGGGGGCCAAATTTGGAATTTAAATGAAAGTTTGTGCTTTTTTACGAGACAAAAAAAAGTTTGGGCCAAAATTATCCATCGACCTAAAGTTAGTGCTTTTTTATTGAACAAAAAAAAATTCGGGCCAAAATTATCCATCGATTTAAAATTGGTGCTTTTTTTTTTAATTAACCCGATCTTTTTATAGCGATTTGTTCACTTATATCTTATCAAATCGATAATAATTCTCATGCGATAAGGTCACATCAAGGGTCACCATCGCAATAGTCACATCTCACTTGATAATAATTTTAAGGGAAAAAACCACCAAAAACCCCAAACTTTACCATCTGTGACACATTTACCTCGAACTTTTTTTTGTGACACCAAAAACGACTTTCTTTTTGTGACACATTCACCCCAATGTATTTAGTCATGGGCATTTTCGTCTTTTCTGCTTTTTCTTTTTTTTTTCTTTTTTTTTCCTTTCCGGCGAGGGGCCTCGCGCTGTCGCCCTCGCCGGATCCGGCGAGGGGCCCTCGCCGGCGTCGAGCGAGGGCGGCCCTCGCCATCCGGTGAGGCGGCCCTCGCCGGCGTCGGGCGAGGTTCGCCCTCGCTGGGCGAGCGAGGGCGTCCTCGCCCGGACTCGGGCGAGGTCGACCTCGCGACGTCGGGCGAGGGTCGACCTCGCTGAGTCCGGGCGAGGCCGCCTCGCTCGCCCGAGCGAGGCGGACCTCGCCGACGCCGGGAGTCGCCCTCGCCGGGCGAGCGAGGGCGGCCCTCGCCGGCTCGAGCGAGGTCGACCCTCGCCGACGCCGGCGAGGGTCGACCTCGCTCGAGTCGGGCGAGGGTCGACCTCGCTCGAGTCGGGCGAGGGCCGCCCTCGCTCGCCCAGCGAGGGCGACCTCGCCGGCGTCGGCGAGGTCGTCCCTCGCCCGGGCGAGCGAGGCGGCGCCTCGCCCGATCCGGCGAGGTCGACCCTCGCCGACGCCGAGCGAGGGCGGCCCTCGCCCGACTCGAGCGAGGTCGACCCTCGCCCGACTCGAGCGAGGTCGACCCTCGCCGGCGTCGGCGAGGGTCGACCTCGCCCGAGCTCGGGCGAGGGCCGCCCTCGCTCGCCCGGGCGAGGGCGAACCTCGCCCGACGCCGGTGAGGGCCGCCCTCGCTCGACGCTGGCGAGGGCCCCCCTCGCCGGATCCGGCGAGGCCGACGCCGGCGAGGCCCCCCCTCGCCGGAAAGGAAAAAAAAAAGAAAAAGCAGAAAAGACGAAAATGCCCATGGACTAAATACATTGGGGTAAATGTGTCACAAAAAGCAAAGTTCGGGGTTTTTGGTGTCACAAAAAAAAGTTCGGGGTAAATGTGTCACAGATGGCAAAGTTTGGGGTTTTTGGTGGTTTTTTCCCTAATTTTAATTAAATCTTTTTAACATTATCATACATGTTATTAAAAAAAATAAATATCGGCTCTCCTTCAATAACTTCACATCACGAATTGTTATCGCAACCGACCACATCTGGCATAATGATAATTTCACTTTAATCGTGTTAAAAAGTATTTTCGAGATGCACATTAAACATGTCCAATAAGAAAATATACGACTTGCAAAATATTATCGTGCGTGTTATCGAAACCGATAAAAATTCTATGGCAATAACTCCGCATCATAAGATCATCGAAATAATAGTATTTTGAATCTATCGAGTTCTTTCAATATTTTTCTAACATAATCAATGAGGAAAATATTTGATTTTCAAAGCATCATCGACGATCGTTGCATTAAAAATCACAATAAATGAAAAATATATCCATATGTACACAACACGTAATTATAAAGTCTAAACGATGTATAGTTTTGGCTAGGTAATACGTTACTTTCTTGCTTGAAAAAGAAAAACAAAACAAATACCGATTTTTTTGTCAAAAAAATAAGGGTAAATATCATATAAAAACTTCAAACCGGTACATATATGAAAAATTTACCCCAAACTAATTTTTTAACTATCAAAAACCTTAAACCGGTACGCTCGTGACAAATTTACCTTTCGTTATTTAAATTTTATCTTCAAATTGATAAGTTTGATGACACGTGGCAGTTGATGAGTATACTAGTTTGGGGTTTTACTTTTCGTTCGTTACAGGTGTACCAGTTCGTGATTTTTCGTGGTATTAATCAAATTTAACTGAAACCAATGGAGAGTAAGATTATCACAAATGTACCACTTTGGGGTTTTTGGTAATTGAATGTGTACCAGTTTGGGGCATCTCATGGTAAAAAATTTAGCTCGAACTAAATTTGTCATAACTGTACTAGTTTGGAGTTTTTCGTGCCATTAAAAAAAAAAAACAAATACTTAGATCAAAGTTATAAACTTTGCCTTCTTCTTTTTTTTTTATCCTTTCCGAGATTTTTGTGGGCCCCGAAGATGGTAATGATTGCCAGGGGGGAGGGACAAGCCAACGTGGGAGGGAAAGGGAGATGTGGAAATGCGACCGTTTTGGAGCCTTGCCCCTTGGATCGTGGGCCACCATGGGCCTCGTGGCCCATCGTAAGTGGGCTGTGGGCCTTAAACGACGCTTTTGCCCCTCGGGGCAGGGGCGTTTTGGGGATAAACGATGGGGGGGTGGGGGGCAGCGAAAGCGATGCGCGACGTGGACACGTGGGGGATTTGTGATATTCCCGCCGACCCTCCCCACGCGCCATACGAGCCTCTCCGCAGATGAAGAGAACGGAGAAATTTTGTTCAGTTTGGATCTGATCTTTCTCAATTTTTTTCTTAGCCTCCGATCGATGACCCCCGAAATTTAATCAAAAATAAATACGGATGATTTTCCCAATTCGTAATTTGTTAAAGGCGCGATCGGAAAAAGGTTTTCCTCCCGATCAGAGGCGAAAGAGTACACGACGCAACCCTTTATTCTTTCGGATATGAAATCTCGAGTTCAATTAACGTCGTGCAGCTCGATTTCTTAACGAGCTCGTGATCCACGACTCGACTCAAAATTAAGTCGTTCTTAATGAAGTTTGTACCGTGGATTAAACGTGGCCCAGCGACGAATACTATCGGCTATTCTCCCGCGTTTTAAAATTGTGTCAAGCACAAATTTAACATTTTAAAACCGTCGTCGATTATCATCTTTCTTTTTTTTCTTCCTTGTGATTTTCTCAAAATCTTTATTTTGATTTTTTGCCCTCGACATTAGCACGCACAACATGATTTTTCCGTAATTCTTTTCTTATTATCAAACACCTCTATCGACATTGATGCTTCTACTAACATGATTGTCATTGAAAAAAAAACAAAGAGATTGCACCTGCTAAGTTCATACCTACATTGTACATGGGATGAATATAGCATCCCCTAAGAACTCCTAGCTTTAGAAGGCGGAACTTCGTGAACGGAGACGTTGTTATGGTGAAAGTCACAATTGGAAGGAAGAGCGATGTTTTTTTACCCGACCCGGCTCGAGATTCGGCTCAGAAGAAGCGCCCGATCATAGCAGCGACCGCGACGCCCGCTGAGATGACGACGCGGGAGGCTCCGCTGCTGCCGGGGGCAAGCGCGGGCCCATCCAGCGTCGAAGGGAACACTCCCGGAGGCACCGGGCCGCCGACGGGCGCCGCGAGCGCATCGTCTCCTTCGCCGTCCCCAGACCCATCGTCGGTGTTGCCAATCGCGCTATCGGAAACCGGCGCAAATGCCGAGGAGGAGGAGGAGGAGGACGACGACGACGACGACGACGATGGGGAGGTAGATGGAGCACCGGCAGCGGTGGTAGCAGGCTCTGCGGCCGAGGCCAACCCGAGCACGGCGGTCAAAGCTAGGCAGGTGAACAGAGCTCTGGGAGCCATTTCGTGAAGAGTTTTTAAGCTTATTTGGGTGATGGAAGAAACGGGAGAGCAACTTCAAATTGAAGGTAAAACGGCAATGTGGGGGGGGGGCATCATATGAAGGGGCGGCCAACGCCATTTCGCGAGCGGGCGCGCAGCGCGGAGATTGGCGCGCGGCTTGTGAGGAAAATCACGAGATTGCATGCATGGTCTCAAACTTTGGCTAATTTTAGTCCATGCACAGCTTATGTGAACCATCCTCTCTATTTTTCGAGAAATAATTTTATCGCTAATCATAGTACGTATTTAGGCATTTCTTTTTTTTTTGTTTTGCGCGCGCGCGCGCGACCGCGACTGCTGATCGAATAAGGAGAGATCGAGATCGCGCCGAATCGATCGAGCTGTTGGGAATACAGCTCTGAATTCGAGTAGCGCTTCTTCTTTCACCGGTATCTTTTGATACGGAGACGACTGCTCTTGCCCGAGAGCGTGATGTTCGATTGGCAGCGAGACGTTGATCCTTCTATCTCACCGAGCTCTCCCGTGGATGTCTCGAATGTATATCTCAATGATCCATGCGTACGTCGTCGGTTGAGATTCAGTTAGGACGCCGATGGGAATGCTTCCTGGGGAAGCAGATCTCCATCCATTAACGACACATAAGCTCACGAGTTTAAGATACATTAAGGGTGTTTTTTGTTTGACGTGGAATTTCTTTTCATAAATTAGTTTTCTGGACTTTCAGGTGTTTGGATCGCTGAAAATGTTTAGTCAACGGAAAACTATTTACGGCTGAAGAAAATATGTATGCTTTTGACTTCGTTTGTTTCATAGAAATTTTTTTTCCGGGAAAACATTTTCGTCTAGTGTTTTGTTCACTTGAGAAAATGAGTGAACGAAAAACTTATACTTAAATTCAGGAAAGTGATTTCCTCTTTGAAAAATCAGAAATCATTTTTCAAATATATGACTAAGTATCGGCACTTGGATCGAGATTGAATTTGGACACGAAACCCTGACGCTGGTTCTTGAGTCCCCGACATTCGGGATTGAATCTCCAGCACCAAGGCCTGGGTTCATTGAGGCTGGACTCATGACCCCAACCCTTGTGTCCAAGACCTCAGTGCGCGCGCCCAGTCCATCGCGGTTGAGCTCCGAACTCCAATGTCGGTGCCTTGGCCTTGGTGCCCAAACTGGGCCCCAAGCCACGGTGGTCGTGCTCGATGCCCCTGCACCCGGGTCTAGGTCCACAAAGCGGAGCATGGGATCTAAGCTCAAATCCCCAACACGCGGGTCCTTATCTACAAAGGCTGTGCTCGAGTCCTTGACGCTCGAGCTATGATTCCTAGCACTCGAACCCTGGTCCACAAAAGGCCATGCCCGGGTCCTCGACTTTCTAGCGTGGGTCCCTAATGCTTAAGCTAAGGTCTATTGAGGCCGAGACAGGGGACCTGGGTCCACGCACTCGAGTCTAACATTGGAAAATATTGTCATTTTTACATTTTTCTCGAAACAAACAGAGTCAAAGTTGGAAAATGAATTGCTTAACCTTGGAAGATGAAAATATTTTACTGAAAAATGATTTCCCGAAAACAAACATGCTATAGACTCCGTTTGTTTCACGGATTATAAATAATCTGGAAAATATTTTCTTGAAAATGATTTTGGCGAAGAGGAAAAAGATAAGGTCGGAGGAGGGAGGGAGAGAGAGAGAGAGAGAGAGAGAGAGCCTCATGGGCCCATTACATTCGAAACGGGGCCCAAACGGAGCAAATGAAACCAAAGCCCATAGTCATTTTCACGGGAGTCACGATCGCTCACGCATCGCTAGGGCTTTGCCTTCAAAGAGAAACTCCCACGGAGTGTTAGAACCCTCTTCACCGCGCGCGATACTCCCTCCCTTCCTCTCTCTCTCTCTCTCTCTCTCTCTCTCTCTACGCTTCTACACACTTCTTCCGATTTCCGCCATTCCTCCCAGCCTCCGTCGCCGCATCCTTCGCTCGAGGAGGAGGAGGAGGAGGAGGAGGAGGAGCGGGGCGAGAGCGGTCGCCGGGGAGTCCGCGAGCTCCGGGACGCGAGGCGGCGAGGGAGATGGCGCTGGCGTTCGACGAGTTCGGGAGGCCCTTCATCATACTGAGGGAGCAGGAGCAGAAGACGCGGCTGAGGGGCCTCGATGCTCAGAAGGCCAACATCTCCGCCGGCAAGGCCGTCGCCCGCATCCTGCGGACCTCGCTCGGTCCCAAGGGCATGGACAAGATGCTCCAGAGCCCCGATGGCGACGTCACCATCAGTGAGCCTTGCTCCCCTCCTCTTCTTTTGTTTTGTTTTTTTTTTTCTTATGTAGGGCTCAGATCGTTGCGTTTCTTGCGGGTTTTTCGTTGCTCTGGGTGGGCTAATAGGATGAACTGAGTAGCGCGGCTTTAGAGTAGGTTTCGTTTGCATTTCTCTCCTCGTGAGATTGGTGCTTCAAGAACTAAGTTAACCTCCCGGTGAGTTGCCCAAAATTAGCAATATGATGTTTGTTGATGGCGATGGAAGGGGATCTGCGGATCTCGGTGCTCGCTTAATCATGGAAAGACTCTGATGAGCTGCTTATTCTGGAATCTACCTGAGTTACGTTTTCGGTTTTAGCCCTCTTGGTAGCTTGCATTACCCTATGGATGCGTAAATTCTGGCTCCTAATTGCCCCGTCTTTTTGGCATTTAAGTTTGCTAAAGAAGTTGGTTATGTCAATGCAATTTGATGAAATTTGAGTTATGTTTGGTGACGCACGGTCATGGACTAATAGGTAATCTAATTTACTTTCAATATCAGTGTTTTAGCGGCTAGTTAGTTTATTTTCAAGTTAGTCTATAGAAGCATGCTTCCCGAGTATTATGCTTTGCTGCTAAAAGATGCTTATGGGGTTTAGTATGTGAGCACCTTATTTATGCAGTTTTCTTGCAACTTTAATGGGGAGCTGTCAATGTTCTAGCGTCCTAATCTCGGTTGGAGATGTGCACATCTAAATCACATGGAACTCGTTCATATTGGTTTTGTTTGCTCTTCTGGGTCAAGTCCCATGGCCGTAAGTTGACATGAGAGATTAAGGTGGCGATAGCTTGAGCATATGGAAGTTGAATGTGATTTGCTTGTCTTTGTTTGGTTGCTCTGAACTTCACTTCACTCACCCGTGTTTTTTATTTTGTCAGCAAATGATGGCGCAACAATTTTAGAGCAGATGGATGTTGACAACCAAATCGCCAAACTGATGGTTGAATTATCTCGTAGTCAAGATTACGAAATTGGTGATGGCACCACTGGTGTTGTTGTCATGGCCGGTGCGCTTCTTGAGCAGGCTGAGAAGTTATTGGAGCGTGGAATCCATCCGATTCGGATTGCAGAGGGATATGAATTGGCTTCTAGGATTGCTTTTGAACATCTAGAGCGCATTGCCCAGAAATTTGAGTTTGGATTATCAAATGCGGAGCCTCTTGTTCAAACTTGCATGACTACTTTATCTTCAAAAATGTATGTTACCCTTCTCTTTCTGCTGGTCAACCATCATTCTTCATCATTTTCTTTCAGTAAATTCACATCATATTGCCTATTAACTGTTTCCATCTTTGCAGCGTTAACCGTTGCAAGCGGGATTTGGCTGAGATAGCAGTTAAAGCAGTTCTTGCGGTAGCAGATTTAGAAAGAAGAGATGTAAACTTAGATTTGATAAAAGTGGAAGGAAAAGTGGGAGGGAAGCTTGAAGACACAGAGCTCATATATGGAATTCTTGTGGACAAGGACATGAGCCACCCGCAGATGCCCAAGAGAATTGAAGATGCAAAGATTGCTATCCTGACTTGTCCATTTGAGCCTCCTAAGCCGAAGACCAAACATAAGGTGGATATCGATACGGTTGAAAAGTTTCAGACTTTACGTCAGCAAGAGCAGAAGTATTTCGATGACATGGTTCAAAAATGCAAGGTGATTCTGTGCTTCTTTTTCTTAAATGTACCCCTGATTCTCCCTGCTTTATTCAACTTATTTAGCTGACCTATCATCTATGCTGATGTTCGGGGTAAGTTGACTGTATATGGCAGGTTTCAACCTTTTATGTCGTGCATTTGTCTTTTGGGTTTGTCATCTGAAACACACATATTCTAGCTCATTTAAGTTGATGTAGAAAGTTGAGTTTGAACCTTTCATATGATGCCCTTATATGTTCGCTTCTTCTGATATCTAGGATGTGGGTGCAACCTTGGTCATCTGTCAGTGGGGATTTGACGACGAAGCAAATCACCTTTTAATGCATAGGAACTTACCTGCTGTCCGCTGGGTCGGAGGCGTAGAGTTAGAGCTCATAGCCATAGCCACAGGTTTGCAGTTATCTAACTTTTCACCATGTTTCTCCTTTGCTCAATAGATATCACTTTTCTCTTGCTTGGGTCCCAATGCATTAATAATCTTATGGCTTTGTTGTATCGGTAGGCGGAAGAATTGTGCCAAGATTCCAAGAGTTGACTCCAGAGAAGCTGGGAAAGGTACTTTTACATCTTTGTTCCTTCCTTTTCAATTTCTGAAAAAACCTAGCTTGTGTGCATCACTACTTCTGTCCAACTTATATTCATCATTGCTGTTGGGTGACTGTTGAGGTCAACAAACTCAAATTTTAGAGGAATGTGAGGACTGGTGGATAAGTGCCACATAATTTGATGCTAATGATGGTTACTGGAAAGATCGTGTTCCTGCTGATCTTGTTGAAAGGACAGTCGTTGTGTCACCTGCATTTCTTTTTAGAATTTAGCAAACTAGTTTGATTCCAGTTGATTTTTCTATTCCAGTGCTAGAATGGGAAGCAGGCAATTACTTACCTCTTAATTTTTTTTTGCTGAACCAATTGTTATGATCCTATTGTTTATTTATTTAGGCTGGACTGGTGCGAGAAAAATCATTTGGTACTACGAAGGATCGGATGCTGTACATTGAGCATTGTGCAAATTCAAGGGCTGTCACCGTTTTCATTAGAGGAGGTACATAGTATTCTCTTGTCCGATTGTTCAGATAAATATTTGAACCGCACAACCTCCTTTTAATTTTTGGCAATGGTTTGTGTTGATATTTGATGTCAATTTTTTTTTTTTTCACTGAAAGTTGTAAGGCAATTTGATGAGGTAAGAAATAGAAACTGGAAGAAGAGTCTGTGGATGCCTAATCATGAACATGGTTTGCATCAGGTAACAAGATGATGATAGAAGAGACCAAGCGGAGCATCCATGATGCACTTTGTGTGGCTAGGAATCTCATACGCAATAATTCTATAGTGTATGGTGGTGGTTCAGCTGAAATCTCATGCTCAATTGCCGTTGAGGCAGCTGCAGATAAATATCCCGGCGTCGAACAGGTGCGTTCTCTTTCACTTCATCCACTCATTTTCATTCTCGTGAACCAGTGCCATCTAATTTTTTCCCCCCTTTTTGTACATTCACAGTATGCAATCAGAGGATTCGCGGATGCCTTGGATGCAATCCCCATGGCACTAGCTGAGAATAGTGGTCTACAACCTATTGAGACACTATCTGCTGTTAAATCTCAACAAATTAAGGTAATGGGACACAAGGGGTGGTTTTTTTTTTCTTCAATTTGTTTTTTACTGCTTCTGAATTTTTATTTTGTACACTGGTTAAATCTATCTGGACGTGGAAATGTAGGAGAACAATCCATTCTGTGGAATCGATTGCAATGACGTCGGAACCAATGACATGTGCGAGCAAAATGTCTTTGAGGCTTTGATTGGGAAGCAACAGCAGATCTTGCTGGCAACTCAAGTGGTCAAAATGATTCTGAAAATTGACGATGTCATTTCCCCATCCGACTTCTGATATTAGGCGCAACCATTCCCAAGGCGGAGCTCATTGTTTTTGGCTTGCCGTGATGTGTGGAGTGTCGTTCCAGACACTGCACTTTTTGTCGTTGATTGCTGATGGTTTGTGAATTTTCAACTGTGTTTAATTGAACTTACTTATGTTTTGGTCCATTCCCAAGTATTGGATTATTTTGCCACCGTGCATCTTTCCTTTCTGGTTGATCCTTTGTTAGAAATGATTGGACACTCTAAAATATTTGCTTGAGGTGGGGTAAAGACCATTTTTGTAATCAAAGGTTGAAGTTGCCTGGTTTAGTAATGATTCCGCCCTGTGCCTGCGTATCGGAGACCATCCTTGGCAAAGGACCCTGGATGCTGTTTCCTTCAACGTTGGGGAAGACGAGGAAAATGTTAGGAATGAAAGTGGCTGTGGAAATCAGGGGACTCATGGAAGTTTTGTTGAGGAGATCATTGAGGATAACTTCTCAGATTTTACCAAATTCATCCCCTCATCTGTTTTCTTTCCCTCGTTGGTTTCCGGAGAGCGTTACCCTATAATTCGATCGGCCTTAAGGGCCTACCTAGCGATGATTGATGAACAAGTGGCAATGACATCGAAATCTAGTGTTTCCCGATGTCTTGAATTAGCTTCGAATTTCTTGAAGATCATAATAGTGACTTAGGGCGCGTTTGGTAATATTAATATTTAGGAAAATTTCAATTAAGGGCTTAAAGTGTATTCGTTTTTTTAAATAAAGGCATGAAGTGGATTTTATTTCAAATAAGGGCTTGAAGTGGTCAAATCATCTCAAATAAGGCTTTGAAGTGGTTAATTTATCTCAAGTAAGGACTTTGGCTTGCCGAAGACTTTTTCGGCTGTCGGAGAATGGGTATTTTAATCAAAAAAATTTAAAGTATATATTTTTTAATTTTTTGATTTTTTAACTTTTTTTTTCTTTTCATTTTCTTTTCTTTTCTTTCTTTTCTTTTTCCTTTTTTTTCCCTTTTCCTTCCCCCGACATCGCTAACCTCAGGCGAGGGCGAGGGCAAGGGCGAAGGGGTTCCTCCCTAGGTTCGGCGAAGGCATCGCTTGGGCGAGCGAGAGCTGCCCTCGCCTGGGCTGGCGAGAGCGACGTGAAGGCGTTTTTCGCCAGATCTGGCTCTTCGGCGTTGTGCGAGGATCGCCCTCGCCTAGATTGGGAGAGTGAAGGCGGCCCTCGTATGAGTCCGGCGACCTTTGCCGGTGGTCGGTGGAGGGAGAGGGAAAAGAAAAAAGAAAAAGATAAGAACAAGAAAAGGGAAAGAAAAAAATAAAGGAAAAAAAAATTCAAAAAAGTAAAGGACGAAAATGCCCTTTAACCAGCAAGGTCAGGCCGTTTTTAAGACTAATATGGCCACTTCAAACTCTTATTTAAGATAAAGTCCACTTCATATCCTTATTTAAGAAAATGAAGGTATTTTAAGCTCTTATTTAAGAAAACGATGGCACTTCAAGTTCTTATTTAGAATTTTCCCTTTATATTTCTCTATTTTTTTGTTTTCCGTAATATAAAAAGATACGTCATAACTTTTTTATTCCTCGGAATAGAAAAGTGGCCAGGGATAAATTTTGAACAGAAATAAGAAGTTAAAAAAAATATACTATTTTGTTCCCAAAAATAATTTCCAAAATAAGGTCATTTTTTTTTTCTTTTTTTCCTTCTTTCTTCTTCCTCCTTTAGTTAGTTGTCGGGTCTCGGCGATAGCCGGTACCAAGCTCTTTGGCCTTTGGCGAGCCTCAACCTCGCCTAGTCGGATGAAGCCGACCTTGTGATGGCTGGGCGAGGTCGAGGGGCGAGGCCGACCTTGCCCAAATCCGACGAGGTCGACCTCGCCAGCTCTCATCTCTAGTCGGTCGTCAGCCGTCGCCGAGGCCCAGAGACCAGCTAGAGGAGGAAGAAGGGAGGAAAAAAAGAACAGAAAATTTTTTAAAAAATGAGATAAATCTCAAAAAATTATTAAAAAACTAAAAAAATTTCAGGTCACCAAAAATTTTTAAAATTTTTAGGGTCATACCAAATGTCTTTCTATTTTTTTTTATTCCGAAAAAAGAAAATTTGTGCAGTCACCAAATACGCTCTTATGCTCAAAAACTTGTCCAAGTAATATAAACTGAAATTATTTCCGGGAATAAAAATGTTATGCCACGTATCCTTAGCCGCAGGAAGGGTGGCATGTTCCATCTTAATATGACCAAAGGAGTGCACGACCAAAATGAAAGTATGTCGTGTCGACTGGTTTTGCCAAACAGAGTGCTTTGCATTGCCTCTCCCTGGGTGTACGTACGAGGAGAGGTACTATATACTCCACCGTCGCTGTCCTAATCATTAAAAATCGAGGGGCCATTCATGGTGGACGATGAATTCTTGCTTTCCTTTTTAGAACAGTCCCACGTGAAGGCTCTGGACCAATCAAAGCTCAAACCGAGGGGACAACCTGCTCTTTCTTCCCCCAACAAGCTCGATACCATTTTGAGATGTGCAAGTGATGCGCTCTCAAGTCTCTGGACTGGTATCACAGTGCATCCAGCAGTCAATTCGATGATGATATATGAAGATGAGAGATAAAATCAAATTCATCAATCCATTGAATGAAACTGAGCAAATCTTGCATCCAGCTATTCACAATTGGAGAACCCTAAAACATCAGTCCAGTTCTTTCCCCATAAAATGAAGTCAGTATTTGCAAAGTCCCCACCTACCTAATTAAGGACTAAACCTATGTACACAGAAGATATGCACAAATGGTGCTAAAAGAATGTCAACGGAAATCAGTTCGGTTTTCTTAACTTAGGTCTACGTCAACCTGCTCGGGATTTTGCTTTTCGGTCTGGTTGGCGATGGGGCCTATGCCCAGCTGCCCCTTGTCTCCTGCTCCAAACGCATAGAGCTTTCCTGATTCGGTGAGCGCAAAGGTGTGCGCGTTCCAGTAAATAGAGTTAGTGAGACTAATCTGTACAATCTTCTCGTTGACCTGCTTCAGCGATGTCACGAGCGCGGGGCTCAACACGTTTGTGTGCCTATTTCCCTGCGAAACAACCCTTATGATCAATGTTAAAGGAATGTCCACCCAAAACTCAAATGCACATTCTTTGGTTGCCAATGAACGTGCCGTTAATTCATGGGCATTTTCGCTTGCATTGGTCAAGAGAAAGAGTAGCTGAAAAGAAATAACAAGCAGTCCATCTAAAAACACGAGTCAATATGGTGAAGGGAATGAGGAGACCTGTGCATCGACGATGGCAACATGTCCAAGGCTAGCAGATTCACCGCAGCCAAAAGAGTAAACTTCACCCGCTTCAGACACCACAAATGTCGTATAATCCCCCGTCGCAACATGAACTGCTTTGACATTGTTCAGCGATTCCACAACCTTAGGGACCAATTCGCACTCTTCATCGCCATGTCCCAAGCAACCATAACGACCCCATCCCCAGGTGCAGACCCGTCCATCCCGCCCAACCACAGCGGCATGCCAAGCTCCAGCTGCAACCACCATGGGTTGAACATTCAAATGCCGAAATTGTTCAATCAAGCGAGGGTACCTCTCGTCAGTCTTTGCACCGTGTCCAAGCTTTCCGCCCAAGCCACACCCAACGGAGTACACCGACCTGAAATGTTCAGTAAAAAAAGTTCCATGGCTCAGAGATCGTTAAGGAAGGAACACAAAAACAATAGGTATGCTGGTGCTTGGAGGCGGCAAACATTGTGATCTAGCATCCCAAGTCAAACAATGCTCTATCAAAGTAGTTTAGTGGAACAAGGTTCAACTGGAAGCATGCTTCACTACTGATAGAATAAAAAAAGTGTAAGCATATTCATTTCGGTCAACATTTTCCAATATTAGCCAGGAACTTGCATTGGTAGTATCTTCCATACTTCCTACATTGACGGCTCCCATGCAATGTGAGCTACATCTAAATTTAAGATGCCGATGAAGAGTTGAAGGCATCAAGGAGCTGCAAAGGTGGGGTGTTGGAGTATTTCTATTGATTGGTCACAATAGAAACCTAGAAAACTTTTTATGGAAACTCACATGCCACTAGGCTCAAAAGCCAGTGCAAGAAGGTAGCAATATCCTGCGGCTATTTGCACCACTGGTACATTCTCCAGAGCACCCAATAAAGGGCGGGGCTCCACATCATTTGGCTCGGTGTGGTGTCCAAGTTTGCCATCAGTTCCCCAGCAGAATGTATAAACCCTGCCTTCTCTAGATAACACGGCTGTGAAGAAATTTCCAATTGCAGCTTGAACCACGAAGATGCCTTTCAACGATTCGACTAGCCGTGGTGTTGTGACAAGATTAGATCCTTGGCCCCCCCATTCCGCTTCGCCGAATGAGTCCTTCCCAAAGGCATAAACCTGACCTGCATCGCTAATCAGCATTGTCCTGCCCGCTCCTGCAGCTGCCTGGATTATTCGGACGCCTTGAAGGGATCTGTAACACACGAGCTTCCATTAACTTTTCACACACCCAATTTCTCTCTCATTTTTCTCGCAGAGCAACAGTGACTGTTAAGTCATTAACCTGATCAGCCGAGGCCGCCATTCCTCTTCGGTGGTGCCATGTCCCAATTGCCCATTGATGTTTGAGCCAAATGTGTGCACCTCTCCTTCAGACGTTACAGCAATACTATGACCAGGCCCAGCTATCGCCTGCGACTTCTCCCTCCTGCAACATATCTCCCCAGCAAGCAAGAAACAAAGAACTAGTTTCCAGGAACCCCCGCATTTTCGCTTTAAATCTTGGCGCTCTTCAGGTGTCATTGGCTTAAAGATAGCTCTCTTCTGGCACATGTCCAGAGCAGCAATCTCTGTCACTGACAATTCTTGGTCAGGATCGAAATTTGCGGGTTGCCTGAAGAAGGAACAGGTCGCCTGCAGAACGTACAACAAAATTATCAAGCAGCAACACCAATTCTAGCATCTCGAGTCACATCCGCATGAATAATGAAGAGAACCGGAACGACTTGCCTCTAACTTGGCGAGATCTTGCGGAGTGAAATTACATGACGTAAGGACGTGAAGAACAATGGAAGGACTAGCAGCCAATGGGAATTCTCCAGGGATAGTGTCCCCAAAGCAGTGCCGTGTTTGGCGTTGAAATGTCCGAATAGGAGATGCCACGACTGCAGCGACTGGCTGGTCAGAAATGTCACGGTACTGTATAGCTTGGCTTTCACTTGCGGTGGCATCCATGGGCACTGCTAAACGAGGCAGTGCCAAGCTTTGTGGACTCAGAAATTTTCAAAATGCTGGAGCAATCAAAAAGTAAGTGCATATGTTAGCACCTTCAAGACAGATTTCCCAGAACAAGGACAAACTTATACGCAAAAGAGTTTCGGCAACAACAGCTACCTTGATATATGTATCAACAAGCTTCAAGTTTGAGACCTACAAACAGAGCACGTCACCGTAAAACTTCAAATCATGAGAGTAAATCAATGTTTGAGATAAAATATGTGGAAATACTATATCCACTTTCCATGAGAGGGCTGATCAAACGACAATCAAGCCAATTGAAACTAATACAGCAAGACAACATCAAATCAGCAGAGATTCGAAATGAACAAAGAAAAAACTACAAAACCATCTGAGCAAACTAAGAGTTGCACAAATTGCACAACCCATGAAGCATATGAATGACCTCTCCATCGAAATGAAGCGCAGATCATGCTTGGTTGAAAGGGTAACTTTTGCAAACATCCAACAACGAGGGAGCAGAATAGCAGAAAATGCTGATGAAAGCAAAATAGGCTCCAGTGGCAAAACATTGAACATATCCTGGCCAAAGAAAAACAAATTTCGGCACCCCGAAAGACGAAAACTTGGGAAGAAAGAATGCTAATCTTCCATTTAAAGGATATTCCATTGCCTTAAACAACCCAAAAAGGAAAAGATTCTCATGTCAGCTGAGGAAAAACAGGAACTCCTTGCACGCAATCTCAACTCAATCCCAGCAAACACAAAATCAAGTACCATCAGAAGAAATAAAAAGAAAAGCAAACCAAAAGCAAACCAAATTTTGCAAAAAAGACCCAGACCGACAGGATGAAGTTCAAACACAGATGATGCACGAACGGATGAACCAAAAATTCGATCTTTCCACATACCCAGATTAGCAAATCATCGCCACATCATCCATCCGATCAACGAAAACGAAAAAGCACACCCGATCATGCAAGCCACAAGAAGGAAGAGATGAAATCAGCCAAAACAGAGAAGAAAAGGAAAAAGTATACGTGTTGAATGACTCGATCATCAGCAGGTAACAATCGTCACATAGAGAGGGAACAGGAGTAATTCCAAGATCGGGAATTACGACAACGATTCATCCACCGATCTCCAGAGAATTGCCCACGTTTGCAATCTCATCAGCTGCGACTGAATTCAAAGCTGTTCTCGTTGAAATTGACAAAAGTAAGAAGAAGAAAAACAGAGGATGGAAAGAGCCGATCGCGTTGCGTATCAGACGAATTCCGGAGAAGGGAGATTTGGGATATCGTTCCTCCGATTGAATTCGGAATGAATAATTGATAGCTTTTTAGTTGTGTGGGTGCGTGCTTGATGAGGAAGATGACGATGGGGAGAGAGAGAGGAGGTGAAGTCTTTGTGAGTGTCTAACAAACGTTTTTCTAAAGCGATGAGGTGTCTGTCTCTCTTGGATGCTGAGCCTGCTCCCCCTTTATATATTTGTTTGTGCCTCCTGCCTAATTACAAGTCCCCTTCCCCATTCTCTTAAATTGAACTGTGGTAAATTTGATCAATGAATAATAATGATGTAAGGTTAGATATAAAAAAAAAACAGATTTGTAAAGTAATGAGGTGAATTGAACTTAGATATATGTAAATAAGTAGGTCGCATTCGAAAAAACGTGATCCCCGCTATTACGATCGGGCCGCTATGTCTCCGACATTATCCATAAGCCTGCTATCGAAGTCGGGGTTTTAAATGGGAAGGCATATGCTCGGCTGTGCATTTTAGCATCTAATGTTTTTGCATCTCGAAAAAAAGGGTTGAGTTATATTTGATATTTTTTGCTTGATGAATGATCGGTGTCTTTAATCCTGTGATTTCGTCGAAACACAAGACTCATCTACCGTGTGAAATTGATTCAAGATGCTGCCTAACATAATATTGAGAACGTTGCTAACACAAAAAAAGTCATAAACCTCTTCACATTGATATCAATTCAGTCCATTCGCCTAATTTAGACTAGAAATTGCTGACGTGGACAATGATCATTCTATGTGGCACGGCCGGCTGACGTGGACATTTTTAAAAAAAAATTTAAAACTTTTTGTGAAATTTTTATTAATTTTTCTTTTCTTTTTTCTTTTATTTTTTTCTTCTCTTTTCCTTCTTTTCATTTTTGCTTTTTTATCTTTTTATCTTTTTTCCTTATTACCCTCCTCGAGTCGCCAGCCGGCGAGGGCAAGGCCCTAGCCATCCGGGCAAGGCTGCCCTCCACATGAGAACTGTACTATTTAAGAATAATGATGTGAAAGATACGATTGAGGAATTTGTGTATATTTCGATATATAGAAAATAGTACATGGAGAAAATAGGCTTTAATAGATGACTATATAATGAAATCAAATCAGATATGCATAATCAATATGGAAATAAAAAATTAGAGGAAATATATAAATATCTCTAGAATATATCTAAATATCTCTAACATGCTCACTCAAACTCATGATATCTAAATCAGTTTGAGTTTGAAATCAAGTTAAACAGCGTTAGACGTGAGGCGGCGTGGTAGATAACTGAGTGACGCAGCCTATACGGCTAGCATCAAAGCAGCAAGCGGTCTATATGATTGGCTTGGGAAAATAATTACTGAGCGACACGGCCTGTGCGACTGGCATCAAAAGAAAGCCTCCTCCGTGAAAAGGGCTACTATTGTGGAATGGACTCAATTAAGTGCTTCCTCATGTAAGACTTAGTGTATGAAGTGAACACTGATGAGTTCTAGGGTGCATCTCTTAAGAATAATGATGCGGAAGATAGGATTGATGAATTTGTGTATATTTCGATGCATGGATTATAGTACATGAATAGCCTATTTATATGCTTTAATAAATTACTATATGAGGAAATCAAATCAGATATACATAATTAATATAGATATAGAAAATTAAAGGAAATGTTCTAAATAGATATCTAAATATCTCTAAGAGTATTGATGACCCCTGTACATCTCCTTCTGTATCGAAAACTAAGCTCGCTTGCCGGATTTGGCAAGGGGCGACCTCACCCAGCCCTCGCCAGCCTTTGGTGAGGGCTAGGCAAGGCCGCTCCTTGCCAGTTCTAACGAGGGCGTCTTGGCCCTCGCCCTCGCCCTTCCTAGCGGTTGGCCATCTCGGCCGATTGGTAACTGACGAAGGGTAATAAGAAAAAAAAAAAAAAGAGAAAATAAATAATCAATAAAAAATTTGAAAAAGGTATTCAATTTTTTTTAAAAATGTCCACTACAGCGTTTATTGTGCCGTGTAGAATAGTCAGCATCTACGTCAGCAATTTTCAACCTAAAATGGTCGGATGGACTGTAGTGGTATCAATGTGAAAATGTTTAGGATTATATTATTCTCATCAAAATATTTAAGATTGAATTGGTACCAATGCAATAAATTTAGGAATTTTTTGGTACTTTTCCTATGCACTCAGACCATAAGAAATGAGTGCATATGGTGAGTATGAGGTGGAGCCAAGATCTAATTTCGTAATGAATTTTGGGAAAAAGGTATTTTATTTGAGAAAGGGTAATGTATTACTTAAATAGTTAATACCACGAAAAATTTCAAATTTATATACATATGACAAATTTACCCTAAATTAATATTTGGGTTACCAAAAATCCCAAACTAATACACTCGTGACAAATTTACCCTAAACTGATATGGATTTCCATATAAACTCATGTCTATTGAGTAATTGTTACGTACCATTCAACTTAACAATTTGACGATAAAATTTGACGGAAGCTAACGGATAGTAAATTTGTCACAAGTGTACTACTTTAAGGTTTTTGGTGATGCAAAAATAAGTTTGGAATAAATTTGTCACATATGTATCATTTTTAAGTTTTTAGTGGTATTAACCATTGCCTAAATATCACTTTTATTATTAACAGAATAAACCCAATAACATCTTCAACCCTAAACTTTGACAAAAGTAATTTACGAAATGCCCCTACCTACAATTAAAATAAAAAACCGTACATAATAAAAAAATAAAAGAAAATCGTAATTCCAATAATCAAGAAATTTGTCGAGTAATTGATGACAGTCCTCACCTTTTTCTATGAATATCTATCTCATCCTTTTGGTATTATGAAAATTTCGCTTCATATTCTCGAAAGGAATCCAACGTGGCACGGTCGGTATTGATATAGATAATTTTTAATAATATTTTAATATTTTTCAATTGTTATCTTTTTTCTTTTTCTTTAAAATTCTTTTTTTTTTCTTCCCTTCTTCCTCTAGCCGGTTGCCTATTGTGAGGGCCGGCAAGGGCGAGCTCGCCCCGCCACACTCACCCCGCCATGGCCAAGTTCCCTTGCGATGAGAGTAGTAATCTTCCTACTTCGTTGTCTTCAGCTCTCTCCGCAAAAGTGATGTTCAACGGCAAGTCCAAGTTGCCTTCCGTCTGAGAACTAGGTCATTGACTCCCTCACCTCTCACATGTCACATCTCTCTCTACACCTCCCATTCCCCCTCCTCCCTAAGCCCTAGCTCCACCCCCGGGCCTCGATCTTCAAATGGCTCCCGTCCCTCATCACCCACCAACGTCGACGAGGGCAAGCCTCGCCGCATAGGTCAAGCCTTGCCAATGGCGGGGCGAGCTCGCCCTTGCCTAGCGATGGCAAGGTCGACCTCACCAGCCCTCACCTCTGGCTGATTGTCGAGATCCAGCGACTGGTTAGAAGAAGAAGGGAAGAAAAAGAAAGAAATTTGAAAAAAAGGAAATCAAGAAAAAAATTAAAATTTTATTAAAATTTGTTCATTTCAGCGTCAGTCGTGCCATGTAAGACGGCCGGTGTCCATATTTTGGCCGAATGGACTGAATTGGCACAAATGCAGAAATTTTAGGACTCAATTGGCAAAAAAAAAAAAAACGGTTTAGGACTGATTGGCACAATTGAAATAGGTTAAAGACTTTTTCTGATAATTCTCCGTCGGAATACAGAAAAAAGAAAGAAAAGGGATCATGAGTAGAAAGACAGACTTCCAAATTTCTTGGAGCTCAATCGACTCTTGGAGACTATCACAGGCAATACACATCTTATAAATTCAACAGATGGTACTTTGGTATTCCTATGATTCCGGAATAGCACGAAATCGATCATTACCACTAGACAAAACATGCTTCAGCAATCTCTGCACATTGAACATAATTAGCAAATCCAGTGGCACTCATTCTCCAAGGAAATGAATGCTCCGCATTCAATTCGACATTATTCTTATTCAGCTGAGTGTTCTCAAACACTCTTGATACAATTAAACCACTATAATTGCACTAGGAACTAAAAAGTTCTAAGTAGGGTTTTGGCTCGCACTCGGTATCATTCTGGGCTACCAAATATGTTTGAAAAGATATTCATTACCGTTAAATTCACCGTCGATGGAGAAAATAAGTTATTCGATTAGAATTCGATAAGGGACGTGTGTGTGTGTGTGTCTGGAGTTGGTTATGTAGCGGAATTCTTTATGCGTCGATCATCTGACAGTGACGTGCAAAATAATTTCGTACACCAATCACGCGCCTAACGAAATATTCAAAACGAGGAAAAAGGAAAAAGAGCATAGGAAAATAAATGGAGCAATCTAAAACCTCTTTCTGTCCAGCTCATTGTTAGAGTTTTTTACTCGAGCTTTCTTAGAAAGATTTCTTCGGACACTGTTCTGAAAGTTACTTAATCAAGCAAATTTTACAATATTCAAGATGTTAAGAGATGACGAAACAACCACCCGCCTGAGTGGCGCTGCTGAAAAGGGCACTCTTCCTCTCGCAAAAGGTTGAGTGTTCGAATCCCGGGCGCCGCAGGGTGACTTAATCGGTGCACGTGTGTGGTGGCTAGCACGTGTCGCCCCCAGGGTTTACCTCCCGGCTGTCGGCCGTGCGGGGGTTCCCTGAGTTACCAAAAAAAAAAAAAAAAAGAGATGACGAAACCATAATAGCTATGACTTTTTTTTAAGGAAATTTACATGTCAACTGCATCTTTCGTAATGTCCAAGCACTCTCGATGTCTCGTTGCACTAAACTTCTGGAGTAACTGCCAAGATATTCCTCCATAAATAGAGCCAGCAAAAGAAAAGTTGAAATTTGGATTGCAAAACATTGCTACAGATACATCCCGATCAATCGATGTCTCCGTCCCTCATGCACCGAAAACCCACGAAAGCGATCTAAAAGCTTAACCCGTCAGACAACGGCACAGAACATGTTTCAACTCTTAAAACTCTTTCGTACGTAGAACCTTAAGTACGCGGGCATACGATAAACGAATCGTCGAAACCCGTTGCACGTAAAGTAGAACGGAGCGAAATCAAAAGCGAAACCTCTTGCTCTTTTACCGTGTTGAAGTCGGGCGTACAAATCTTATTACAGACAGCTCAGATGATTTTGTTTCCTTCGTGAGAAAACTCTTCACATGCCAAATCGCGTCAATTGCCAATAGCCGAGGAAACAATCTCAAAGCTACAGCCGTGCGATGCACACGACATGGTGTCGTCCAAGGAACACGCAATCATCTCGTCGTGGCATGCACTGCACCGGTCACCACCAGATGGACAATCTGGCGAGTTTCCCCATCATGATCTCTTTTGTCTGAGAAAAGGAAGGTATCGAAACTCACGATTCATTGACTCCTGCGAAATCTTTGCTGGGCAGTCTCTGTGCAAACATGTGTTCCTCAGAAAGGAAGCAGATGTCGAGCCCAGCTGACACTTTTGTTAACGAAATTCTGTGCCAAACCCTCGAAATTAAAAACATAGGAAGACAAAATCATTGTGGAAGAGCTCCACTTAACACATCATTTAAGGCAAAATATCAATCCGGGTGATTGAGATTTTTGGAAAAAACATGACCAGATATCTGTCCATTGTCCAGCCCAATCATTAGGCATGCTGACAAGCTTGATATGCTGTAATTAGCGTGATGCACCAGACAATTATGTCTTTGATCATGTGACCAACAGCTTAATTAAGGGTTTCTTTGCGACGGTTCTGTCTGCACAATTTGCTCTCTCTATGAACAGAAACATTTAAAAAAAACATAGTGCCCAAGCTCGACTTTTATTTTGGTGAGATCAGGAAACTGATAGGCACTTGCGGTGGGGTCAGTGTCTGATTTTTCCTTTCCTTGTCAATGATTAACATTAGTATTAGGACAATGGAAATGGATAATTAGGGTTGATGTCGCGAGGACGGAAATGGATTAAGAAATGGCCTGTGAAGTTGACCCTCGAACGGCTATGTACAAGACTCTTGTCTATTGTAAGAATTCCAATTCACTTTCGTTCTCCTCCTCCTCCATTGGGAGGAGCAGCGTCATAAGCTATTGGAATTGGAACTCACAAACACGACATTAAGGAGCTGCCAAAAATGAAAAAAGATAACAAGAAAAGAAAAGGAAAGAAAAGAAAAGCAATTTCGCGTCGTGGTTTTTCGACGGGACCTCACTTGCTATATCTCGCGCTTTTGCTTGCATGATTAGGTCAAGAACTTTCTACTCGTGGTTAGAGGAGCCTTTTAAGAAAGGTTTCCACACATGAATACAATCGATCGATGACCACCACCACAAGATAACATATAGGTTGAATGAGCAACGTACGACTCGGTCCGAATTCTCAACCGTACGAAGATGTAAAAAGCTGTTCGAAGCTTTCTTCACGGGTGTCCCGTCCATGGGGACAAGGCAACTCCAGAATTCGGAGCTGTTGCGGACTTCATGGATAACACAGCAAGTAACGTTGTTGTTGTTGTTGTTAGTATTATTGTTGTTGTTTATTTCCGAGATGCACCGAAGATGAAGGAAGACGACATCAACTAGTAAAAGTCTTTAAGGTCAAAACTACACGCAATCCTTCGTTATCATGTCCGGGTGCACTGGCTGGCCTCTGCATATTTGCGGCGTCAAAGTCCCAAGACACATGCGGGCACATTCTTTCTATGTTCATTTGACCGAATAGCACATAATTTCGCGCGCTCGCGAGATCCGGCACCTCCGATCCTAGGATGCATTCTCGATGCGAGGCTTCCTTTACCCGCTTCATGTGTTTCGGCATTCGGAGAGAGAATAGAATGACGGAGGTCGGGCTTTCGGCGTGGGGAAAAGTTTCGGGACAAAAAGCAAATTGATTGGGACGAAGAAAGAGTATGGAATATGCCACTTTTTCTCCATTCCCGTTTCGATATGATCACGTTTTTGAAAATTCCTTCTCCAAGGATTGAGATGACAATCTACGTACACGCCACGGCACTGCATTCATAACTTTTTAAAAACAAATGACACGACCAAACGTTACACGGCTTTCTGCTAGAACGAACATTAGAAGTCTTGTACGGTTGGCAGGTCAACGGAATTCTGCATGTCTTCGACAAGAAAACGAACCATTTCTACCATAAGATGGAACTCGGGCTTAATTAGAAGATGGGTAATCATTTCAATCTGTCTAAGGACCATCGTTAAGGTAAAAACTTCCAATGTACAAGGCCACAATGATCACCCTCTGAAAGCTGTTTAATATTGACGTAACTCCATTAGTTTTGTAAAAAATAAATAATTCAAAAAATAATTTTTAAAAAATGATCGAATATATCACTTATATCAATTAATCAATGTAAAATATTTTCATGACCAATATAATTGATATTTAAATATTTGGGTTAATACCACAAAAAACTCCAAACTGATACACCTATAATAATTTTATCAAAAATTAATTTTTTGACAACGAAAAACCTCAAACTAGTACACATATAACAAATTTACCCCAAACTAACTTTTTGACTACCAAAAACCTCGAACTGATACATTTGTGACAAATTTACCCTTCGTTAGTTTTCATTAAATTGAATTAATACCACAAAAAATCATAAACTGGTACGCCTATGATAAACGGAGGGCAAAACATAAAATTGGTACATCCGTTAATTGTTGCGTGTCATTTAACAAAGCAATTTAACAGTAAAATTTAACGGAAATAAACTGAAGGTAAATTTGTCACAGATGTATTAGTTTGGGATTTTTGGTGGTCAAAAAATTAATTTAAGATAAAATTATCACAGGCATACCAGTTTGGGATTTTTTGCAACATTAACCCTAAATATTTTCATGGCCAATGAGAAAATTTCTCATTCCAATCATTTTTATGAGCAATGCAAACGATCTTTTTTCAAAGTATTCATTTTCCATGAATCAAACAAAGCCTTGATCTCCTAAATTTGGTTCAATGAGCTCAAAAACTTCCGGCCTCTGTTTTTATTAAGTTAGAATACATGTGGAGAAGCCTTAACGGTCACATCCTGCTTTTGTACAAAGAATACAACGGGTACACTCTCTCACTTAGGAAAATATACTGAACTAGAGAGCTGAAAGATATGCCGGGAGTGCCTTTTCTTTCACTCAGGCTCTTGTTATAGCTGCACAAGGCTCAAAAATTTTAATGAGAACTTCACAGAAGTGGCTGTCACAAGTGCAATGAACGAAATGTCATCTTCGAGCCAGCATGCTTCGTGTTTTTCTTCATCAGTCCAAGACAAGAGTATCCCAGTCTCCTGGACGTAGTGGTATTATTAGTTGCTACACGGCTTCTTTGCCTTTCACACTGGCTTCTCTCTCTCTCTCTCTCTCTCTCTCTCTCTCTCTCTCTCTCTCTCTCTCTCTCTCTATGTCTGTGTCCTCAAGGAAGAGTCGATACATTATCGCTACATGTCTTCTTTTCCTCGACCACTCTTCATTGTTGCGTCTGTGTCTTTGAGGAACTTATGCAACTCAGTTGAATGCTTTGACTGCTCCCTGCAATTTAGACCATGTTCAGTCATATAATCAAATCAACCATGTAGATCATCAAGCAGCATGTCGGAAATGAGTAAAAGGATGAACAGTTCCACAATTTAAGGTATCATTACCTTTGCCATGTTTTCGTCTACATTCTAGTTGTCATTGCTTTCAACATCATTATCTGCGACAACAGCACCTTTATCTGACCTAGCAGGTGATGCCTTCTCGTCGTCCTGCAGTTCAGGACTCAAAAGGTTGCCATTGACAGCTACTCCACCATTTGACGAATGATAAGTACTATTCTTATATTGAGCTTCTTCAGTGCTCTTATTCACCAATGGTGCTCTAGTCTCATTATTTACCTCTGGCACACTAGTTTCTTTTTCATGCCTTTCATCAGCTACTTGAATTTCTTTAACAGCCACTGTTGCGTCTTTCTTTCGCTGTTCTCTCTCCTGTCGCCTCCTCTCCTCTTGCTCCTTTATTTGCTTGAACCTGGCAAAGAGCAAACAACTAGAAAGTTAGGCAATCTAGTATTAACTCCCGTACATTCATTAACAAGCAGTAAGTCTCACAGAAACCAAAAACTGCAACCTTTCACCAGGGCGGGGTCCCTCCACAGTCAAATTTTCCTTTCCTTCGACCTTCTTGGTTGAACTTAATTGAGTCGTTGCCGAATTTGCCATAAACTCAGATTCAATCTTCTGATTTTGCATTTCATCTAGTTTAATTGTGTTGTTGCCGAATTCATTGAGCGGATTTTTAGCACCACCTAACTTTTGAAGCCATACTTGTTGTGCAGTGCTCAATATGTTGTTTGTCAGCCTGCAAATAGATATACATGAAAACAAAGTAAGGGAACCTTGGCAGAATAAATAGTCACAGAAAGCAACGCAGAACATTATAGCAATGTAGCAGGTTTCGAGAGAAATCTGATTATAATCACAAGTCAGAAGATCATCACAATGCACTCACCAATAAAGGCTTAGGCCAGAAGGAACAGAAAGGGAAAAATATCCAATCATTAGAGGTAGGAATTTTGTTATTGCTTGAGAACCCTTCATGCTTGGATCATTGCTCTGACAATAATCAAAAAAAGTCAATCCGTTTGTCATGTTAAACTACACTTGTGAATTGTCAAAACATAGCCAACAGAATTATCAATAATCTATTCCCATGGCCAGTACTAAATTCTTAATGACAATCATCAAAAAGAGTAAATCCGTTTGTCATGAAAAATTACACTTGCAAACAGTCAAAACATAGCCAACAGACTTATCAATAATCCATTCCCAGAGGCAGTCCTATATCCTTACTGGACATATGGTCATCTGCTCCAATGTATTATGCATAGAGGAATAACAGGTGGATTTAGTGTACCAGTGCAAAAGCAATAAAGAGACTGCACAGAAAAGCAATACATGACAAAGACTGTTAAAGACATTCAGCAAAATTTTACACTCAATATATGAATCAAGATGGTATGTGCTAGTGAAAGTGATGTCGGACTGTGAATGAGTAATAAGGGTTCCAGAGGAGGGAAGAAGGTTTTTTTTTTTTTTTTTTGGTATGGGAGGGGTGGAAGAGAAGGGGGGGGGGGGGGAGGGGTAACAAGGAGGAGGTCTGCTGAACAGGATGAAAGATTCACACGTGAGATTAAAATTTTCATTATGTGGATAATCATAGTTCAAGTCAATTATGTGGACTTATAGATGTATCTTGATATAGATGCATGGGACCTATCCTAACCTCAGATTTTTAGACTTGGAACTTCACCAATCCATGCAACAAGGACATCTTGCTTTGTTGCATTATGGGATGCACTATGTCCTTGGATGTAGACTTAAACCCTCACCAATCCATGCAACAAGGACATCTTGTTTGCTGCATTATGTGTTGCACTGGTCTAGCAGGCAAGTGTATCATCCACGACAACATACGAAGAGCTTTTTATGAAAGCATACAAGAATAATGAATGCAAGAAAAAATGCCTAGTGCAATTGTGCTTCACATATCAACTTATATCAAATGAAGTGACCAACTGAATGACTGACCTGAGATGACTGCATGATTTGGACAGACATGTATTGAGTAAAAACCAGCAACAAAGGCAGGACAAGGTATGCCAGTGTATCTGACCATCCAAGGGGTGGATGACCATCCTGCAATGAAATTTAAGCAGCAAAGACATAAATATATCCAATTCATGTAAGATGTGATAGCACCTAAATCTAGAGCACAACTGCAAGAACTTAAAGGCACGAACAAGGACATGATGCAACTTCCAGTTTTCTTATAGCATGCTAGTCAACAAAATTTCTGCAGCTGGATTGTAAAGTTCCACAGCTATACTGTCAAGGTTGCTTAGTAAGATGCGATTTCACTTACTACAAAAGGAAAAAGCCAAGAGATGCCACTTCCGTTTTGTCGAGCTGCAATTGTAGTTGGTCCAGCCAGGGAAGGTATCCAGAAGAAACCTTCTGTAAGGAGTCCCTTATTATGCAATGGGAGTATCCCATCAGTTAAAAACAGAAGACAAAAGCAACTGCCAAATTGACCTTAAATAAGTAGCATCCTTACCTCGTCAGCCACGTTTGAAAGAGCCCTATAAAGCCCAATCCACACTGGTATAGTGGCAAGTGTGGGCAAGCAACCTTGGAGAAATATGAAAAACATTAAAATGACAAAGAACATAAAAGATGAATAAATTAAATAAATCCGCCTCCCTCGCTAATCCTACTTATAAGAGCAGGGGTTCCAGTATTAACTAAGATCAAATCATACAGCACGAGTAATCTATCTGAAGCTATAGAGAGCCACATTCTTCATGTCTTCAAATAAAAAACAGTAACAGACGACCAGCATGAAAGATCTAAAGTCTCTTTACAACATTATCAGTCACGAACAGATTACCAGTGTAGCTATAGTAATTCACCTGCCAATGGATTTATTCCAGCTAGTTTATACAATCGAGCAGTTTCGAGTTGAATTCTCTCCTGTTGGTAGACATTGAAGAATAAATGTCAATTAAAGATCGACTACATAAATAACAGGCCATAGCTCTGAGGGAACCCTGAAAAAGTGATGAAAGAAAAATAAAACTCCCACCTGATCACCCGCATATTGTTCCTGAATAGCCTTTATCTGTGGTTGCAGAGAGCGCATTGCCATAGCTGATTCTACCTGAGGAAACAATTTCAAATACTCATTTGCAGTGCTGTACAAAAAAAAGAAAGGAAGAAAAAGAACTTGCCACAAATAGATGTGGCAGAGGCACTTTACAGTACCGCCCACATATGGGTTAAAAGACCAAAGATGTGATAGGAACCGCAAGATGTTGCAGTTGCAAAGAACACTCTATATGAGATCAAGGACATAATATACAAATATTCTTCCTCTAACCACTCACTAGTTAAATAAAAGCAAACCTGTTTCTTTGTCAAGGGAAATGTAGCAGCCTTGACAAGTACCGTCAGGAGAATAATTGCAAATCCATATGCATACGGTACATGCAAAATAGAAAGCCCATCCTTTAGGACCTGAAATTGAGAGATTTGAGACAAAGATTTAATATAGCTATAAGGAATTATTGGCCATGTATAAAAAAAATCATACAGCATACAACTTAACAAGTTGTGTAAAATTATGCAACACAATAAATAGTTTGACAGTGACAATTAGGTTCAGCGAGGCATTATCCATGGAAGTTTCTTGCATGGCCCGACATAGAATGGTCTAGAGATAGATTCTTCCAACTTAATGATCCTGACTGGCACAACTTGGGCATAGCAATTTCCGAGCGAACACTCTTCAGAGCACAACTGCAGATAAGCTAGGGACTGGGAAAGAGAACTGTGGGGGAAGAGCTGTCTATCAAGACTAAGGTAAGACAATCCCAAGCAATGAGACTCCAATCTAATTCTTGCTCCCCTCCTAATATTGTGCCCAAGAATCACAAAAAATCTCGAGATTAGCAGCCTAACTTGTTTAGTTCCAATTCGCACGATTCATCAGTCAACTCATGCTTCTTTTTTAAATCCACAATTCACCATTCCAGCAAGAGTTTCAACATCAGCCAATCAATCACAAGCTAATCGCTAATTAAATGGAACGGTAGCGAAAGACCACAATCTGCTGAGATTAGCTCCAAAGGTCGATCCTGCACACCTTGAGAACGCTCTCCATGGAACTGGTGATGCCAGAGAGCCAATCGCCGCTCTGCTTAGCGTCCGTAGCGCTCGCGGCGACTGCATCGGGGGAGGAGGACGAGACGGCGGCATCGGCGATCGTGTAGAGCAACCCCTCGGCCCTGCCGAAGAGCTCCCTGGCGAAAACCTCCGCGCTCTCGGGGTCGGGACTGAACCCTAGCCGAGCGACGCAGAGCGCGCCGCGGGGGAGCGGAGGCGGCGGCCGGGGCGACAGGGGGGCGCCGAAGAGCGAGCGGCGGAGGAGGGGGCTGGCGGCGGCGGAGGGGCGAGGGAAGGGGGAGAGGACGGGGTTGGAAGCGGCGAAGGAGAGAGGATGGGACATGGTTGGGGAGCGGAGGTCGGCGATGGCGAAGAGAGAGAGAGAGAAGGGTTTTAGGTGAAGAGAGGGAGGGGTTTGAGGCAATTTCTGTAGTGCAGGAGTGGAGGAAGATGCTGATGCTAATGGCTCCAAGATTATGGGTAGCAAAAGATTATTAAGGGCTGTTTGACGAGCTATCAAATAGTGAAAATTTTTATTCTTTCGTATCAATTTAGGAACAGAAATTTCTTTGCTAAATTTTTTGTTCTAGAGCACAAATTTGCAAAAAATTATTTTCAAAATCAATTTTGAAACAGAATCAAGAAGCAAAAAAAAGTAGCTTCTTGATTCTGGGAACAATTTTTTCATTTATGATTCTTCTTGATTTTCTTCTTCCTTCTTGGTTTGTTCTTTTTCTTCTTCCTGGCATGTCGCCGGCCACCGGCCAAAGGCTAGGGCTAGCGAGGACTTTGTGGCCCTCGCCGGCCACGTCACTCAGCCATGGCGAGGCTGACCTCGCCGTCGCAACCCAGACGAGAGAGATGGGTCGCGATGGCGAGGGAGATGGGTCGCGACGGCGAGGGCTGCGATGCCATCACTGCCCTGGCCTGTGGCCGGTTGCCGACACTGGCGATCGCCCATGGCCAAGGAAGGGAAGGGAAAGAAAGAAAAAAAAGGAAAAAAAAAAGAAATATTAAAAAATTCAAAATATTATTAATAAAAAGAAATTTTGTGTAGTTACAAAATGCATTTATGTTCTTTTTCTATTATAAAAATAGAAATTTTAGGCAGTTACCAAATACTTTCAAATGCTTATAAATTGTTCCCGGGCACGGAATAAAAAAAAATCATTTCTGAGCAGAATCAGTTCCCGGACACAGAATCGTTACCACGCGCACTCTAATTTTCCCTTTTTCTTAAATATTGCGGAACCATGAAAGTTTTTTTTTTCATTTTTCATTTTTTTATCACTTTTATAAGTATAATGAAAGAGAAGAATCAATGGCATATTTGAAATATGAAATAACAGCAGATCGAGATAATTTGTGAAATATTTTCAACTGTAAAAATGGTTGAGTATCGCTCTGCCCTGACCCATTTGAGGCGTCGCGGCCTCTCCTTGTCGGAACAATGTTATTCAGGGGAGGGCTAATGGGCCTGCAAGTGCTAAAGAAGCTGGTCCCCAATTGGCCCATGTCAAGGGATTGAAGGTGTGGGCTAATTCAAAAAACAAAAAAAAAATACGGACTATATCTGGAATGACAATTTTGATCCAAATTTTTTTTTATCTCAATAAAAAGCACCAACATTTACTTGAGTCCCAAATCTGGCCCTCGTGTTGTGAAATTTTTGAATTGTTCATGCTAAATTTGGGATTCAAGTGAAAGTTTGTAATTTTTTTACGAGACAAAAAAAGTTCGGCGCCAGAATTGCCACTCGAAATAAAGTTTGTGCCTTTTTTTAGAATTGAGCCCATAGTCCAAGCTCACCTTCCGCCCATTGATCGAGTACGATTTCGTCCACTCCATCAATCGACCACAATAGCAGTGTCACGAATCACTCCGCACTGCCACCAACCACCGTTATAAGTGACTAATTGCTAATGTCACCTAGTCTTATGCAGACATGGCCACGGTTCGGAACCGGCCAGTTCCGGTTCGTGGCCATGTATGAACCGGCAATTCCGGGCCGGTTCTAGTTCCGGCCTGGTTCGGAACCGGCCGGTAAAAATTTAAAAAATAAATTATGAAATAAAAAAATAATGAATTATCAAACTATGAAATAATGAATTATTCAATATAAAATGTAATCAAAATGTACACTGTAATCAAATTTGGGGAAAAAAGAGAGAAAATAGGGCTTGAACTTAATGAATTATCATTAAGCGCCTTACATATCTTCTTGAGGATAGAAGAATCAAAATTCATGTAGTTCTTTTACCTTCAGTCGTCGCTACTCGTTCCGGTACTGGTACCGGTAGTGATGGTATCTCCATCGTCAAAGAATTCGGATTCATTATTTTGATCTATCTCTTGTTGTCGATATTGAGCCTTCATCCAATCATCGATGCAAGCTTGTGCCTCCACTGATTCCGGAACAATGTTATTCAGGGGAGGGCTAATGGGCCTGCAAGTGCTAAAGAAGCTGGTCCCCAATTGGCCCATGTCAAGGGATTAAAGGTGTGGGCTAATTCAAAAAACAAAAAAAAACACAGACTATATCTGGAATTACAATTTTGATCCAAATTTTTTTTTATCTCAATAAAAAGCACCAACATTTACTTGAGTCCCAAATCTGGCCCTCGTGTTGTGAAATTTTTGAATTGTTCATGCTAAATTTGGGATTCAAGTGAAAGTTTGTAATTTTTTTACGAGACAAAAAAAAGTTCAGCGCCAGAATTGCCACTCGAAATAAAGTTTGTGCCTTTTTTTAGAATTGAGCCCATAGTCCAAGCTCACCTTCCGCCCATTGATCGAGTACGATTTCGTCCACTCCATCAATCGACCACAATAGTAGTGTCACGAATCACTCCGCACTGCCACCAACCACCGTTATAAGTGACTAATTGCTAATGTCACCTAGTCTTATGCAGACATGGCCACGGTTCGGAACCGGCCAGTTCCGGTTCTTGGCCATGTATGAACCAGCTGTTCCGGGCCGGTTCCAGTTCCGGCCCGGTTCGGAATCGGCCGGTAAAAATTTAAAAAATAAATTATGAAATAAAAAAATAATGAATTATCAAATTATGAAATAATGAATTATTCAATATAAAATGTAATCAAAATGTATACTGTAATCAAATTTGGGGAAAAAAAGAGAGAAAATAGCTCTTGAACTTAATGAATTATCATTAAGCGTCTTACATATCTTCTTGAGGATAGAAGAATCAAAATCCATGTAGTTCTTTTACCCTCAGTCATCGCTACTCGTTCCGGTACGGTACCGGTAGTGGTGGTATCTCTATCGTCAAAGAATTCGGATTCATTATTTCGATCTATCTCTTGTTGTCGATATTGAGCCTTCATCCAATCATCGACGCAAGCTTGAGCCTCCACTGATTCCGGAACTAATCTTGAACGTTGTTCATCCAAAATATTATCTCCGGCACTGAATGCTTGTTCGACTGCAACTATCAAACATGGGGTTGCAAAAATTTATTTTGCAATAAGAAAAAGGATTGGGTATTGGCTTGTGTGCCTCTTCCACCAATCCAAAATTAAAAAATCTGTACTACCTTCGGATTCAGAAAACTCAAAGGAAACGGTTAGATACATCTCTAATTCAGAAATGTTTCCTATTATTCCCTTTTGCTTTTTTTTTTGTCTATGTAAAAAAAGTTGGTACCTTCTACTAATTTTACCTGTACTCTCACTTTGTGTCTCGGTAGATTGAGAAGATCCAATATCACCTCCATTAGTACAAAATTCATTATATAATTTTATTACTACGGTTTCAACCTCCCTTAGTATGGTTGTAACATCTACCGTATTATAATGTAAACATTGATAATACATATGCAAATAATCACCTAAATCATCTAATTTGTAACGTGGATAAAAAACACAAGCAACTAAATAAATAATGGGAATTTTGCTATAATAATGTAGCCACTTCATTCTCATTGTTACTATAGTATTTTGTAATTCAACATCATTCTCATATTCCTCAAAAACTTCGACAATTTAATACACTCTATAAAAAATAAATGCGTAGTAGGATAATAATCACCGGATAAAGTATAAGTTGCATAATTAAAAACCTTTAAAATATCTAAATTTTTTTTGCAAATATCCCACTCTTGTGGGTATAAATTAATCTGAGGTATATTATTAGAAATGAATGCACATAATAAATCTTTATATGCAAAAGATTCATTAAGTAAGTGGAAAGTAGAATTCCAACGAGTTGGAACATCTCTTGGAAATCTTCTTGGCCTTTTTTCATGTGCTTTACAAAATCTACTCTATTCTTTCATTTTTTTGGGATGTTTCCATAAAAATTGAATTGCTATTTTTATTGGTTCAAGAAAAATATCAAGAGTTTTCAAATCATATTGTACACATAAATTTAAAACATGACAAGCACATCTAAAGTGAAGAAATTTTCCGCCAAAAGCGGGTCTACAAATATTTTCTAAATCGGCAATTGAAGCGGTATTTGCCGTGGCATTATCAAAACCAATTGAAAATTTTTTGTTAAGCAAACAATATTCTTCTAAAATTTGCCTAATTATTTTATAAATATTATTTGCCGTATGCTTACCATTGAAAACTCTAAATGCGAGGACTCTTTTTTGAATATTCCAATTGTCATCTATCCAATGACATGTTATGCCCATGTAAGAATGAATTTGCCAATGATCACTCCAAATATCACTACCTATATGCACACATCCATTAAATTGCATAAAAAAGTTTTGTAAATCTTTTTTTTTTCATTTTTGTAAAGATCTTTAATTACTCGTGTAAGTGTATTTCTAGGAACACGTTTTGTTTGTGGAGCACAAGCTTTTTGTACAAATTGATTAAAACCAAATCTTTCTCCAAAATTAAATGATAAATGCTTAATGGAAACAAATTTACCCATTTCTTCCTTATAAGTTTTTTCATTAAAACGAAATAAACGAGAAGTGCTAGGATTGACGTACCCGGAAATTTGTTGTTGCTTGGTATTGATTCCCGTTTCGGTTGGATGTTTGCTCCTAAGATGTCGTTTGAATGTTCCATATCTTTGTCCACCTGTATATTTATATATTGCCCCACAATGTTTACAAATTATATCATACCTTTTTGGACCAATATCAAACATTCTGTTGTCGTGAAGTGGTCCCAAATGTCGGGTGTAAGTTCCGGCTCCGCCTCCTTTGTTGTTGACATTTCGGCATGAAAACTTTCTTGTGTTGGGACGCGTTCCACATCGGGAAAAATGTTTGATTTCATTATCTTGAAAATATGCATAATCACGAGGATCAAAAGAATGTTTGGATTCCGTCATTCTATTCTTACCTTTGCCAGTTGCCACTTGACTTCCACTTACCATTTTTCGAGTGGATTGAGAGAATTGAGCAAATTGATTGGGAGAATTAAGAGAGAATTGTGCGGATTGAAAAAATCGAGAGAATTCGAATTGAGAAAATTAAGAGAATTTAAGAGAATTTGGGAGAATTGAGAGTATTGAGAAAATTTGAGAGAATTTATAAGAAAAAAATGAAAAGTAAATTTAGGAAAAAATAATAATAAATGGCTAAAGTAGCCGTTGCCATTAAAATATATATATATATTAGTCGTTGCCAAGGCCAAGTGGCCAACGGCCAGCTGCCTTGGGCTTGCAGACGTACAGGCCCTACTGCAGTTTTTTTTTAGAACTGGGCCCAGAATCGGCGGTTCCGGGCCGATTCCGAACCGCGGGCCTGGTCAACGGGCCGGTCCCGAGTTTGACCCGGGTCAAATCGGCCCGTGGCCATGTCTAGTCTTATGCATCATAGGTCGGTGAAATGGCAACAAAGGAGTGATCTCGTAGTTTCTTATGCCTTGTTATCACCATTAACATCGTGTTTAAATGACAACTTGGTAGAATCACAACATCTACATGGACAATGAATGATATCCAAGCAAGAACAGGTAAAACCCAGTCCCACCCCGATTGCGCCCTCAACTATTTATATGGTTTGGAACTCCATGAACGTTCTAAGGAGAAAACCGGTAGTACCTTAAGACCACATGATAATCATTAGGGATGACCAGTTCTTGGGCGATCGGTTTGGTTTTCGGATAAGCCAATGGAACTGGTGGCATATTCAGTTTTTTTTTTTTGGCTAATGTTCAATATGAAATTGAAGATGTTCTTAATAATCAAAGTATTTTTACAATTAGTGAATTACGTGTAGCATTGTAGATTTCACAGAGATTTTTTTAATTTATGGCAAAATTTGGTTGGAAGGGCACCCCTTTATGAAATGGGGGATAGATTAGTTTTTCTTTTTTACAGATTTTTAAAAAATTAAAAAATTAAAAAAAATCGATCCAGTCCCGATTGATCCGATCCGGTTTATGCGGTTTCTTTTGCTCATGATGTCAAATACACACTCCCAAGGCGATCACTAACACAAGGAAGGGATAAGGAAAAGACCAAGTGGGCCATCCAAATTCCAATGTGAGGCTCAAAGCCCTCCCATTCACAGTCTCCGGATAAGCCTCGAATCCAAAGAGCACGATCCCATTGGCCACTTCCATGTCTTAGTTGGCAGTTGGCACCACTCCTTTCCGTTTTTACTTCTCAACCTCATCACCATCCAACTCTTCAATTCTCCACTGCCAGAAGAACAGAGAGACACACAGAGCTCAAGCTCAAAGCAACCTCCTCCGATGGCGGCGACAGTGTCCACCATGGCCATGCTCAACGCCAAGTGCTTGGCCACCAACTCCTCCTCGCAGCCTAAGCTCATCCCCGCAAAGCCATCCCTCAAGCCCACCTTCCTCAACCTCCCCGCTGGCCTCCTCTCCACCTCCCCCAAGCAGGCCCAAATCCTGGCCGGCTCCGCCATCGCCGGGGCTGTCTTCTCTACACTCAGCCATGCCGACCCGGCCTTCGCAGCCCAGCAGATCGCTGAACTGGCCGAGAGTGACAACCGCGGGCTCGCGCTGCTGCTGCCCCTCATCCCGGCCATCGCTTGGGTCCTCTTCAACATCCTCCAACCGGCGCTGAACCAGATCGACCGGATGAGGAGCACCAAGGGGGTGATCATCGGGCTCGGGCTTGGCGGGCTTGTCGGATACGGGTTCGGGCCGGCCCAGGATGCATCGGCTGCCGAGCTGGCGGCAATCGCCGAGGCCTCGGGAAGCGACAACAGAGGGCAACTCTTGCTGTTCGTGGTGGCTCCGGCCATTTTGTGGGTGCTCTACAATATCTTGCAACCGGCTTTGAACCAGATCAACAAGATGAGATCTCAGTGAAAGATAAAACGAAGTTAGAAAAGAACTGGGTTTTTGTGGAAGTGTATCGGAACTTATATATAACATGTACCTGCACTTTCTGTCAATGGAATTTTCTTGTCTTAATTTTTTAAAATCTTGTTCATGGTTCATGTGCTGGAAGATGTAAAAATGTGGCCATCAACACTACTATGTACAATGGTTTCTCCCCTAGACGTCTCTTTTCATTCTCTCTTTCTCACGCTCTTCGTGATTTATGTGGATTTACTCCGCGCTGTGGACGCAACCACGCAGACCGCCGACATTAGCAGAGTTCGATCTCTGGTTAAGTTTGCATCTCCGGCCTGTGAATGTACTGGAGAGTCTATAAGAGCGACCCTGGATTCGAAGTCGACACTGAGATGAAGATTATCCACAGTTCAAGAAAAGAGGCGTTTGATATGATATTAGGTGCAGATAATGCTGTCTCCTCGTGAAGTACACTGCCCGTATGACCCGTTGCTATTGCTCGGTTACTGGTTAGTGAGTTTGGCCATGTAAGACTGAAATCAAAACCAAAAGGAATGGAAGTGGAACGAGTGCAACACGCCACAGATCCGATGTCCATGACTCCTTGGAAGATTCTAATTGAAGTATTATTGTATAGACGATTCTCGTATGTATGCCAAATAATAAACCGAAGAAAATTATAAAGAAAACAGAGAAATGGACAGCACATGGAAAATATAAGTTGATCAACCCTGTAAAAAGACCAACAACATGATCAAAAGCAATTAACAGCAAGAGAGAACTTCCATCGGACCTTTGACATGAGCGTATTAAAGCTACAACTTCCAATTTATTGAACTCAGTTAACCAGTCATCCATCCCGAATTTTGGAAAATGGGGGGGGGCGTAGGCGGTGATTGCACCGGAGGAAAATTTCATTAACCACCAGCTGAACCGGACACAGTGACTCCAAAAAGAGTCAGCTTCCGGACAGAGCATTGTTGAACATGAGTACCTCTTTTCCAGCAAAATGCATTTTAAGCTAATTAGGGGATCATTGAGAAGTAGCAGAATATAGAGAAAAGGGGGTGAAAAAAAGCTCAACAAAAAACACAAATGTCAAAATCTGAGGAGGTTATGATGTGTATGACTCGTCCTCCAAATCAACCCCCTTGAGGTATGTCTTCTATACCTGTTGTATTTCACAGAGCCAACTATGAAATGGCTTGACTATCAGGCACAAATTCAAGTGGTTGGCTTTCAGAGTCTTCAAGCTGCGATTGAGAAGCAGCTAGCTTGGCCTTCTTGTACCTGCTTGAACTCCTGAGGATCTTGTCGAGGGTTAGATCCTTTCTGTCTAAGGACCTATTGCAAGAAGAGCAAGAGAATGCCGTAAGGAAGCCATATCGGTAAATAGGGAGGTGTGATCTTGTTCAGTGACATTACTTGCCATCCACTAGTGAGATGGAAGAAGAATCCAAGCCACACGCTCACCATAAATTAAACATATAACACACGCTCACCAAAAATTAAACATATAAATATGTGAAATCGCTCAATAACAAAATGCAAATTATATGTAAAAGCATCCACAAGGAAAATTTTGAAACAGCAACCTATCTATACAAAGTTTTAAATGTTTTTGGTCTCTTCTTCTACAAGCAAGAAAGGTCGTGACATGGATCAATTGCATGTACTTACTGTGATTTCTTCATGCTACTCCCACCATCATCTTTTCTTGAAAGATTCCCTGAGATAATTTCACAAAAGGAAAGACATTAGCTATTACTAGTTCCAGATGTGGTCAGCCAAAGAGACTTCAATAAATGGAACTCATCAGCTAGTAGATTTTATTTAACATGGCAGACACAACTAATTCACGGGAAAAAAAAAAGATTAGAAGTTTACCATCCCTAGGTGAGTTCAGATTTGCATTACTGTCGCCGTCAGAGTAGTCAGATAACAACTTATCTGATGGTGTCCTGGTGCTAGCATCGGAATCCTCAATTCCCTCAGCTTCTGCAGAACTCCCACTGCTTTCATCGTTGAAAATTGCGATTGATGTTGCTAACAAGCTTTTCTTCCGTTCAGAGGTATCAACAACTTCCCCAGTATGCTGGTGAGAAGATTTCCTAACAGCCAGACGATAGCGGTCAACTCCTGAGCGTCTCTTGTTGCCTGCTTTAACATTCTTGGTTCTTCTCATGTCAGAACCTGATGCAGCTGATGTTTCACTGTCTTTCTCTAGATTAGGAGTAACAACAATGACTTTGGCCCCTGGAGCTTCTTCAGCTATAATCTTAAACTGGTCCGATTTTGAAGACAACAAAGTCTGGTCTGTACTTCCAGGACCTACACGAGGATACTTCCCATTGCTACCTGAGTGCTCATTCTTGTCATTAGCCAGTGATTCTCGAAGATGGATGGAGTAGGAGTTACCAGTAGGAGATTTTAGTCCATCTTGTGGTCCATTTGACATAAGTGAACTCTGCAACCCGGACGAGCTGCCATCAACAGTTGCATCAGCTTTCTTTCTTCTTTTGCTTTTGACCTTTCTAGCTGCGCTATTTTCTTTTGTCCCTCCATCAACAACAGAATTGTCAGGAGCCAGGGCTTCTTGCTGGAGTTGCCTTGGTGCAAAATAATCACTGAAATTGATTATGTCACTTTCAATCACTGCCTTCACGTGATTGTTAACTTCGTCTAGATGGTCACCACTAGGGAGATCCACATCCTTGATCGATTGAGGAAGGTCGCCCTCATTCTTTCCTTCATATGTATGTGATGGAGCTGGAAAAAGGAATTTCCCGGGATTAGATGGAGTGTAAAGAGGATAAGCAACAACGACAATTTTCTCCTCATTCAAGTCAGTACCTTTCATGGTCTTCATAGTCGCACTAATGGGTAGCGGATCATTAGCATCAGAGTCTGGATCTTCCATATCTACACTGGGTAGATTCTCCACAGTTGATCTTGGTGATTTTTTTCTTTTCTTATTTGTATTCTCTGCAGTGCTTTCGATGTTCATTTCTTTGTCAACGAATTGTTCTAAGGATTCTGCCTTAGTCCTGTGCACATCAAGAGGCTCTGCAGCAGCAGCCCTCACCATTGTTTCTCCTCCCCTTGTTTGAGACAAGCTGTTTCCTCCTTTAGCTAGATGGTCACCACTACGGAGATCCACGTTCATGATTGATTGAGCAGGGTCACCCTCGTTATTTCCTTCAGATGTACGTGACGGAGCTGGAGGGGAAATAATATTCCCTGAATTAGAGAGTGTAAAGAGGGACAACAGCAACCACGACAATTTTCCCAGGAAACTAATCAAATACCTGCCATGGGCTTCATGTAACTGGTATGCCCATTAGCAGTCTCATCCACGGTTGCACTAATGGGTAGTGGATCATTAGTTTTGGACTTTGGATCTTTCATTTCTACACTGGGTAGATTCTCCACGGCTGATCTTCCTGATTTCTTTCTTTTCTTCTTTGTCTTCTTCTTTTCAGCGGTTTCAACATTCACCTTCTCAATGATTTGTTGGGAGGATTCCGCCTCAGTTCCATGCACATCAAGAGGCTCTACAGGAGCAGCCCTCACTATCGTTTCTCCTCCCCTTGCTTGAGACAATTTGTTTTCTCCTTTATCTAGAGGGTCACCACTAGGGAGATCCACCTTAATGATTGATTGAGGAAGGCCACGCTCGTTATTGCCTTCAGATGTATGTGATGGAGCTGGAGAAGAGAGACAGATTCCCTGAATTAGAAAGAGCATATACAGGATCGACAGCAACAAGGGCAACTTTCTCGGGCTTAACGTTAATACCTTTCACGGGCTCCATGTACCTGGTATGCTCATTAGTAGTGTCAATTAGAGTGGTACTCATCGTTGTTGGTTCAAAAGCATCAGAGTTTGGATCTTTCGTCTCCACAAGGGGTAGATTCTTCCCAGTTGATCTTCGTGATTTCTTCCTTTTCTTCTTTGTCTTCTCTTCAGTGCAATCGAAGTTCAATTCTTTCTCGATGATTTGTTGCGAGGATTCTGCTTTAGTTCCGTGCACATCAAGAGGCTCTACAGCAGCAGCCCTCGCTATCTTTTCTCCTCCCCTTGCTGGAGACAAGTTGCCTTCTCCTTTATCTAGATGGTCACCACTAGGGAGATCCACATTAATGATTGATTGAGGAGGGCCACCCTCGTTATTTCCTTCAGATGTATGTGATGGAGCTGGAGAAGAGAGAAGAATTCACTGAATTAGAAAGAGCGTATACAGGATCGACAGCAACAACGGCAACTTTCTCGGGTTTAACATAATACCTTTTGTGGGCTTCATGATGCCGGTATGCTCATTAGTAGTGTCATTCAAAGTAGTACTCATCGGTGTAAGTTCAAAAGCATCAGAGTTTGGATCTTTCATCTCCACAAGGGGTAGATTCTCCCCAGTTGATCTTCGTGATTTCTTCCTTTTCTTCTTTGTCTTCTCTCCAATGCTATCAGTTTTCACTTCTTCCTCGATAATTTGTTGTGAGGATTCCGCCTTACTCCTATGCAGATCGAGATGCCCTGGAGCAGCAATCTTCCCTATTGTTTCTCCTCCCCTAGCCTCAGACAAGTTTTCTCCTTTCTCTAGATGGTCATTACTGGGGAGATCCACATTCATAGTCAATTGAGGAGGATTGCCTCCGCTATTTCCTTCAGATGCACGTGATGAACCTGGAGAAGAGAGGAATTCACTGAATTAGAAAGCGTGCACTCAGGATCAACAGCAACATTGGCAATTTTCTTGGGATCAAGATCAATACCTTTCACGGACCCCCTGTGACTGGTCTGCTTGTTAGTAGTCTCATTCACAGTCGCACTCGTCACTAGTGGATCATTACCGTCCGAGTTTGGATCTTTCATCTCCACACTGGGTAGATTCTCCACAGTTGATCTTCGTGATTTCTTGCTTTTCTTCTTTGTCTTCTCTTCAGTGCTCTCAATATCCATATTCTTCTCAATAACTTGTTGAGAAGATTCCACCTTAGTCCCATGCATATCAAGAGGCTCTGCAGCAGCCATCACCATTGTTTCTCCTCCCCTTGTTTGAGACAAAAAGTTTTCTCGGTTCTCAAGTTTATTTTGGGATTCATCACCTTCAGGAACTTTTTGAAGGTCGGCTAAAGATCTTCCAATCAAAGAGCTTTCAATATGCTCGCTAAATGAATTGATGCATTTTTCCCCATCCGACTCCTTTAATCTTTTAGAGGTCTTTTTTTTCTTTGTGGATGCTTTGAGTTCCTCAGTTTTAGAAGCAACTACTGATTCACCAGTGACAATAGCCTTCTCAATGCCCCCAGTGACTTTATTCTGGCCAAATCCTGTGCATAACCAACTTAATACTAGAAAACCCATCATTGAGCTAAAAAGTTCTCACCATAGAATGCTAAATACCTCTTTTCGAGTGGTCCGGCTCTCTGACTACAAGTGGACAAGAGTGGACACCATCTTCTGCACTGTCTCCACTATACTGTTTACCGGAATTGACATCACGCATCTCAATATCTACAAGATGAAATAGCAAGTAGTAACAACATGGACTATTGTAACTTTTACTTACAACTGAGATTTAAATTGCCGATTAATTATGCAGAAAGGCAGCACCTATATTAACCCAGTCGAGAAAGTATATTCTTACCCTTTTCTTGAACAGGTTCTACGGGCTTTTCTGTAAAAGAGGCCTGTTGAGGTTCAGAAGATTTCGGGCTCTGAATGCTCTGATCAGTAGCCACAGTAATTTCAGGTTCTCCACTGAGATCCTTGCTATCAAAGACCAATTTCTCCTTCTGCATTTCCATCTCATTCCTGATGGCTTTCCTAGAAGAAGGGTGACTCAAATCTTCTGGATTGCACACCTTTGACTTTTTCTCTTTCTTTTTCCTCTTCTTATTTCTCGATCCAGTCGTGAACGTGTCACAAATGTCCACAGGTTTGGTAGATAATGCATTAGATGTAGAAATTTCATTGTTCTGATTTATCCCTAGAGAGGGCAGAGGGGTCATTCTATTTGCGTTCGAACAATTAACACCGTCATTTTGTTCAACCCCCAAATTTTCTGAAGCAAGGACAGGAACGACCTTGTCACCATTTTGGTAGCTACCAGCCTTTGGCGTTGTTGAAACCTCAAACCTGGGCACAGTTTCAGGCTGGTCATCAGGTGCAGTATCAAGTCGATCACTGGAAGGTTTACTAGAGATTGCAAGGAGAACGGGTTGGCCGCTGGAGCTAGGATTGAGCATGTTTTGTCCATCAGAATAGACACTCGAAATGGAAGCATCAACTGAAAGAAACCAATTCTTTTTGACCCCATTGAATGCACTTCTCACATGCATGGAATCAGCTAGATGGTAAAAGTCTCCTTTGCGCTTAACCTGTCAGATTAATGAAAGCTCGTAAACTTTAAATGGAAGTAAAGAAAATAAAAAACCAAAGGCCATCATCCATCCTTTGTACACATACCTTTACAGCATTAACAAGTATCTCCCCCAAGGTTGGGAAGCATGCTTTGTGTTCAACCTTTATTTTCTCTGTAAATTAGAAGCATTAGCTGTCATTCACTGATTGAAACTCTACCAGCACTTAATTTTAATTAGGAGTCGAAACAAACCAAGCATTAGTTGAAAAAGAAACTAGAAAATGATGAATCTTGTAAAAGAAAACCATTTAGAGAATGCACAATATGATTGTCTGAACTCACGTGTACAGCCAAAACTACAACATTTGTGAACCAAGATAATGAAAATTGATTAAGACTGCTAGAAAATGTGAGGAAGGTGGAAACAACAAGAAGAACAAACATGAAAACAAAAAATTTGACGTACTCAAAGAAAGATGTCTTCCTGCCTATGTTTGCAAAGAGGACCTAGCTAAATAAAGGACTCAAGTTAGCAAAACACATCCACTGTTCCCTCACAAAATTAAAGCAGCTTGATCCAGGCCCAAATGGCCAATTATACACCTGCTCTGACAAACTTTGGCAGCAGAAAATGATCATTGCATGCATCCTACAGCATTTGATCATTCACAAGTTCTCACATTTCGAAAACATTTCGGTGATTACAATTCGGTTAAGAAAAGGAGAGCTTCACCAAGCGCAGATGAAGCATCTTCTCTTAAAAATTGAAGAGAGCTCATCCAAACTTATTTCCAAATCGGCTGAAGATTCTCACTTCAAAAGCCTTGTAAAGCACGGACAAACAGAATCATCTGTCGGGCGCGAGACCTCCAAAATTGAAAATGAGAACGGCCCAATGGATAGCAGTGCCGCATTGCTATCAAAGAAGAACCAGAGCACTTTCTCACAACCTCCCCCCACACACAGTCAATCAACCGATTCACAAAATGGGGCACAAAAAGAGAGCATCACCGACACGACATCGTTCGCGGGTAGGGCACTCAAGAATCCTCCATCTGACAGACCCATCAGGTTCGATCAGCAAGGTCCCCACGTTCCCCGTCACTCCAAGATCAACCCCCGCCACAACAACCCCATCAAACATAGGCAAAACAGGACAAACACCAAAACACAAAGGTGAAAATGCAAACGTAAATACAGAAAAAAGAACAGAATCCCGAGTTACTTTTGAGGTCGGAGACGGTGTCGGCGCCGGAGACGAGCATCGCCAGGTGAGTGCCGAGGCTCGTGTCGATGAAAACCGCGCTCGGGCTCGGACCCTCCATCATCAGCGGGCGACTCACTCCGACGCTAACACTTGGAGACGATGATGATGTCGACGACGACGACGACGATGATGATACGAACCCAAACCTTCCTCTCTCCTCTCTCGCTGTGGAGGGTTTAAAGTAGGGTTTTTTTCTCCGCTGGTTGCCGCGAACCGGCTTAGTTCAGATCCATTAAAAATGGCGGCATAATTTTTTTTTTCACGTTTTCTCTTTTGCCTGAAATTGAGGCGGTGTTCCGGTGTGGCGCGAGCCCGTCTCCATAGGGTCTTCATCACATCCAACGGTCTCGAAGGCGTATTCTTTCGCAATTTATGTTCCTTCTTTGAACGTTCTATTTCTTAGGGACGAGCGGTTCCAAATTTCGTACAGGTTCCACCTGAAATCTGAATCTGGAACTAAAATCTGGAACCTGAAATCAATCCATTGGAACAGATTCTTCATATTTTGGAACCTGAAATCCACCATGCATACCTTAAAACCTTGAAACTTTCCACTTGTATTATTAATTGAACGATTGCATTTAAACATCACATTTTATGACCATCATTTGTTGCTACAATCCACTGATCACAACTTATATATAGACACACACAAAATATGAAACATTAACAAAATAAAAGTTTTAGTCATAAAATAGAAGTTCAGATTAGTGGTTCAAGATTATGCACTCATCATCGGACCCCGTGAAATAACGCAAGATTACGCGAAAACATGGACCAAGAAAAACACAAAAACTTGTTACAAATTTTAGGTTTCAGGTTCTAGGAGTGTACAAAAGAACCAGGAACCGCCCGGAACCGGTGGTTCCTAAGGGAACCAGTTCAGTTCCCAGTTCCAATTTTTGGGAACCGGTGCGTACCGGTCCAGTTCCCGGTTTCGGGCGTGAAACCGCCCGCCCACCCGCCCGGACCGGGCCAGTAATATAATAATAAATATAATATATTTTATTTACTTTTTAATTTTTTTTTAAAGAAAAATCCTAAATCCCCAAACTAAACCTAACTTGCTCAACGTTTACAGCCTCATATTGAGCTGATAAACACCTTCTTTCGCTTTCGTCTCACGTTCACATTCACTTTCACTCTCTCACTTCTCTCGGTCGATGCTCACCTCATCGTCTTCGATTCTCCATCTCTGTCTTCGTCTTTCCGTCTCCATCCTTGGCTAGTGGGACAGGTTCCATGGACCCACCTGGGAACTGAACTAGACCGACGGTCCGATTCCTGAATTGATCTACAGAACCAACGGGCGGTTCCTGATTTCAATTTTTTGGAACCGGTCCTTAATGGATGGTTCCCGATTCTAGGATGAAAATTGCCCACCCAGATTATGCTCACCCCTATCAGGTTCCACCTACTTGGAACATGAAACCTATCCATTAAAACAAGTTTCTTAATTTTTTGAACCTAGAACCTACCTCGCATATTTTGGAACCTGGAACGGATAGATTCCTACCAATCCGATTATCAAATTCCAGGTTTTACCTTGTAACCATGTTCACCTCTAATATTTCCACCCCCTTATATGGCTAAATCCCACCATATTCATTGAAAAAAGACAAAATTACCATCAATCTTTCGATTTTAATTTGAAGTGGTGACCCGAACTTATTTACTTTTCTTCTTCTTTTTTTTGGGTTTTCTATTTTTGTGTATGATCTCGTTGCCATAACTAAGATTTCACATTTTTTTTCCTGTGGATATCCCATGTATATTAAAGACGCTATGTTTTCAATTTATTGTTAGATTTTACTTATGTAGAAATTAGTTTTGTCGAAAAGAGAAATTTTCAAGAAACTTAATTCTTTTCAAATTTGTCTAACATATCTGTGGATTAATTGACAAGTATAAATTATACTTTGTTAACATAGACACTTCATAACGTAATAGCTTGTTTATAAACTTTCACATTTATTATGTGTATCACTTATCAAATTCTTTTTTATAAGCTATCTTTAATACACACATATACATATAATGAGAATATCAACGAAACAAAAAAAAATTCAATAAATAATTTTTAAAATAAAATCATAGTTATATTCTCGAATGTGAAATTTTAAAAGATGAAATGTAATTTAATCACAACATTCCTAAAATAATCATTTTTTTGTATGCCATTAAAATTTATCATTTGGATTGACAAAAATTAATATCATCCGTGAAGTGTTTTTGAAAAAATATCAAGAAAAGAAAGGATTTGATGGTGATATGTACAACAAAAGTAAAAGCTTATGAATATAAAATTGTTTTGCAAAATTGTCTATATTAATCTCTAGATTCTACTTGACAATTAACCCATAAATTTGCTTGTATAAATATGTGCGTATGGATTAGGAATTTTTTTTTTCATGTAAATCCATTTTGAGAAAAAAGGGTTCGTTTTCGTTTGATTGATGATTTAAGGAAAATGATTTCCATTTTGCTAAGGAAAAATTGTTTTCCCCTAATCTAATGTGGGGTGTGATTTGTACTCCCCATTGATAGGAAGGCACTAGAATCCTGCTCCTTGAAACTCTAGATGTTCAATACACTAAATGAAGATATGAATAGTCTTGTTAACAATCTTTTCCTTACATAATGTTTTCATCTTTGATCTTTGTTAGTCCAGACTCCAGAGAGAGAAAGATATATGTCATAAGATATAAGGTTAATACCACGAAAAATCCAAAATTGGTACACCTGTGATAATTTTACCCCAAATTAATTTTTTGACCACAAAAAATCCTAAATTGGTACATCTGTGAAAAATTTACCCAAAACTAATATTTTGACCACTAAAGACTAGGGGTGAGTATGGTCCGGGTGGACGGTTCCCACCCTAGAACCGGGAACCCCCCACTAAGTACAGGTTCCACAAAATGGGAATCGGGAACTGCCCGTTGGTTCAATGGACCCACCCGGGAACCGAACCGGCGGTCCGGTCCTGTTTCCGGGTGGATCCATGGAACCGGTCCTACTGGAGAAATCTGTAAGCATATGCTAATTCAAGATTGATTTTGGAATGGTTCGTGCTTGGCATTTTAACAAACACCTTTCATGCATTTCTCTTTAGCAATATGAACAGCATGACCAGGGCACGGATGAGGTTGTATGCCTCTTAATTAAATCAAAACATGAAATTTCTCCAGCAAGAAAGAATGCTGCAGAAACCTGTTGACTCAAGCATCTCTACCGGATTCCACACAAACACAAACATGAAAATTCACCAAAAAAGAGGAAAAAAGCTAAATGTAAACAGAGATGTTCTTCAAGCTATTCACGAGCAACAACTACAAGCACCATGAGCAAGCGAGGTGGAAGAGAGTCACGACGAGCGTCGTGAGCAGCGAGCTTGTGAGTCTGAGTGAGAGGGAGGCGAGGCTGACTGTGAGAGAGGGTCGGAGGAGAGCCCCCGACGGTAAGAGGCGAGGCGACAACGGACGGAAGCGAGATGAGCAACAGAGGAGGTGGAGAGACTAGGTTTTCTTTAAGTGGTGAGAGAGAGACCGAGTAGAGTAAAGGGTTTATTTCTATTTTAAATTATAGCCTGTAATTAAAAAAAAAAACAAATATATATACCGGTCCGGATGGGCGGGGGGACGGTTCCACGCCTGGAACCGGGAACCGGACCGGTCCTCATGGGAACCACCAGTTCTGGGCCGGTCCAGTTCCGGGCGATTCCTGATTCTTTTGCACACCCCTATTAAAAACCTCAAACCGGTATATTTGTGACAAATTTATCTTTCGTTAGTTTCCATTAAATTGGATTAATACCACAAAAAATCACAAATTAGTACACATGTGACAAACAGAGAATAAAACATAAAACTGACACATCAGTCAATTGTCGCATGTTATTTAACAAAGCAATTCGACAATAAAATTTAACGGAAACAAACTGAGGGTAAATTTATCATAGGTGTACCAGTTTGGAGTTTTTTGTGGTAAAAAAATTAATTCTGGGTAAAATTGTTACAAGTGTACCAGTTTGGGGTTTTTCGTGATATTAATCCTAAGATATAAAAGTCAATAATAATGTAATGCAATAGACTACTTTAACCCATCAAAGCGTGCTAACACAAAAAAAGCATCTAAAGCATGAATTTCGAAGAGCATACACTTTGGAAAAGAAGAAAATCTCGCACATAGAACAAGCACAGCTCCGTGCATAACCCGCGCACGAGCCTTAGAGTCGAGCGATTTCCACACTATTCCTTCTTCCTCGAGTCCTTGAGCTGACCCTTCTTCCTGATGCCGAGGCAAAACTGCAGCCGCCACGAATCGATCACCGACTCTGGCAACAAGCAAGCAAGACCCCAGAGGAGGGAATGGGGCCAGTAGGGGGTGCATCGGGGTTCATAGCCAATCCAACGCAGAGCTGCCCGAGCATAGCCTTCAGGTGATGGCACGAAGAAAGACGACCGCTTGATTGACGCCATCTTGGTGGCCACGTACAGTGGAACCTGCGTGCGAAAGTAGAGGATGGTAATTATAGAGCACAACAGAATCCAGCACGCAAGCATCACATAACTGAGAGTTCGAATCTGACAAGATGAACTCTCAAAGACCCCAGTGACAACCTCTGACATTTGTCTAAGAGTTCCAACAACCTGCCTCCCTGAGTCGGATACTCTTCCAGGGATGCGCTCGCAGAAGATAAACAATGGAATACGACTCCTAATTATTGATGTTAATGCTTCTTAACAATGCGACACTTCCATAATTCCAGCAAACTGTCGTTAATTCTTAGGTTTCTTCTTCGACAACATGTAGAGGCACTCATGGTTTACCCAGGTATGTCAAACAGTTCACAGAGTTAAACCATGTGCAACAATTCAAGTTTACTTCAAGACATTCGCAAATTTATCAGCAATCTTAATACATGTCATTGATGGAGAGGTTTCAACGTGCCACGACATGGCACCATGACAAGTACGATTTTGTGATCAAGAAAAATCTACGATGTTGTCAAATTCAATCTCCCTTGCAACAGATTTGGCAACCTAGAGAGTTAAACCACAATGGAGACAACTAGGACAGATTTCCCATCATTAAGCTATGCAGTTCAACCGAAAGAAGCATTAGAAGATTGAAAAGCTTTAACAAGGTAGGGGTCAGTCATCACATACTCAACAGAACCCAATCCGATGAAATCCAGTTAAAAAGGCACATCATTTACCATAACACGTCGAACTATAGTGCAAAGTTGTTGACACTGTGGACAGACGGCCAATATGCGCTTTAAACAAACACAGGTCATAATTGAAGCAAAAGTAAAGACTTCCTCTTCATAATTTCAAGGCCTAACAAATGGGGTGGGTGCTAAATTAAGAAAGCGGGCATGGGATTTCAGTGTAAAGCTAAACGTTGGGACCAATCAGCATGTCTAAAGAGACCTATTGATCAAGGCAATCCTACCAGACCTCAGCAATAGCATGTCTTTTTCCTTCTTACACTAAGCCTATAGCATGTTATTTACTGGAGTCTTTGAATACCACCATGGACCTATATCAGCCTTCTGGATGGCCACCTACTCATCATGCATTGATTAAGTAAATGAGAACACAATGGCAGCATCGACAAGCAAATCCTCGAAAAAGGTAGTTTAGATGTTTGTTGAACATATTCATAAAGGAGAGACAATGAACAAACTACAAAAGGCACCATATTCAATCCATTCATTCACAGCTATAAGTTGAGAGGACTATCTCAGAATCACCAACTAACCCATTTCTTTTTTATACATCTAGAAAGAAGAAAAAAGAAAACAGAAAAAGGAAAACAAAGAAAAGAAAAGCAGTGCATGCGAAATAGGATGGACGAGAAGATCATGGACATAAATCCTCAATAAATAAACCTAAGGTAATCAGTACTTAATAAAAACACCAGTAATCATACCTGACACTGGACATCGATGCCGCTCTTCTTATATTCAACGTAGAGACACCTGGAGAACTGATCAACATAGCTGAAATTGAACATAAAACAAAGAAAAACTCCATCTCAGCATCAGAAGAGAACCCCAAGGGTCCAATTCTATCAACTTTTCTTTCATTTTTCCGCCATAACGGACTAGTTACTATTCCAATCAAAACAGAGCATCAGAGATAAACAACTTACGCCTTCGTGGCGGCATAAACAGAGTAGAGTGGATCCGAGGGGATCACAATCGCAGCCCCTGATCCAATATTGACAATAGCTCCCTTCTTCCTCTTAATCATCCCAGCCAAAACAGCCTGAGTGACCTTGGTGGTCCCTTCCACATTGATCTTAATCAAGTTTTTCAGCAGCTCCTCGTCCAACTCATGGAAGAACCTCGCGTACGGATAGGACATGCCGACATTGTTGATCAATAGCCCCACGTCCAACCCCTCGATCGTCTCGCTGATCCTCCCGACGCCCGCGTCGATGTCCCCGGCGAAATCGACGACCACCGTCTTGATCTGCACCTTCCCGTACTTGGCCAGGATCGCGTCGGAGACCTCCTTCAGCTTATCGGGGTTCCGGCCGACGAGGACCAGATTAATCCCCTTCCGAGCAATCTGGAAAGCGAACCCCTTGCCGATGCCGTCGGTGGGCCCGGTGATGAGCGCCCACGAGCCGTACTTCTTCAGATTTTTGGCGGGCCTGAGGAAACTGACGTAGACCCAGTTGAGGAAAACAAGCGAGAACTTGAGAATTGAGATTGAACCGAGAGTGAAGAGCAAAATGACCAATGAAGGCTGGCCCTTTAGCTTATCCAAGAAACAGAGCTCCATTTTTCGAAGCTCAGAGCAAGAGGGAGCGGATCTAGGGGGCTAATACAGAAAACTAAGATCTGGGTTTGATCTGGAGAGGGATTTATATGCGAAGAGAAAAGGATTCTTGAGTTTTTGGTGATGCTGGTTAAGGTCGGACCCAGGAGACAACGAGGGCGAGAAAACAGAGGAAGGCGTTAGGGTTAGGCAAGCGAGTATGGTGTCAGGGGGTGGGAGACGGATGGAGGTTGCAATGGAATTGAATGCTGGCCGAGAGACAGATAGTGGGTGAAGTAGATGAGCTGCAAACCAATGCAATTAAACTACTTGCACGACTGATCGATGACGATGGGCGACAACGTGAGAGCCTCCGTGGACGCACATGCAACGAGACACTTTCGTTTTCCGGCAATTGCCGATGTCGAATCGCGTGCGATGTCGTATGACGAGGTGTTTTATTTAACTTGTTGGGTCGGGTTTTCTGCGTTTTTGTATGGATTGGGATGGTTATGAAATCTGACCACTGAGAAGCTGAAATGAAAGAGGGATGAGGCAAGCAAGTCTTCTCACTCGTCCATCAATCAATTACAGCAATGACGATAGCCATTTTATTATCCAAGTGCAACTTAGTGCCTGTCGTCTTGGTTAATTGCAAAATGGGTACATTTTATCATGGGTTTCTTATGAAGAGTAATGTCGCGAAAACCGTTTTTTCTGGAGACAGCAGAGTCGAGATATGGATGACACGGTTACGTACACGATCTTATGTATTTCTTATGGATGTTATGTCATCTGATATGAAAATATCTTCAAGAAAAGTTTTTACTTTCATATATTCTTGTCAATCATTTTTTTTGGGAGAAAAGCACTATTCTCTCTGAGATTGGGGCTAGTGTGCAGACAAAAGGAAAAATTACGATAAGTTCCTCGTGCTTATTTGTATCAAACATTTACTTTTATTGTTGTTAACAAATAAAAAACTTTTTTACTTTCAAAACCAGATAAAGATAAACTATCTTCTTAAATAAACTCAACCCCCCTTTTCGTCCCCCTGCCATTCTCACCCCCTTAACGAGCCTAAATTGCCTCAGCTGAAGTTTCTGCTATTGTCAGCACCATGCCATTACCTTTTCATCCTTTTATTTTTTGAATTCTATCTTTCATTTTGGCCCAGAGATACACCAATTCATTAAAAGCAACAAGTTGCTGCAAAGAGCAATCTCTACAGTCCTTAGCAAAGCACTACGATTTGCACCATCCTTCATCAGAATTGAAGCAGACACAAAGTGTATTTGCAGAAAGCACAAGTAGAGACAGTTTTCCTGTAATCCTAATGCCATTTCCGCAACTATGGCAGCATCAGTGAGCTGCTTCACACCAACACAGACATTCAAGGATACAAATGGAGTTAATACCAGACATCATATGCGGTTCAGAATCAGAAGCATTCCAGAAAGAGTACAACCAGGCAGATTCGGATGACCTCCTCATGCAAAATCAATCACTAAAATAATTTAAGACGAGTGCATAATGCTCCTGGCACTGAAGGTATGCCCCCCAGAGACAAGATTATGATGCTTCTGCTCCAACACAACTGGAACTTCCTTCGAAATGGAAATGGAGTATGCAGTGATTGAAAAGTAAACATGCAGGCCGAGGTATGTGATCGTGCGCAACTGAAAAGGGAGAGATTTAGAATAGAATCATATACCAATAAATATAGGGTGAGAAAGACAGCCCTACAGCATTTCATTTGATGAGTTGTTTTTATTTCTTTATCGATAGAGGGATGAAACTGAACAGTGCATAGTGCTCCTGGCACTGAAGGTATGCCCTCCAGAGACAAGACTATGATGCTTCTGCCAACACAACCGGAACTTCCTTTGAAATGGAAACGGAGTATGCCATGATCGAAAAGTAAACACGCGGGCCGAGGTACGTGATCATGCGCAACTGAACAGGGAGAGATTTAGAATATAATCATATACCAATAAATAAAGGGTGAGAAAGATAGCCCTACAGCATTCGTTTGATGATTTGTTTTTATTTCTTTATCAATAGAGGGATGCAACTGTTAGTCAACGTGATCAGATTATTGTTGCATTTCCTATTAATACTCCCATATAACTCGTATGTTATATATCCGAAAGACATAGAACAAGATGCACGTAATACACTCTAGACATTTTGCAAGGTAGAAGGTTTCGATGATCAATAGTCCCAGATGATATATGCGACAGGAAGCAATGCCATTCCCAGAATTGGATCTCAAAAACACCTCCAAGAATTTCCATAAATATGCTCAACTGATTATCATTATATGACACCAATCTGTACACATGTCTCCTCACTAAAAGACATAATTTAAAGAGGAAAGAAAAAAGCTGCAGAGAGAAAATTACTGCTAATCAATCATCACTCTGATATGAATGACTACGTATAGCAGTCACCTACAACACGGTTGTACTGTATCCTTTCTAATTGTTGGCTAACCTCCGCCTTCGCAAAAAGTCCGATTCAACCACAGCAAAACCACTTCCTCTGCATTCAAATCCAAAATTGCAGGTGTCAACAAATTCTGCATCTGAGAGGTTTAACCAAATGAGGGCAAAGAGAAATAAGAATTTGAGACAATACCTTAATGGAGTATCTGTGTTTATCGTTTTCTTTACAGGAATCATCGTACTTCCTCTGCGACGTCACACTCTCAGCTGGTCCTCCACCCTTCTTCTCCTCTCTAGCCTTGTTGAATATGACAGTGAATCCATCGGCTGAGGCCGGATCATTCACGTCCCACTCCCCGAATTTTGGCAATGTCCGTCCCTCCTCCTTCTGCACATAACACAGAGAAAATCAACACTCCGCCTTTGCACATTACAAGAATTTATCAGGGGTTTGTGGAAAAAAAAAAGGATTAGCTTCTTCGACAAAAGAGCATGTTAAGGAAAATGTTTGTATCATTAACAAGAAAATGAGCCCAAGAAATGTTCGCACTTGCATAATGCGGTATGAGTATCCGATGAGATCAATAGAATCATACAATTTACGTATCAGCGAATCCATTGTGTGCATAAAAAATTTGAATTTAGCTTAATAGAAGAAAGAACTCAATAGATTGGAGACCCTGATCTTTCCGGTGCCACCAAAACAAGTCGCGAGTGCTTCTCCCCCCCCCCCCCCCACACACACACACACACACACACACACACACACAGGCATTTCATTTCGAACTTATACCAATCAAGATAGAGAACCACGTCCCTTCCAACTTCCAACATTGCAAGTAACCAAGAGAGCGCTGCCACTTCATTGCATACGGTAATCTCCATGACAAACTCAGAATTTGACCGTAAAACGAGCCACATTACGACACCCAACTCGCAATTCCAGCATCAGCGTACATTTCAGCCCCAGACACACAGAACCGAAGAAATTACAGCAACCCAAATCGTTTTCAGATCAAGTGATGGCGCGCACATGAATAAAAAGTGAATCTTCTTGAATCTTCTTACCGAAGACATGGTTGGAGATTCCTAGGCGAATCGAGTACCGCACGGAAAAAAAAGCGAATGTGAACAGAATCGAATGAAGTGACATGATCGACGGACGGGGGCGGAGAGAGTTATAAAGGCAAAAGCGGAGAGATTTCGCGTTCTCCCCCACGACCTGCACTCGTCTCCTACGCGGGGCTCTGTTTGCTGGTTTCATCGTTTTCGTCAAAAACGGAAGACAGAAAAAGAGGGGACCAAAAAAAAGAAAACAGTCCCACACGGTTAATGGCACGATGATATAAAGATAATCTTTTTATAAGTAGGAATAAATATTAATTTGATGAAATTCTCCATTAAATTAAAACCTATTTTAGTTCCATTTCATTAAGAGATAGAGATAATTTAATGAAATATTTGGATTGTGTTTTTATTTTTGCATGTTGCGAAGAAAGAAAATTCTCAAATAAAATTCATGTCTATGTATATGAAAGAAGTGATTTTTTTTTTGTAAATTAATATGTTCCTCCTGATTATTATTCTATGGGAAATGAAATCTAATGATACCCACCGTTTGTGTTAGTTTCTTTTTGATAAATAGGTTTCTCAGGGTACTGGATAAATCCATTTAAGAAAATCATTTTAAATTGTCAAATTGCTATACAATCACATAAAGGTTGTCATGACTAAAGTAGAAAATTTTACGATTAAAATAAACAAGGTGTTGCATCTCATATTGTTTGCTCCAAGTCCAACGTGTTGTTTTCCCTCCAAAATTTGAAATGAAAAAAACGATATATTCGCATGTTAATATTTGTATATCGCTAAATAAAGATCAAAGAACAGCCAAAAAGCTTGAGAAAAAAAGTAAAAATAAAAATCAATCCAAATAGATCAATTAAATAAAAGAAACAGACAAAGCTAGTCTCAAAATGCAATGTGACATCAAGTAGTTTTGTACCAAAGATTCTTGAGAAAAGTCATGCGACTCAAGAAAGAACACCAGATTGTCCTTGCACACAAGCCCTCTTTTCTTTTCATTCAAGCGAAGTTAAAAAATGTTTGCAGCAGGGATGAGATATAACTGACTCTTTTCTCTGTCTGCTAATAGCAGTTGAATAAATTAAGGTGATTCAGTTTGAGGAACAAAAAAGTGACCGAAGAACGAATGCGAATCCTGCATAATGGTGTTAACACTATGGGCATGAATCTAAAGTCCAAGAGTGGTATGTAGAAACAGCAAGACAACCGAACCGATACAAATTTGCCAATAGCAAAGCATAAATCGCAGGCGCGTCCTCATACATGGACCGTAATTTGTTAACCAGCTCGCAGCCATCTCTCGTAGATATTTACACTGTTTCATTTGGACAATCGCAATAACGGCCAGGATGTATCTTACTGCGGTGACTCCGACTTTGAGTAGCGCCATATCATCCCTCCAACCAGATTGTTCAACGAGTGAGAAAGCATCGGCACGACAATGCTCGAAGAGATCATTGTTGCAGAACCGTACATCAGTCCAACAAAGGTTGCCCTAAAACAAGTTTGAAAGCCAAACGTAAGCAGATAACCATGAGAAATGCTCCATATACTACCTTCCTGTGAGACTTGTCACTTCTTCCAATTTGTTTTTCATTGGAAACCCATTAAAATAATTTCCCATATGTAAGTTTTCACCTTTTATTTTTTTTACTTATTTTGGCCCAAATTATTGTAGTATAATTTCTTCCTATTCTCAATCTAGAATCTACTCTGTAAAAGCTTAAAACAGCCTTCAGTTATTCTCCATAGTTATCTTAAAACTGTAACGTAAAGGTGGCAACCCCAATGTGTTTGGAAATTTTCATGGACAAAGAGAACTCAGCAAGACTTTGAGTCAAACACAATCTGTCTAGCCAATCACCCGTTTCTCATGGACAATACTTGCAATCCTATGAAGGAAAATATGCACTGCAATTCACAACATTGGTCTCAGGAAAGCACAATGACATGTGCATATCTTCTGTGGCGGGGATTCCAACCAAGCCTTACAGTTGACACGTATATGGGGACAATCTGATAAATAACGGGGAAAGGACATTGTTCAAATTACACATACCAAATTGCAAAGGAAGACTTTCGTCCACTGCCCAAATGTAATATCCCGAATAAGACGGCAACAAGCAGGACGCTGTTCCAGTTGTTTCCGGTCAGTGGGAGCAGTGTACCACGGAAAAGAAGTTCCTGCACAGACACATTCCATAATACAACGAAACAGAAGCATGAAGCATGATTGCTAATTTAATAAACTGAAGGACAAATAGAGAACTAAGACACGATTTGCGTAGTACCTCGCTGATTCCAGGGAGAAATGAAACTACCAAATAATCCACAGGTTCAAGTGAGGTAAGAACCTGCACATTCAAGGAAAGACTATACTGAGTAAAGAGGTTGCACAGCTTGAGACCAGTAGTTTGCAAGTACCTAAGAGACTGACATGAGGTTGATAAAAAAAAGTGGTCGTCCAAAGAACAATAGGCCACAAAAAAACCCCTCCAACTTTTATGTACATCTCTTTTTTTTTTTCCTATAAGTAACTATTTATGCATCAAGAAAAGCCAATCATTCATGCATATAAAGACCACTACACAGAGGAGGTGAAGTGCATACTACCTGCTGATTGGCTGCTTCACTAGACTCTGCAAAGTCTGGCCAAGTCCTCAGTAGTAAGTACCGACAAGATGATATCAGAATAACCAGTCCTGTAAGCAACTCAAGATGCCATGTCTCAAAACCAACTGTAAGCAAGGGGAAAGAATGATTCTCTTAAACACGTTTTAATTATCAAGCCGAGTCATCATCAAGAGAAAGTGACCAGACACAAAGGCAAGTCTAGAGTTTAATAAGGGTCTATGGACTCTATTTAGCAAAAAAAAAAAGGGTCTATGGACTCTTAAATTGTCCAGTTCCGAAACAAGAATTGGGACAGATATCTTCATTATTCAGATTTAAGGGGGAAAAAGATTGCATTTAGGATATGTAGCATCAAGTCTAACAAGAAATGGAACAGTGAACTTTCAACTAGCACCAAATGGCTATTGTAAAATTAAATACCAATGTAATTACCATTACTGTTATCCAAGCATCCCGTAAAATGAGCCATTAAAGAATAAGGGGCAATTTGATTATGTATGCATAATACAAGCAAGAGCTGCCAATGCAAGCATGCAGGATCAAACTCACTTAAATTATGCACACCCCCAGATGTCTACCCCTTTTATTGGATGTCAGTCCAGAAGTACGTTTAGAAAAGGTATCAAACAAAAGAGTACAATAATCAAATTTCTGGCTTCATTGTCTTATGCTATATAACCACACACCTAGCCAAAGTAACTTTCGGAAATTGATTTATGTAATGGAGAAGGTGTCATTCATATGGTTCTCACAGTTCAGTTTTACTTATTTTAAGTAAGTTATCCCAGCATTAAAACGCGGGAAAGATTTAAAAAATGCATCGCCAAGCAACCACCACCATTTTTAGTTGCGAATGCATACATGATATTTCCTTTGTGCAGTCAATCACCGGCAATCCTTCCATGAAGGCAACGTGAGATGCCTGCAAGTTTGGGTCGAGATTTAGAATCTGACAGGTGTAAAGTGGAAAGACAAAAATAGCTAAAAATTCCTACCAGTGAGGATAAAATATTACCACTCAAAGAAGGAAATTTCAGTAAGAAATGTAAAGATGAGAAAAGCAGATCGCAATATGTCTAGGCACCACGATGAAAATGGCCCTTTCATAACATCCAATGTGACCTTGGACATTACCCCGACACTAGAACATAAGTACACAATATGACAACCAAGCTAGCGATCCTGAAAGCGAGGACCCACCTCTCTAATTATAGCACCAAGAGCAACCATTAAGCCAGAAGTGACTGTACACGCCTGAAGGACAGTACCCCTGGAGGAAATGGATGTGGTAGAATTCGCAGAACTGTTGGAGGAAACATCTACACTCGGAGCATTTTCAACTGTTGAAGAAGATCTATCAGCAACATTTGTCTTGGATGAACTCCGGTCAACTTGCAGATCAAGGTCAATACTTTTCTGCGGTCTTCTATATCTTGATCTCTTCACTGAGCATCGAACTGAAGCACGACTTGTGCTTACTCTACACGCCTGCAGAAGGAAGCAGAATCATATTAGTTGATTGAAATCAAAACCAGCACGTGCTTTATGACTTCATGGAAATAAAGGGGGAATTCGAGAACCTTACACTGCAACAGGTGGCATGAAAATGCTTCGTTGCGTCGTTGAGGCCAACAAACTCCTCACCTAATTGAACATGTACATACAATCAAAAGCAGCCCCTTGTTTAGCCTACGGTGTCAGCAGACCCAAAAAAAAAAAAACCATAAATACGGATTCAGAGCCAGGTTCACATTTCACACCATGTTAAGGCCTGAGTACTAGTTTCAATTAATATGCTCAAGATAAAACTGTCAGCATGCCCACTAAAGTTGTATTTCAACAGTATTAGCTTAAAGTTTGCATTGTGAAGCGGGCCGAACTCTCGAGGTAAAACAATGAATGAAGTCTAATAACTAAAGCTCTCATTATGAAAGAGAGCAATCACGTGAGATCAGAAGCTCCGATAATCAAAACAACGAGACAGTCCCCAATGTCGGAAAGTCACCCACCATGAATCAATTTCCACAACATAACAACAAACCCAAGAAACATACCAATATCGCTGCCACTCAAAAAAGGATACGTTTTAGATAAACTTTCACGACTTGTAAGTGAAACCCACTTTTTTTTTGTCAACTCCCACAAACGAGTAGTCGTCACCGATCACTCCAAAACAGGGTATCCAAAAACTCCATCTTGACAATGAAATCACCGAACCCAGGAAAAACAAGAGACAGAACTGTGAGCAATTCATATCTTCGCATCCACAAAACCGACACCAAATGCTTCAAAATAAAGAAACGCAACCTCATGCCAAACAACTGACCCTTGAAGACTGAAGCACCAATAACATGAGTCGGAGAGGTATCGCCAGCTTGAGCCCAGCAAGCATCAAGAGCGAGCAAAGGCATGGCTGACGAATGACAACAGCCTTCAAAGCACCAGAACAATCGGGTTCTAGTTATCTGGGTCCAGAGGCCGGAGCAATCTTTGAACTAAAGAAAGCAAGAACACACGAAGTAAAGAAGAGGGAAGACAAAAGAACTGAAGGGGAATCACTGAGACAGAATCTGCCGAGCTTCGCTCTAAGCCGTAGACATGTTTTTTTTTTTTTTGCGGCTCTCGGAGCTTCGCTTTTGTTTGGATTTTGTCAGAAGACATCTCTTTTGTTTGGTAATGTAGTGTATGACTCTATGTGTCAGTTTCTTATAATTTAATAAGAGCCGCACGATTTAAAAAAAAATTTCAAAAAATGACAAGTAAAATACTCCGAATGTGGCATATTTGAATGACGGAAGTACGAATTTAACGACGGCCATACATATAAAAAAAATTGTCAGATGCCTAGAGGGGTCTTCACAATTACATCACGACTGTTTTAAGTAACCAGTGTAATTTTTTTCTACACAATCCACATCCATCATCATTGGTTTGACTAGTTAAGTGATTTTTCCAATCATGACCACCCAAATGAACGATAACGGACGAGGATTGTGTAGCAAACGGGATACCCAATGGGTTCGAGGTATTAATTTATGAGGATGGATCTATCAAGATGCGTGTATAAGCTCTCTTTAACAGAATATATAAAGTAAAACGTGCACCCACATAGCTGGGGAAATGTTCTTTTCACGAGGATTTGATGTGTAATCTAATTTCAACGGCGGAAAAATGAGAGATGATGAACCTCGCACCAAGTTAACCGCTCAGCAAGAAATTGCCTAGCCATTTCCTAGCATATGCTTGGTACTTTACCTCTACAATGTAGTATCAAATCTGACTGTTACCCTTTACAAAATTTTGTTAAGCAATTATACAGAGTTGCAAGACAAATCTCGAAAGTTCTCTATACTATCCATATCAGATCATCGGTATGCAAACTAACAAAAGTTGCCCCGAAAATTTCCAGAGAATTGCTTGCTCATCGTCATCTAGTGGATGGGACTATGCAACCATTCGACAATTCAGGGCTTTCGAATTCGAGAAAGCTTGTCAGCAAGGTCTTGCGAGAGGATTGAGCTTTCGAACTGCCGGGAGATAGTTTCAGGCGGCTCTCCGCGTCTTTCTCGATATTGGTAGCATCCTGTATGGCCAATATGATCTCCTGCATCCTAGGGCGGGAAACTCCATGCTGTTCGAGGCATTGGAGAGCGACTTCCGCGACTCTCCACACCGACTCAACCTTGAAGCTCCCGGTGAGTATAGGATCAACAATGCTCATCACATCCCCTTTGCGAATCAAAGATCTTGCCTGCAAAAGAAGCGTAAGCAACATGGAGACGATTGTCCAAACAAGCATTGCTTATTTCAGGCTATGTTCATGTTTGTGTAAGACTGAGCGCACATTGAGGAACAGAGTAATTTTCCAATTATATGTCTGAAAGTGCAGTTACAATTCTCTCTCTCTCTCTCTCTCTCTATTTTTAGTCACTGGTTTCTAAACATGGTGCAGTACAAATCACCAATCGATGAGGATAGGCTGATTCGGGCTCTCATCGTTCATAATCCATCATGTTCATAGATCATTCCAGTTAAGCTATCATGATCAATGTAAAGTAAACACCCATTTCATGTCTCGTCACTAATGAATCTACAAGTACATTAATAACTTCGCATCCTCTCCTTCAGGGTTGTGTCCTTCTGTCCATTACTCGGGACGTGCCTCATGCAGAGTAAGCACAATAATCTTACGTGTCTTGTGAACACACAAAAATCACCTTTTTCTTCACCTTCAGATCACATTTATTGTACGTTAAAAAATGCTCTTACAACACCGGTTGACTTGTTCTAAAAGCACACATGGCACTTTCTGATGTAAGTACAAGCCATGCTTCTCTTGACCAAAATCCGATGCCCCAGTACCTGTCTTGTCTCAACTAAGTTCTTTTTCTCTATATCTTGCGTGACTTCTGAACCTTCCATTGGCCTCCTAATCTCTCATTTTACAGCATGTATTTGTTGTTCTTTGTGTTTTAGGAGAGAATCCAGAAGAAGGTAATCCCAGCAGTTTTTTAAATAACAATGCCTAAAGCTTTTAGCAAGTGAAACAATGAAAGCAGTAAATCTCATACCCAATGGACAATGTTCCAGTCAGAACCATAATCTTCTGGCGACACGGGCTTTCTTCCAGAGATCAGTTCCAAAAGGACAACTCCAAAACTGTACACATCGCTCTTCTCTGTTAATTGTTGATTTCCATAATACCTGTGGGACAAAATATCAAGCTACATGATCGTGTCCAGGAGAACAAGTATGACAAACAGATTGTTAGCACATGCTTATGTATGGCTTACTCTGGATCCAAATACCCTACAGTTCCCCGTGCTACACTGGACACATGGGTCAAATCCTCCTCAGCTTGTCTTGAAAGCCCAAAATCTGATACTTTTGCTCTCATATGCATGTCTAGCAGGATGTTACTCGTCTTCACATCTCGATGAATGATGCTTGGGTTACACCCCGTATGTAAGTAATCAAGACCTGCATACACCTAATTAGTCTTTTATGCTATTGCACTAAAAACAATACATTGAAAAATTGCGTTGCATGTGAACAAGAAGATTCGTTTGCAATTCAAACCTTTCGCTGCATCTTCTGCTATACTGAGACGACTAAGCCAGTTTAGCTGCTTTTGCTTGACAGAATCTGTTAGAATATCAATGATTAAACTGCCTCTTGTCCAACTCTCAGATTTGACGAAACAGGAAAAACAAAAAGAACATTTGATAGAGATCAAACCGTGTATGTGATCGCGCAAGGTCCCATTGTGCATGTACTCATATACTAAGATGCGTTGGTGCTCTTCTTCGCAGTACCCAACTAAAGGAACTAAATTCCTATGATGGATTCTTGACAAGAGTGCGACCTGCAGGCCCAATCCACTGGTTAGTGAACCCTAAGCCACAGTGACCATCTGTGTAATATTCTCATTTCATGAAAACCTTGTGATGCAGTAAGATAAGAACTTTGAAAATCCAGTTAAATGCTCTTTCACAGTGTCGCTCTTCCACTGAGACTCCTTCAGCCAATAATGCTGGAGATAAACAAATTCTCAGGCAAGACTTCTAGCCTAACCAATTACAAAAAACCAGGGAAGTCTATAGTACAGTTTCTTCCTCATGTTGGTCATCCCATAACCAACAATGAATACATTCCATAAGCTGTAGCTTTCTGAGGACACAGCTCTACACCATGATCATGCGGAAGCACTATACGAGTCCATTAAATCAAGTAAGCACAAGTCACAGGTGGGAATGAGATCAGGTTCAAAACCATAGGACTGCAAGTCTTTTTTTTTTTGGTCGACTATGATTGCAAGTTTACACAACCAGAAAGAGGAAGAGAGAAAGATCAAATAAGACACAGAAAGCAAGAGGATGTTGACCCTTGCTGTTCTCAAGTAGATCAACAATCCTCAGATCAACAATGCTCTGTTATTATGCTCTGCACTGGTCATTCTGAAATTAAAAAGAGCTTTGGCAAGTTCGACATTTAATAGCCTCTTGTACAAGAACCCAGCCGCCTGACAGTCAACATCTCTTCTTCCATGAGAAAAAGATATCGCACTTTCTGCTTGTCCCAGTTTTACACTTTAACTGGCTGGTTTAAAAGATGGATTCAAGTGAAATCTATGAACACTTGTTACATTAACACATGGCACATTAGTTCCTCAGCCATACACAACACATCTAAAAAGTGAAGGTTAAATGTGCGTTCGCAAAAACAGTACGTCTCGAAAGGCTTAAAGTGGAAGTACCTCAGTCACAAATTGCTGGTGCCCATCGTTACATACATCAGCCATGATCTTTACAGCCACCTCTTTTCCATCTTTCATTCTTCCATAGTACACTGATCCGAAGCTACCTTTACCAATTTTCTTTGAAAACCTATCGGTAGCTGATTCCAAATCAGAAAGCCTTATATAGTGCGAGCCTTCTTCCCTTAAGTGGCCATCTCGAGCAATTGAATATGCAGTCGAAGTCTTAGTGCTAGTACGCAAGGAATCACCTGAATGGCACAATGCAAACACATAAGTGACACAAACCCAATCAAATCAATACGAAATGCAGCTAAATGAACCTATTGATGTGAATACCTTTATTATTGCTTTTCTGGCCAGACTTCCTTCTCCGAAGATTATGCAAGAGTAGCAGACTGCCTAGAAGCAACAATATCAAAACTGCAAGTACTCCAATTGAAGCTCCAAGTATCCACCTGAATTGCATCTTCTTCCTTGAGTGTCCATGCAATCCAATGTTTCCCCTGTACCTGCAACACCACATAGCCATCGGATAATTTCAGATACTTCAGCATTTTTCATAGCTTCTACCAATGTATAAATAGCATATGGTATTGCAGATAAGTGAGTGATTGAGCATGAAATGGTGCTTTTTGCACGTGATATGTGTTCCAACCACATCTGCAAATATATCAAGAGCTTATTCTGGCGTTATTATTTAAGTTGGATTGCCATGTAAAAGTTTATAGAAATTCCCATTGCTTGTGTCTTTGACGATATTTGAAATTGGTTTGCCATGTACAAGATTAAGATGATTCGAATTGCTTGTGTCTCTTGATGATATTTATTCTAGTAAACACATTGATGCACAATGTGGACGTAGATCCATGTGCACATAGAGATGCATCATCTACCATGATTGAAAACCCAAAGTTAGCAACATGCAATGTGATGTAAGAGTTTCTAATCACATTCTTCAGCTTCCTTTTTTGCAGATATGAAGTCTTAGCAGCAACCAGCATCCTTTTCACACTATATCAAATTCCATGTTCTAATTTTGGAAGTATTCGAGCAAGAGAACAGGAAAATTTCATGCTTTGTACCAAAGAAGTCACCAGCTGACCAATTTTCGAGACAACCTCTTGTTGTCAGCACTGGCAAAAGAAGAAGTCTACTCACCTGAATTTAATTTTTGCACTTAACAGTGCTGGAGGTATTTCACCAGTGAAAGAGTTGTTTTCTATATTCCTGTCACATGTAGAATCATACCATTACGACATGATTCATAGCATCTAGGAAACAAATCGGCATCTTAAATTATACCTCAACAACTAGAACTTTGTCACATCTAAACCAAATGTCAATAAACAAATAGCGAAGGGCGGCTAGTTGCCACGTACAGTTCAATTAAACTCGGTAAAGTCCCAAGGTAAGAAGGCAAGGGACCAGTCAATTGATTGTTCTCTAAATGCCTGCAAGTTCACCAAAAGAAAGCAGGAAATGGTTGTTTCAGACATAAAAAGAAGCTTCACTCAGGTCATATCGTGTACCAACAAGGTGCATGAGCTTAAATTTTGAGATCATGAAAAAATAACTTACACAATCTGTAAGTTGGTGAGGCTGCTCATATCAGGGAGTTCACCAGAAAATGAATTTCCACCCAGCCATCTAATAGATAGGAAGGAACGAACTGAACAAAGCTGGGTATTCAAAATATAAAAAGCAAGACTTTTGCAATTGTAATGCACTTACAATTCCGTCAACTGCACCAAATTATTAAGCTGAGAGGGGATTGTGCCCTTTATGCCCCTTCCTGACAGGTCTCTGCTCAACAGGTCAGTGTATCGTATTAGCTATAAAACATTAAAAATATTAAAATAGAGAGTACTAGACTTGTTCGCGGATTAGGTCCGAGGAGCAAATGAGTGAGCAGGGCCTGAGTTTGCCTTCTGCCTGCCTGCTCATGCCCGAAAAGGAATAGGCAATTTTATGGAAATAGATGCACTAATTTGAGAGCAAAGTTAAGCCTAATCTCGGGCCTGGGTCCAGCCATTTGGCAAATATATTAAGGTACTGTATAAAGTAGAACACTCTTTAGATTATGAGCTGTAATAGTCCAATATGACACTAGTTGGATCAGCCTTCTCAACCATGACATCGTCCAGAGTTTTCAATATTATTGATATTGCCAGTGCCCCTCATATTCTGTAAATAAAGCCATCAATGCACTACGTTATCAAGTTATTAGTAAAGATATAACCTTTGACTATTTTCTCTCTTGCTCTCTCTTGAAGATCCCAAATAAGTCGAAAATTCCTATAGTCTGACTAGCACAATCAGCAGGTATTACTTAAGGGACAAGCTCATATAATACTCCACATCATGAGACAAAAGGCAAAGATGATGAGGTATTAAATTCAGAAAATACAGCAGGATCAAATGAAGAGTTGCATAGATGACTAACAACACGGGGAGCTCACATTTTTGTGATCCTTGGTGGCGTCATCGAACTACAAGTCACCCACTCCCAAGCAACAGGAAGGCATGGATCACCTTGATCTGTGAAAACGTTTCCACTGGACATAGAGTGAAGGGCATCAACCCCTGTCACTGTTCGTGCCAAAGTCTTAATCAGCAAGAGTCATGCCACACTAAAGGCTTCAGAAATTATTGAGTAACAAGACCTAATTGACACTATTAAAGATAAAGAACCAGTGAACTCACGATCTTGCCTATCCGTCCTTGAAGCAATCCGTGCATATCTGCTAATTTCAATGGCATTCAGAAGTGGCCCTTGGGTAGAATCTGACGTCTTTTGAAAGGCGAATGACAGAATGAAATCCAAAGACACGTTCATGTAGCTTGGTTCGTAAAGTCGGTAGCTTCCATTGGCATTCTCAACAATGTTCACCACAGCAGTGTTGTAGTCACCCAAGGCAGGATCCTTCAATGTGAACTTCCGGGTCTCATTCGGCCCTAAGTCTTGGATTTCCGCAAAGTATGCATAAGCACGGGCATTAGCTGGAAAATCTTCCAGGTTCAGCCTATAGGTAAGCAACCCTTTCGTGCCAACGACAGCTGTTTGCATCACTTTAACGGGTGGGTGTTCTCTGGTACTAACATCTATATTTTGCGACGTGTTGATTCTCTCTGTACCAGGGGCTACACCAACCAGAAAATTTTGCCTCTTTGCCAGGTCTGAGTCCCAAATTCTATCATAAGGATCATCCGGGTACCTAGAAAACTACGAACAAATTAGCCCTCGTCATATTCATCACTACTTACGCTTACTCTATCAATTGCGAGAATCCAGTGGCAACCAAGATTCCCAAAATTTAAAATTGCTGCTGGCTTCAGCTAAACATCTACCGCGCAAAAAAAGATAAACCTTTTCGGACAAGAGCCTTTTACCTCAAAGCCTCCTGTGTCAGAGCCCCGAAGTTGACCCTCGCCGCCACCTCCAAGAAGAATTCATCCTCAAAATTAGTGGTGTACATCGAGAGACTCAGTGGCCTGAGCTCCAGAGTGGAAATGAACGGAGCCCCGGTCGTCGCACAGCAAAGGCACACATCGACCGATCCGGAGGGTGCACGTATGATCATCTCCTTCACGTAAACTCGGGAAGCATCGAAGATGGTCACGGTCGTCCACTTGGTCGCGTCCAAGTAGAGCTCGAACTTGGGGTACGTCGCCTCCGTTTCAGGATTTCCGTACAAGAATGTCGTACGGACGATGTATCTTCTTCTCTCCTCGGTTCGGAGGGTGTAACAGTATTTCTTGCCGTCTATTGGGAAGTCTCTGCGTGTCTGGTACTGCACCGAGCTTCCAGTGGAGTTCTTTACCGCCGAAGACTCGCCATAGTTCATGAGACCCGTGTCCGAGATCCATGTGAGCCCTGTTGTCGGGTCTGTGGAGTTGCCGGCTCCTCCACAGTCTATACTGACGAACTCTGCATGTGAAAAAACAGGACGAATTTCTTGAACTTAGTGAGCCAAAGGAACAAACTTTCCGTGAAAACTTGTTCATGTAATACGAGAACAAAAACAAACTCGAAGATGGGAGGTTTTACCAGTAACTTGGCACAGAGCGGACGGTGTGAGCGCCAGAAATATGAGCAAGATTTGAGAAACGAAACCCATTAAGAGACAAGAGAACAAGAAACTTAAAATGCTTTTGGGATCTTTGGACACTCTGCCTAGCGTGGGATTTCTAGCATTGGAAGAATCAACAAAGCGTGTGTGGTTGTGCTCACTGCTCAGTTCAACTTCCACGTCGCTGTCTTCATTGTGTTGCTGTTCTACTTCTTCCACTTTTGGCTTTTGCTTTATGGGAGTGATGAGCGCTGTAATATGCTGGTCGCTCATCATGGTTCCATCTTTAGCTTTCGTTTTGGAATCTCCTTTGCTTTTCCAAGAGAAGACAGCTTTCAAATCCTACTTTACTTCTCCTCAGGGTTGATTGAGATCGCAATTCCATGAACCCAAGATCAATATGTTTAGCAGAAGACTAGAAGATTTTTTTTTACAGTAAGATTACAAAATTGTTACTCTGACTCTTCGGCGGAAAAGTAAAGAGTTCTTCAGTGGAAAAGTAAAGAGTGGGTAGTAATTTACATGATATGCACGATTCATTGCGTTCAATTCAGATTTCAGATGTGGGTCCAAGAAATTTGAGGTGGTCGGTCTATGTGGTCCGACAGTCTGCTACATGCACCCCACTTATTAATCTGAATGACTCTTGCTGTTTGACCATTTCATATCTTTGAAAGTGAGAAGATTTTGCATGCTTCCAAAATAAAAGTAGTGCGCATGATGTTTTTACCTTTGGGAGCGATTAGGGTTAAGCAAGATCTCTCGAAGGATTATTACATCCTATACATCTTTTTTCTTTGAAATGTAGTTTGTTCTATTTACAATATGATGATCCTCACAAATCTTTCTAATAAGGGTTTTGGGATTGATAAGCTCACAGCTGGTGTCTTTCACTTTGTAGCACAAAAGGAAGACATGGGGTTGCAACCAAATACGCTTGAATGATTTCTCTATTTATCTCCTTCAGTATTTTATAAACATAAATATTAGGGAGGCAAAAGGGAAATTCAGAGAATAAGAATTGCTAATGGGAAATAAAAAAGAATAAGCAAAGCTTGTTGGGAAAGAGAAACCTAGCCATGCCATGCAAAAGCATGTATTGAAAAGCAAGAGAATGGAATCATTGCTCGGAAAAGTATTTCATAATCAGCTTTGCTTTGCTTTCTTAGTTTCCTTTTGCTTTCTAGCTATCAAAGAGATAAATTTGCTTTTTGTGGCTGTGTGCAGCTTTTTAAGGCTCCATGAAAAGGCACTCCACTCGCCAAAGCCCTTTTGGACGGACCGTGCACAAGATCAGATGGTCCCCATTCCATCTGAGTGCGCGATTTTATTAGGGTTCGGTATTCTTGGAATGATGTGGATTTCAGAGCATGAGCAAACTCTCGTATGAACTTGAAACCATAGCTCAGATGCAACTGTAACAGTTGAGTATCACGAGACCTACAAGATTAATGGTTCTAATTAATTGCGATCTACAGCAGACCACCGTCCATAATCAGGGTCAAAGAAGCTAGGAAGGAATTTTGGCTCGGACACCTCACACAAAATTACCTCATTTTACGACAAACTGCATGTGCTAATGTATAAATCGAAACAACACTTGGTCCATCTTAGGGACACCCGGATTGCATCTGTATGAAAGCGTAACAGTCTAGTAGCATGGTCTTTTATAAATGAAGATTGAAACTATAATTCATAAGGTCGATTGGTTGATGAATTATGTGCGCATTCAAAGCACTGCAACAAACAAGCATACGGCGACTAATGCACATTCAATGTTGTCCCCACCCATGATACTGGAAAAGGATTTATTGCAGTGATTTCAGCATGGCCCGTTGCTGACATATTAGTCATATTCATATTTATGGTTTATTAGTTTATAATTTATCCCCTTTGATCTCCACAAATTTCATTTTCACTACTTCCATCAAATCTTGCATTTCATCGAGACCCATAAATTCCAGTGATTGTCATTCGGCATATATTTATATTTCGGCAATGAAACAATTTCTCTCGCTTGTGGAAGGTGAAGTCACCTTCTTGACTTTAGCCTGGTTCGTGCATGATTGGCAGGTGGGACATTCTGTCACTCCTTATTATTCTTCAATGATCGTCCTAGTATTTCCTTCTCTGAAAATTAAATCATCCCATCATAATTTTTAGGCTTAAATTAGCTTTGTATAGAGACATAATTTGGAGGCAAATGACAGCCCATATCCAATGTTGGGTCATGTCCAAAAAGAAAGAAAAGGATAAGATCAGAAGATTCATGAGAAAGTGAAGTCATCCCTTTCTTTCCTTCTTAGTCTGCAAATGTTTAAGCACTAAGCAAACTCTGTCTCTCTGTCTCTCTTCACAACTTAACAATCATCACTATTCATTTTCTTTCACCAAAATTCTCCTCATCAGAACCAAAAGGACAGTCCCCTCCAAAACACCAAAAAGAGGAAGGGAAAGAACCCAAAAAGGATCAATCTTTTGCATCATCTCCCTCTCACGTCTTCCCCCGCCTTGTTTGCTGATATCAAACTATGTGGCAAAAGCAGCCAAGCACGTCCTCCTTCAGAGAATCCATCAAAGCTCTGGAAGCTGATATACAGCATGCCAATGGCCTGTAAGTCCTCCCTACATGCCATTAACAGCCCGTTACTACAATCATGATTTTTGGTTGATAATGGTTAAAATGATCGTGTTCTGTAGTAGAGCCCATATAGATGGTGAACCGTAGCTCTAAGAGTTTATGAACTGGTTCTGTAACAAATTTCTTGTTTCTCTCTTCTGGGGTTTGTTCCATGGAGCTTGTTCTTCTAAATGGGCGGTTAATAGGCACTGTTTTCTTGGAAGTTGTTCAGCTTGAGCATTGGCATTTTGTGTTTGCAAGAAAATAGCCCTGAACGGGAATTGGGGTCAATAATAACATACAGATTCTCATGCGAAAAGATTAAACAAAGAGGAACATTAGGCTGCAATACTCAATGTTCCTGATTCTTCATCATCATCATTTTCCTTGCGCATGGAAGTAAGTTCAACATGCTTGGTAGGATGTCTTGTTGTTCTGTTCTGTTATTGCAGTAGCTGTGTTTCAGGATTTTGCTCATTCTGTGTTCAAATTCTCGTTATGTCAATCCAATTGCCAGGATTGTTTGCTCAATTTGGCTTCTTTAAACTCTTAAAGCTGATTAATCCTCTCTTTCTGTCCATTTCCCCTGAATTTCTGACATTATACACAAAAAACTTGTCTAGTTCCTGCTATCATTGGCACTTCAAACTATCATCCTTTTCTATTTTACAGGGCAGCTGGTTTGCCGAGAGATTATTGCGGCGACAGTATACAGATGAGATTGTCATACAGTCCTTTTGCACCATTCTTATCGTTTCTGATTGAATGGATGGATTGCCGTTGTACAGATTCCATCCCAAGTTATTTAGGCCTTGTTCAGATCATAATATACCAGGTAAGTTTATTTCTAATAGTGCTGGATGTCTAATTCATGAATTCTCATACCAGGGTTTTTCTTTTTTATTTTAAATTTCTTGTCAAAATCGTCTAGGTATATGTTGATGGCATGCCCACAATGTCTTCGAAAGAAAGACAAGCCTCTCTGAGGGAATTTTACGGTATGTTCTATTTTCTCTTTTCCAAGTTTACCAAAAAAAAGGGGGAAAAGATGTGCTGTTCCCTATGCTGAATCCTACACGCTACTATATGTAAGAGATTAGAAACTTTATGCAGCTGTTATATATCCTATGTTGAGGCAACTGGAAGCCCAGTTTATCCTAATTGAAGATGACAATAAGAAAAGAAGCCAAGCGGTGGATGTTTCAAGCAGAAAGTGGGCTGAAGACAAGAGGGGGTTTGGCGATAAAGATATTGACAAGGAAGATGAATGCGGCATATGTATGGACAGTTTTAACATGATGGTACTGCCAAGCTGCGGGCACTCCATGTGTATCAACTGCTTTCGTGACTGGTAAAGGGAATGTTAATGTTTCTTTTACATACAGAAATTCGTATTTGAAGTCCATCAACATCCTGCACTTTATAGGGACACCTTTTCTGTTCGAAAAAGCCTGCACTTTTTCCGTAATCAAAAGTGTTTATGCTCTTGTTTGTGTTTCTTAAATGTAGATTCGCCACATGTAAAGGAACCGGTTACGACCCTTTAGTACTTCATCCGTTTACTTTTTGGGTGAACTGTGTTGAAAGATTTTTTTTTTCGTTTGGTGTATAATGCATTTGAACTTCAGGAATGGGCGATCTCTATCCTGCCCCTTTTGCCGCGACAGCCTTAAGAGAGTTGGCTCAAGAGATTTATGGGTCCTCACAAGTGGCAACGATGTTGTTGATGCAGTTACTCTAGCGAAGGAGAACCTGAGAAGTTTCTATCTTTACATTGAGAGCCTGCCTTACACAACACCCGAGACCCGTGTCATTGTTTTCGATTACATGATGTTCTGATAGTGAGGAGGACTGAAGAGTTTGACTGTACATTCTAGGTAGAGATATTGCTGGCCTTCCATTATTAGTGAAGCCAAGGTACATATATGAACGTGGAAGGTCAAGCAGAAGCCAAGGTAGCTGTGCATAGATGAGTTCATTCCCGATTACCAACATAATCTTGGAAATTCAGGTAAAAATCAGGTGGATTCATATAGTCCTGCGTTCCCTCCTCTCATCGTGGAAGCAATTCTTACGCTTCTGTGAGAATGAGAACTAGATGAGTAATGTATAGTACAGAAACAGGGCATTGCTTGGCTTTCAACCCAGCTATTTTGGACCTGAGTACTGGAATGCAAATGTCAAGCTCTGGGAGGATGGTTGATGTTTATTGACCCAATAAAAGGCCTTTAGCATTTAGTCTTCTGCTTAATATTCATGGTACAGGCGAAATAATTTATGATGCACATGAAACTAAATCATCTTTCCTGTGCCAACTTTATTGCAATAAAGCATTATATTATTTTTAAGTGAGTTAGATTCTCTTTCGTTGCACTCTTCTGTTTTTCTTAGTACATACATTTCCAGAAGCTTTGTATCTTTAATGAGAACTTTCTTGTCTACATCATTGGGTTAAGAGCTCGAGCCATTAGATGAAGGGTGAGGAGTTGACGAAAGTAATGCTTGATTTCTCCTAGAAAATGGCAATAGTGATAGGTTGTTACCTGTTCCCCGTCGATTAATGTGGTTGCTCTACGTATTCGATTATAACTCTGCTGTCCCATAGCATGTTTAGTTGGATATTTATCATTACCCCCAGGGAAAGATATTGATTGAGTACGTAAAATTCCAGCTTTTCATTTACCTCTTGGAGGATTGTCTTACACATTTAGATACCTCGCTGATTACTTGCTAAATTCTAACTTTGCTGAAAGTTCCTTGTCAAGCATCCTCCGCTGGTTTCGGGAACTAACTGTTTGTTCATATTTAGCACGAGGTCTCGGCTTTCCTTCTCTAGACTTATTACAGAACAATTTGTACATTCAGCCAAAAAAATAAGAGAAATCGAGAAGGAACAATTTTATGAGAAGACATTCGATGTTACTAGAGTTCTGTTTTTTCTTCTCTTCTTTTTTATTTCCACCAAGTTTTGTAGGGAAGAAGAAGACTTCTTTTATTTATAATAGCCGAACAAAGAACACCCTTTCTATGAAGCTGAAACTAGGCTCTTGACAAGTAGCAGAATCTATACTAGTGCATGCCATAGATCCTTCACATAAGACTAAAATTTTTTCACTTCGAATATATGTGCATAATTTCAGAGATCTGGTGGTCGTGGGAGGTTTAATCACCTCAGTGTTGACCACCACGAAAATGCTATTTTTGAATGCTTCCTGTTTCACCTGCTTACACCTGGATATTTGGAGAAGCATTTTCTTGCACATTCCTCTGTGGTAAAAATGTCCGGTGATTGGTTGTACTTTGGCTAATCTTACGGTTGACATGGTTGGGGCTCTCGGCATTGATCTTGATACGTTGAGAAGGCCGAGACCTTTGGCATTTGTCTGGAGTTGGCTGACCATCGAGTTTAGATGGTTGTGGTCTGGTAAGCGAGCACTGCAGTAAATTGAACAAACAGTCAACTCCAAAAAATAGCAAAGCAACCTTAATTGGGATCTCTTATTCTTCACCTAAGCGATAGAACTAGAAAAATTTATATATTGAGAAGATCTGACTCTTTTCATAACCCTTTTTGCAATATGGACAACATTTCAGCAAAAAGTGAACCAGAAAGAGGTCTTAAATGGCAGTGTTAGAGATTTAAATAATATAATCCGATGGTAAGATTACAGTGAAAGCCATTCCCCGCAGACTACAAGAAGCTATTACTAGTGCTTGAATGAGGAAAAATAGCGTGACTGATCATATCTATGAGGTACCTTGCTGTGAGGGCATGGTGATTGAGATCCTTGACATAATTCGTCATTCTTTTTTGCTTTGAAACCAAATCCGTGCTGCAGTTTTCTGACATCTTGCTGTGCTTTCCCCTGCATTGACAGATAATTGGTAAGCGCAAACTCAATGAGGCAATGAAAAGAAGTAGGCCAAACTTATGGAATATATCTGAATGACAGCCTCCTTAACTAGTAGGCCTGACATTAGAGCCACGATAAACTAGTTCAATCAATGCAGTTCTTTTTACTTCCTAGGATCTGTGAACCCACTATGCAATTATTTCCTCACTACTGCTGATTGGTTGCCAAATGTACCTTGTATGTTTGCAGTGGCTGCACTTCTGCCTTCATAACTGGGTTCTTCTCTTCCTGCTTCTGAAGAAAATGGCAACACGAGAAAGAGATTCATAAGCTAGGGAAGTTAAAATGAAAAATTCGCAGCCTTAATAAGGAGGTTGACGAATCACCCTCATCATGCAACTTATAAGGTCTTGATTGAAGATTTAATGGCATAGTTATACCTCCTTTCTTTTTGCAGCTCTTTCTTCACTCCTGAAGCTAAAAGGCGAGCACACAGTTGTTGATCGAGCTTTGCTTCCATTTGTACTTGCGCATTTCGAGCTGCTGTCATTAGTAGGGTCAGAGACAGTTCAAACATGACAAAACGAAGAAAGTATATTGCTTTTGTGTGCGAAGTGATTTGAACGCTAGAGCTTACTAGAGTAAGAAGAAATGTCCAGCTGAGAGTATTTGCATTCAGTTTTAACTAACAGATACGAAAGAAACTAACAGATATGAAAGATCCCGACAAAATTGCGCGAGAAACTCTACATAAACACCTTTAATTAACACGAAACTTTTTCACTGAAGGGGAATTTGATTCATCATCTGTTGTTAGTGCTCCTTAGATTAACTTGTTAAGTACAGTTTTACTGCTGGTCCAAAAAGTATATGTACACACCGAGGATGGCCTATAGCTTAGTAGCGAAACTGAAATGGTCAGACAATCAAAGGCAAAGTACCTTCTATCTTGTGATGCAGGAATTGCAGAACACACTGACTTCCTTAAAGATGCCTGCAAAGTTTTTAAAAAAGAACACTCAAGGTCATGACATTTTAGAAAGGGTACTTCAAGTGCAGGGTGCTAATGCAAGTGCTTCAAATGAGAGTAGGAAGACATAAAACGTATAGAAAAAAGAGACGAGCAGTACTCGAGTTTGAGCTTTCAGAGCAATTGAATTGTCCTTCTCGATTTTTGGGGAAGCATTGCACTCTTCATTTTTCCTTACTTGTAGAAACTGCTGAGAACTCATTTTGGTGCTACTACCACCAAGTGAAGCTAAATTGATCGACATGTGGAGAGATTTTGAAGATGATCTATACTCCTTAACCGAGCTTCTGACCGTCTGAGTCTGACTGTTTGGAACAGTATTGTTTACATGTCTTGGACCTCTTGGTTGCATAGATGTCATTGCCTTTGCATGTGGAGGCGGCAATCTCAGCGCTCTGCTTTGAGTTGATGACTTCGAGGAAGAAAGCGCTTGCTTTTTCTCACATGAAGTTAAAATCTGCTGATCAACAGGTGCCTGCAACAACAATAGGTAGAATTGATAAGTCAAGAAAGGCTACGCATTGAAGGAGAAAGCAGGACCAAGCAACAAAATTACCTGATCTGGCACATTGATCTTTTGGGAAGCCGTACTATTTGCGGTGAACTCTGGATTATCAAAGTGACTCTGGTCTTCAGATGGAGACAAGAGCTTTTCAGCAAGCTCAGCTTTTACATTCTCAGGACTTGCAACCTCTGCTATCTCCAATTTGCTTCTTTCATTCATTGGATTTGATTCATCTTTATCACCAGAGGAAGTTAACATAGCTTCAACGCTATCTTTCTTCAGATTCTCATCATGGGCATCAAGAGTGTCTGCTTTCGCCGATTCCGATTCCCCTGTAGACTCAACCCCTCGAGTGTGGATATCCTCCAGCCTGGGAACATCAGAGTTTGGTTCTCCCACTTCCTCAATCTGTGATGTCGCTTGTGTCGCAGCCTTTTTCTTGTAATGTGCTTCGAAATAGGCTCTCTTCTGTGCAACGGATCCTGGCTTTGAGAATTTCTCAACTTCCTCCAGGTAACGATTGTGAGAGAAGGTCGACCATTTTTCCCAAGCCAACGACTCAGACATAAATCTTCCAAACGAGACAGACTCCGTGAGTGCGCGAATCGGGTCGCCCTGGAATTTCCCAAATTTTCATCTCCCCAGTAAGTTTATCAGAAGTCACTTGAATGAAATGTCATGAAGGAAAAGAAATGCAGAAGTTCCCAATCAATAAATCAAACACTCTTCAGCAACTAATAAACCCCCTAAAGGCAACGAATTTCCGTCCTCAACAGCCTCAACGGTCCGAAAAAACAAGAGGGTCCTCGCGCATTTTCTCTCCCACGAATCTCACAAATCGAATAATCAAGAAAAACCGTAACACAACGGTGGCCGCACAACCGACCATCGGAACGAATAACAGTAAGAAAAAACACCCCTTTAAGCAAATTCTCCGCAGCACAAAAACAAACTGAGCCAACAAAAGGAAACACCAAGACATCACCGGCGAAATGTGCGGAAAAGTTCCGCGGCGAACTCACCGGCGCGGCTTCACGGGAAGCATCAGAAGGGTGAGAGAACGACCTCCGAAGGCAAGCAGACTCCCCCATTTCGATCTCCTCAGCGCTCCTCAGCAAGGTGGAAACCCCCCGCAAAAGATCCCACCTTTCACAGCAGAATCACAGGCTCCTGGTCCGTTGAGAGAGAGAATTCAATGTAATTTGCAGAGAACGAAGGCTTTTCAAGTGGGGAGCTTTTATACATGGCTTCCGACATCATATGACTTCCACTCCAACAGCAAAAGAAAAGAAAAGAAAAGAAAAATGTCGTCTTTAATGGGAATTCTCTCTTGGAGGGGTCCCATTAAATTGGAATTAAAGGTTGCCCAACGTCTAATTCCTCTTCTAATCGCCCCGCAATCGACAGGGACGCATGGATTCAGATGCAAGTTGATGAATGAGAGGATTTCTTCATTATGTTGTGGGACGTTCATTTGACCTTTTGGCAATGCAACGGCTCTCGTCTTTCAATTATTGGCGCGTGTTTTTTCGCTTGCCCTTTTTGTTTTGATTTCTTTTTCTTTTTTTGGGTTGCGATCCTATTATGTATTTATTTATTTTTGGGTTTTTCTTTTTGGTTTCTTTGGTCGCTGTCCATGTGAGGAACAGCCGAGTTGGTCTGGCCGTCGCGGAGCCGGGTGCGGTGGTTCCAGGCTCGAGTTCGACGCCGGGGTTCGCACGATAGGGAAGCGCCAGAAGAAGGGTTCGACTATCGAGACCCTCAAGTCCAGTTTACGCCGCCTTTCTCAGCTTGCCCGGGACCTAGGTTCGGCCGCCGGGCAATTGGGGTTCGGCCTTTTGGGAACCGGATTGGACCACGGGTTTTCGCGTTGGGCACCGAGCATCCACCTCTGACCCTCACGGATTCATGTGGCATTGCCTGAGTAAGAGCCTTGGGAGAATCGAATCGGGACCCGGACGCTCGGACGCTCGCTTACAGACGATAAAAGTTTCAAGTTGGACCAGAAAGGGTCACTTTACGATCAAGTCCAGTTTAGTTCTGAGTGGCCCCAAGCTCCATTTTTTTTTTTTTGTGGAAGCTATAATCCTTTCTTAATTAGAGTATATTAATCCTCTTTGTAGATAATCAAATCTGTTTTGTTGGAATTTGATAATCCAAGACTCATTTTTTTGCAGAGTATAAATGGATTTCCTACTTAATGAGAAAACTTAGCATGAGTTTCTTATCCTGCCGTACAAAAATAACAAAGATTCAGTTTTTTCGAGTTTTGGTCATAATTTTGGAGTTCGCCTTTAGACTTGAGCAGAAATTTCACAACAGCCTCTACCCTCAATGCAGCTTTGTTCTAGAAGAGAAAAAAAGATTAAAAGAAAAATAAGTCATACTAGTTTGGTGCGGTTTCGCATAAGAAACCAAGAAGCGAACTGATACTGCTAGTTTTAAATTTTAGGAACCAGGAACGAAAACTGTTCTCATGGGAACCGCCTAGTATTACTGTGTTCAATCCGGTTCCCGGATGAGATTGGGACCGGTGATCACCCCTAGTGGTAAGTATGAGGTCCACGGGGATGAATCCGGATCCGACCATTGAGAGACCCAACCATCGTGGGTCCGAATTAGTAAACAATCCGTACTTTTACATGGTAATAGACTTCAGTATATTCTCAATCCATTTTAGTTCGAAGACGGCTAAGAGTTCACTTTCCTGTTGTAGTACTGTTTGGTCTTGTGGAAAGGTGACTAACGAAATTAAATCTGCGGAGATGAGTATGGTCGACTGCTAGGACATGTTGCCGAAACGAGAGGGAAGATGAATAGTCTGATCTTCTTCGGCTTCTGTCAGTGCTCCTCTTCTGAGATCAGACCTCAGGTAATGGATCCATCTTACTCAATTGCTCTTCCCACACCGCATCAAACCTTCAACTGGAAAACCCAGAAGAAGAACAAGAGAAGCACGTTTGCGTTTTGATTAGATAAGAACTTCGATTACGTGCCACATGAAAGTCTTTTGCATAACAAAGCAACACATTGAACGTACAGAGATTTACATGCATGGTGGCGCTTCTGTTTCGGGGTCGTTTTTCCGAAATAAGATAGGCCGTCTCGGGAGTACATGCGCAAGCTCAGGTACGAGGCATCAGCATCAGATACGTTGCGGAGTGCAAAGTTCATGAGCTTTTGGTCCTCTTCAATCGTCCATGGACCTCTCTTCAGCCCTACCTTCTGATAACAACATGGTTTTCTTCTCATCCCTTGCTATTGGGAGACTAGAGAGATCAGTAATCAAGATCAGTTCATGCCAGCAATTAATAGCAATTGAACCAATATGTACGTATGCATATATACATGTTGCTGAAAAGAGCATTTAAGTTAATTATTTGTGATGGCAAAGATTCTGCCAGTTAATTCTGGGAATATTGAATGCTGTTGTGCCAGAAATAATGGTCTATAACGAATTTCATATTGGCACGTTCGAGTCTTTCTCTTCGTGATGTTGTCCTAAATAGTTGATAGATATGGTAATTACTCGTACACATAGCAAATTACATAAGATGATGAAGATTCTTGGTCCTTCAAAGTTTAGCTAGCTTCACAGGGACAGAAGTAAAGCAGATGTCGGAATCCATCGCGGTGCCTAATATTTCAAAAGCAATCTCCATCGTCATGTCCAGCATTAATTTGGCACAGCGCAAGGAATGGCTCGGCATGGTTTGAGAAGACGGCAAGAAAGGTCGAGTGATTCGACCTCATATGCCGACATGATGACCAGTAATAGCTACAGAACTGCTGAATGTAACTACATTACAAAGGACATCACAACATAGACAAGTAGGGGCAAGCCAACACAGTTCAAATCTTCAAATCGAACCGTTGTCTTTCACTTAAAACAAGATTTTGCATGCACTCAGTGTCTGGGAGTAATTGTACTGCAATTTAAGAGGAAGTTCGACAACTTTGGTACCCCAGACTCAGAGAAACAACAACGCAAATCGCCACTCAAATCATTGGCTAATAATGAATTGGGCAATGCAACACAGAAATTTCCGAATCTGTGCGGTGAGACAAGATTACAATGACAGTAGAAAGAACGAGACAGAACAAATTTTCATATAAGATCAGATCCTGTAAGATACATCTTCACATCGAGCCGATGAATATGAACAGATGAACAAATAAATGGTGACTATACAATGGGAGGAAAACGCTTCAAAGAATGGAAACAATCATATCTCTGAAGAAAGCTTCAGCATTTGACGAAAGATATGGCAATACACCAATCATCGTGATCTGAGTCTAATCTCCATGTACTTCTTCATGGACAAGCATATATAGTCAACCAAGCAAAGTTGTCTCACAGCTCTGAATCGGCCTTCCTGTCCATGATAATCTCCCTCAAAATATCTTTGGTTACTTCGATTCGCCAAACTAGCAAAATTTTCTTTCCTAACCAGTTCAGTAAGAAAACTCGAGACCTCTGAGTGAGATGTACTTCTTAACCCATATTGCTATATCCTCTGCACACGCTCGAGCTTGCGGCGTCTGAAGCAGCATATCCTTAGTGGCAAACTCATGAACGGTGTCCTTATAATCCAGCACGGGTGCATCGACATTGAACTTCCGCAGCTCTGCACAGTAAGCGATGGCGCGGTCCCGCATCATGTCGTGTTCGGCCACTACCATCACAGTCGGAGGCATGCACTTCAAAGGCACCGTTCTCGAGACAAGAGGGTTCACTGCCGGATGGTCAAGGCTGAACTTTTCATCCGGTAACAAGAGCTTCAATGCCATGTTGCGTATAGCCTTGTCGTAGAAGTAAGAGTTCGCAAGCTTGACCTCGGAGTTCGTGGGGGTGGTCCCGGCAAAGAAGGGATACATTAGGACTTGAGCCACCACTTTGATAGGGTCAAGGAGCTTCCCTGCCTCTATGGCCTTTTGACACACATATTCTGCGATATTGGCGCCGGAACTCACACCGAGGAGGACGCACCTGCTCGAGAATGATCGATGCAACTTTAGCTGACATTATTATCAAAAACAGCAAAAAGGGCTTGCAAATGGACTCTGGACAGCAGCTAAAGTAAAGCAGCAGTAGTAACCCAATTTGCTTGCAGCAAGAGTGATTTCAGAGAGAGGCATTGTCCTAGAAAATGTTATGTAGCTTATGTTTGAGTTACCGGACAAAACTGGAGTTGGATGAACTGCGAGAAATCGAAGGCCTCTTATAAAGGTTCTTATGAAATGACCATGCGCGATGTTTCTCGCAGAATCACAGATCATTCTCAATCAGTGTCTCATACATATTCATCCGATCACAACAATCATCAACCATTGAAGCCCACATATCATTAATTTTAGCACATTTCAAGTCTCACACTGTTCAATATGTATAACTCCTCATTTAGCTCCCTCTGACCAATATCCTATCCTCCTATGAATCATCTTATCCTGGCTCACTAAAGAAAATGTCCATCATTGAACATTACCTGCAGAAACTTAGTCTAGTTCCATAAATGGTTCGGATACAAATGTCCCTGCACCTAGACAAGCATCAAATTTCGCAGTCCCTATGAACGAATTATCCGAATGTCAATCGAGAATGAGTCGTCAATCCAAAAACAATGCATACCAATTTGCTATTTATGCATCAACAAGAAACATAATCAATCACATTAACATATTCAGATATGAAAGCGATTAGTCAAGAAAGCAACAAATCACCTGGAAGGATCTCCATGAGCAGCGAGCCACGGTTCGACCATCGACACGCCGAAACTGTCGAACACATGGCCCTCGACCCCGACGCTCCTCCTCAGTTTCCCAATGGACCGACTGCAATCCGCCAAATTCGCCTGCTTCGCCAGCCAATTCAACGCCTTGGCCCCGTCCTCGAACGCCGCCGGGTACTTGCTCTCCGGCGCCAGCCTGTACCCGACCGCCACCACGATCACGTCGCACGCCCTCGCGATCCTCCGGCAGAACCCGTCGTTCTCCGCCGAGTTGTGCCCCCCGTTCACGAAGCCGCCGCCGTGGAACTGCAGCATCACCGGGAGCCTGACGCGGCTTCCCCCGGCCGGTGGCGAGTACCCGCCGTACTGGCCAGGGCCGCCGCCGCCGCCGCCGCCGGGGGGCGCGAGGACGGTGTCGGGGAGGAAGAGGCGGAGGGAGAGGGCGGAGGAGGGGTCGATGTGGATGTCCTTGGTGGCGGCGCCGCCGACGAAGGAGGGGTTCGCGGGGGCGACGGGCTCGTCGAGGCGGGAGGCGACGCCGAACTGCTCGCCGGGGCTTGTCGGAGGAGGAGGAGGAGGAGGGGACTGGGCGAGGGCTTGGAGCTTGTGCTTGAGGTGGTACTTGAAGAAGAGGCTGTACAGCTTCACCACCGCCGTCGGCATCTTCACACAGAGAGAGAAAGAAGAGAGAGAGAGAGAGAGAGAGAGATTGAGTTGGGATTGATGCTGGTGACCTTAAGAGAGAGAAAGAGAAGGGCTACATGGGAGGAAGTAAGAGACTTGTTCAATTCAAATTTCACGACGGCGTGTTGAGAAACGGGAGGCGATGAGGAAGACGAAGAACAGCAGCAGTCAGAGGAGAAGCTTCTCTTCTCTTCGTTCGTCATCCTCGATTTTTACCTGCGATGCCAATGTCGCGACGCGCAGCGTGTTCGGAAACCGGACCGGACCGGACCGGACCGAACCGAACCTCCGCCCGGTTCGTACCTTTGCCCGATTTAGGTGCTTCGATCGCGTACGGCTAGAGAGAGCAGTCGGTTCGATTTTCTTCATCTCTAATTTTCTTTCCAAAACCAAAACCCTTTTTTTTTTTTAAAGAAAAATCGATCCTGTAAATTTTAAAAAGAATCACCTACAAAACTTGCTGACGTAGCATTAATGCCGTTAACTATTTTCTGACATGAATTTTATTTCATCTATTTGCCGATCGGAATTTGTTTTCCCTTTTTCGCAACTCTCTCTCTCAAAATTTTTCTTCTTCTTCAGACCGACAAAATTAAAAAACCATGAAATTTAACAATCGCAAACAATGCTTAAACTATGATTTGTATATATACTCACGATCACCACTTGAACGGCCATGGCAGCCTCAAGCTTCGCACCTCCAAAAGATCTATTGAGCATAGACGCTCTGAACTGAAAGCTCGATTAGTCATGCCTGCCACGAGCTTTAATCGAGCGACCATGACCATGACATCTACAAACTTGAGCTTGAATGGCCATGGTAGTCGAAAGCATAGAGCTTAAGCTTGTGACTATGGTAGCTGTGATGGAGATCTCTCTCGCAATTTTGCTTTCTTTCATGTTGTCGGACGTGGCGTCACATAATAATGTTGAGCGAATCACATCACAATATGTGTATTCCAGCGCCTGTGTAAGAAATTAGCAATTCAGCAGCACATTTCGAAAAAACCGACGAGAGAAAATGCATAACAGAAGGAGTAACAGTGACATTTTTTAGAAAGTAGAGAGACGCTTTTGAACTAAAAGAAGTAGATGGACGACCCTGATGAATTGACAAAGACAGAGAGACCAACGATGACATTATCCAAATACATTTAAGGATTATTAGATTTACGCATTCTCTCGGGCCGTTTTTAAGAGCGAATGCTTATTTATCTCGAATAAATTTTTCTTTGTCAGAATATCTCGACTAATTATTCAGTATATATTTGAGATTGAAGAAGAAAAAGGAAAAACGAAGATGCTTGCGAGAAAATTTGGTGGGCGATGGCTAGCGACGGAATGGGTGGGTTCGCGCGTCCGACAATTGACAACGTGAATGTGCGGTGGAATGATTTGGCTCCTCGCTGGGCTGGCGATGGAGAGAAAGAAACAGAGTCCTTCCCGGGTGCACGTGAACCTGCTTTTTGGTCGGTGGGGGGGGGGGGGGGGGGCCCTCCCGGGGTCATTTTGATGTACGGCTGTCGATGCATCAGGAGCGTAGCAGCAGCATCGTACGGCGATGCGCGCGCGAGCTCGGTTGCGGAGCCCATGGAGATGTGCCCCGACGGGTCACACCCACGTCATCGCACCGGAAGTCGGGGGGGTGGGGTGGGACCAGAGAGGGGGAAGGATCCGTGTCGGCGGCGGTATAGCGACGGAGACGGACCAACCTGCGAGAAAAGATGGCGCGAACTGTTTCGTCATTTTCCATTCTTGCCCTCGGATGTTCGTGGCAAAACAGCGAAAGGCCACAGGGTAATACAGTAAATTAACAATAATTAAGATACTATGGGTGCGTTTGGTACAGCATTTGGAATGCTACTTTGGGAATGCAAATGCCTTTGGGTGGAAGCCCTTTAGGAAAAATGCAAATGGCGTTTGGTAAAAACTCATTTGCAAAGCTATTTTGACCCAAGTGGTGTTTGGTTAATTTTTTTTACAAATGGGCTTTGAGGGGGTTTTTTTAAAAAAAAGGCAAAAATACCCTTCGCCGGCTCCGGCGAAGGGCTACGGCTCCGGCGAAGGGCTACGGCCGCCGGCGAGCCAGATCTGGCGCCGGCGGCCGTCGCCCGTCGCCGAGCGACCCCGGCGAGGACGCCGACCTCGGCGACGAGGCCCGAGGTCGCGCGACCTCGGGGCGACGAGGCCCGAGGTCGCGCGACCTCAGCCGACGGCCGCCCGGGTCGCGCGACCCAGCCGACGGCGACGCCCGGGTCGCGCGACCCAGCCGACGGCCGCCCGGGTCGCGCGACCCCAAGCCGACGGGCGCGACCAGCCGACGGCCGCCGGGTCGCGCGACCCCAGCCGACGGCCGCCCGGGTCGCGACCCCAGCCGACGGCCGGCCGGGTCGCGACCCCAGGCCGACGGCCGCCTGGGTCGCGCGACCCAGCCGACGGCCGCCTGGGTCGCGACCTCGGCGACGGCCGCCTCGAGGTCGCGGACCCAGCGGCCGCACACTGGCGGCCGCCCGACCCCGAGCGGCCGCGCCTGGGCGATCGCCTGACCCCAGGCGGCCGTCGCCTAGGTCGGGCGACCTCGCCGGACCTTCGCCGTTCGGGCCCTTTGCCCTCGCCGGAGTCCCTTTGGTGAAGAAGATGAACAAGAACGAGAGGGCAAAGCCGGAATATTGAAATTTGAGTGAGGGTAGTTTGGGAAGTATAAAAATGATTTTGGCATTTGGTTCAAATTGAAAGTCCAAAGCTAGTCCCGATCGCATTGGGCTTTCAAGATTGAAAATGCTAATTTTGAGCATTTTCAATGCTCAATGCTAACCGTTTGGTTCAGCATTTTTGGGAAGGGGCTTTCGGGGCTGAAAGCCCCTTCCCAATGCTGTACCAAACGCAGCCTATATCCCCCTCTTTCTCCACGTTCATTTTCTACCTTTCCCATCAGTACTTTAGAGAATTTTGCTTCTTCCCACCTTACATCTTTGCCATCATTTCATTTTCAATCTCTTTATTTTCCTTTCTCCCTTAAATCGGGGGCGTTTTTGTAATTAAGAATTTTTTCGTATTACTAATCACCTGTTTGTTTCGCGAAAAATGAATGATTTGAAAAATATTTTCTTAAAAATGATTGCTTGTATTACTTGAAATTAATCAATAGATGAAAAGTATTTTTATTATTGATAATAAATTGTGTCTAAACATTTTATTTGACAATTTTTTTTTTCGTTCGTTCATTTTAAAAGGAAATATGAGCGATTTATTTTTAGAAATTATTTTTCAAATTATTTATTCTATACTAAACAAACGCACCCTAAGAAAACCAATTAAAAATAGTAAATTATAAACATGGTCATCGAGACTTATGTTTCAATCATCAAATACATCAAATTTTCGTGTTGTAACGAGTGTCCTCAAAGAGAGAGTCAAAGCGAGCACATTGCGATATAATACAGTGGACAACACAGAAGTAGTTTTGTGGTAAAATCCAGTATCACCACGAATTATCGTCGCCATCCATTTTGCATGGTTTGTAATTGCCATCTTCATCACGTTGAGCTCTTATTGCAACTAGGGGTGTGCATGGAAACCGGACCGGACCGATCGGTTTTGACTGCTTACCTGTTTCAAATTTGCAGAACTAGAGATAATTGGTTCGGTTCTCGATTCCAGGTGCGGAACCGAACCGCCCGGATCGATATGTTTTATTTTTCCTTTTATGTTAAAGAGTTAAAAAAACAGGAAATTGCCAAAGCCCTAAAATAGATTAGGCCCACTTGGGAACCGGACCGGATCCGGTTCTAGGGTGGAATCAGCCCAACCCAGGATCCCTAATTGCAACACTTAGGCTCCGTTCGTTTGGCGGAAAATATTCTTCCGGAAAATATTTTCCGGGTTTTCCGGTGTTCGGGGGGCGGAAAAAGTTTTCCGTGGGAAAATATTTTCCTTCTCCTCCTCACAAAATAGCCTAAGTCTACGGAAAATGACTTCCGCTTCTTCAAAAGCGGAAATCATTTTCCGGAGCTTCTTTTTCTTCTTCTTCACTAAGGTTGCCGGCCGCCGCCGGCCGCCGCCGCCGGAGCTTCTTTTTCTTCTTCTTCACTAAGGTCGCCGACCGTCGCCGCCCGTCGCCGGCCCCGCCGCCCGTCGCCGGCCGCCGCGGTCGCCGCCGCCCGCCGCCCGTTGCCGGCCGCCGGCGGCGCGCCGGTCGCCGGCCTTCGCCCGTCGCCGGCCCCCACCTCCGTCGCCGGCCGCCGCCGCCGCCGCCCGCCGCCCGCCCGCCGCCGCCGCCGGACACCGGACGTTGGCCGTCGGTCGCCGCTACCCGCCGCCGCCGGTCGCCGGGCCGCGCCGGCCGCCGCCGCCCGGTCGTCGGCCGCCGCCGGGCAGCCGGACGTCGGCCGTCGGTCGCCATCCCGCCGCCCGATTCTTTCAGCCGCCGGACGCCGCCGGTCGCCGGCCGCCGCCGGACGCCGGACGTTGGCCGTCGGTCGCCGCTGCCGCCGCCGCCGGTTGCCGGACGCCGCCGCCCGCCATCAGTCGCCGGCGAAAAATATTTTCCGAAACTTTTTCATATTGATCGCCGAACACTGGAAAATTATGTTCCGGGAAAACATTTTCCAGGAAAATGACTTCCGGGAAAATATTTTCCAAAAGGAGAATATTTTCCGCCAAACGAACGGAGCCTTAGTAATAAATATCATCAACTTAACTTTAAAATAGAGAATTCAACATCCAATCCACTAATGAGGGGATTTGGGCCTAAACGGTCCAATCTTGGGGTGGGCCTATCCCCATGGGGCCACGACACAACCCTCAGTGGCCCGATTCCTATCATCTCAGCCATCCGTTCATGGACCTCAGGCAATGCACTGCAGAATTAGGTGATCTCGCAGAAAATCATAAGATCGGTTGCACAAAACATTTGAAGCGAGTCCACTAAGTACGCGTTGAACTCCATTGATTGATTTATTGACAATATGTAATATCTATCTAGATGTACTCGAGAAAAGTCTACCGTGCAATTTTCTATTTTATGAGTTTATATACGATCATCACGATGGATCTTGGGCGTTAAAACCCTAAATCTGTAGAATCACCTGGATGAGTTAAAATAGGCATAGTATGTGCATTTCTTGTTAGATTTGTACACGAAATTAATGG